GGACCATATCAGGACTTAACATCTTGGGCTGTCAAAATGCTGAATAAAAAAATTGCTAAATAAAACTGGCTGGGCCCGCGACTAAACGCGCAAATTTTAATAATACCAAATGACGGGACCTGTATGTGAGAATCTTGGGGGGCTAAGTGGCACGCAAGTCCATGACAATTGCACCCTCTGACGTAAGTTAACAAGGCCCATGTGCCTGTAATTTCACCAGCACCCTTCAAAACCGGACCACAGTAATGGTGACATTACTGTTTGGTTGCAGAAATAGGTAAGGTGGCTTGCTTCTCTGGACGAACTCTTTCACAGAGAGCTCTATTAATGCTCCTATATTCGATAGGTACTTGGCATATACCAATGATTGTTTTTATATCAACTGAACTAAATAGAGCACGTGTAGTATATGATATACATTTATCAAACGGCTTTAAATTGATTTGTAAAAAAATAACGTAGTAATGCTCTTAACTAACAAGTATTTGACACTCACAAATAATGAACACCCAGTAACTGATATTTACCAATAACAAACGTGTTAATATGGTAGAATATTTTGTCCTAAATCTTATTAGAAATGAATTTAAAGAAGAAGTCAGATAGAGAAGCACAGATACATTTTGCATCAATGATTTATGATTTCGGTAAGACATTTTTACGTCTAAGGTAACGACGACTTGCCTTTGTAAAACATTTTGCACTCGAGTGTACCTTTAGATAAGTGATATTCCTCACCACGCCTCAAATAAAGATCCTGTATTAAGTTTTTCATTATTGGGCGGAATACAGAAGGGTAATACTAAAACAGAAGTGTGAGTGTATACACACTGTTATTATTATGTTATTGTTATCTTCATTTTTCTCAGCTTGTTAACTAGTTTGAACCACATTTACGGACCTAAGTCAAGTAAATGCAGTGTGACGTGTATGTACGAGTATGTGGTGGGTGTGTAATAAGATCCTTTTTTTTTTTTTTTTTTTTTTTACTTCATCCTCTTCCATCTGCATGAACTTTCTGATGATGCGGTGTGTATTTAAAATTACGGCTTTTTGCAAGGTTATGTAGAGGCTTTCTTTACACCCTAATAATTTTATTTTTTGGTTTATAGTCTTCTGTATGTTATGTATGTTGGGAACTGCAATGTCTATTAGGTAAGTAATTTTATTTATTTTAGTAACGCGTTTATTTTAGTACGCGGCCGTAGTAGAGTTTGTGTGTTGTGTTTTCTAGGATAGTTTGTGGTGTGTATTCGTAGTAAGGAGTGTTTGTGTCTTGTATGAGTGTACCTTTCTTTTTCTTGCGGCAAGTGCTATGCTTGCTCCTGTAATGTGCTGAACCGTTTCTGGTTGGATCCGTCACTTGCGATATTTATCGTTTGTTGCTGATGTATCTTTTATTATATACTTTCTATAATTTTTATTGTTAATTATCTGGTCTTGTATCGCAATTATGAATCTTTCAGTTTCTGGGAACAAATTACCTATTTTAAGTCACGTATTTGATGCTTATGTGTTACCGTGTGATTCTTCCAAATCATGGGGATGTCGGCCATGCAATACTTTTTTCTTCCAGTCTTCGATCTTCTGTTTTTGCGGGTCTGTGTGTCTGTTTGTTCACTTAAGTTAAGTCGAGTATAATTATTGTTATTATTATTAGTATTATTATTATTGTTAACCTTCTTGTTTAGTCTTTTTATGTTGGCTGGTTTGAACCACACTTACGCACCGAAATCAAGTAAATGCAGTATGGCGTGTATCTATGTGGGGGGTATGTAATATGATTATTATTACTTATTTTAGACTCTTGTCTCCCCAAGGCCTAAAAGGTTAATACTAAATAAAACTAAATAGAAGTGTGCGTGTGTACGTTATTATTATTGTTATTATTATTATCTATTTTAGACTCTCGTTTCTCCCAAGGCCTAAAATATTGTGGCCGAACGGTTACCATGCCAGACTGCCACGCAGAGGTCCCAGGTTCGATTCCCGGGCCGGGAGAAATATTTGTATGGCCTACACTTATTTATCTCGTGAGTTTGGGTGTAATTTGTGGTTGTCTATGTGTGTGTCCATGGCACCCGCGACACAGGGTTTCCCTAGTACGGAGCTATGTTGAGTGTGAGCGTTATTATTATTTTATTATTACTATTATTATTATTATTTCCGCTGCAATTTTTATTATTTAAGTATTCGATTTTTTATCATGCAATATTATTTAATATTCGAGTATTGTATCGTGAAATATTATTTAATAATTACAAGATAATCTACTTGAATATTAATATAATTATTATAATTTGCCACGGAAATTAGATAGTGAACACTAGTCCGAAAATGCCCGATTTAGGGTGTCCAACAAAAAATTCCTAAATACGTAACTTCACGTAAATCCCGAATTCTGTAAATAAATCCATTGGGTATTAGTTCAAGTGACGCAGTGTACTGTAGACTAGGCTGTACTCTTTGAGTAGGATTGCTGGCTGAACATAGGTAATGATTATAGTTTTATATTTGGAACGTTAAGAAAATAAAATGCAATCTCGCAATGCATCTGAGCTACAGCCTTCCATTTATAATAGAAGGCTGTAGCTCAGATGCATTGCGAGAGGTACTTTTAATAATATAAAACCGGGATCATCTTAAACTTTGGTTTATTTCACCATTTTCATGTCTAGGGTTACAAATCAATAATCTTCTTGTCTGTCTGTCCAGATCTTCTATTCTTATTTTCTTAACGTTCCAAATATAAAACTATAATCATTACCTATGTTCAGCCAGCAATCCTACTCAAAGAGTACAGCCTAGTCTACAGTACAGTAATATGGCATTCCATGCAAAACACCTGTAATGGCCGTAAATTGTCTAATTTATGGCTTCGATCAGCCTTGCGGAGGCCCGGGGCCACTTCAGTCGCCCACCGACCGAGCCGCACAGGCCACTGCTCTAATACAATATATTTTTGTGTTTGATATCAATTCACGGAAACAAATCACGACTTTGCGTCACTCGTAAACGGTATTTTACTTGAATTATTTTTAGCACTCTTCATCTTTTTTTACTATTTAAAGCCGCATTTGTTGTTGATTACTATTAAAATTTATTTAAATATGAAACCAAATACTGTCGTAACTCAATAATGACGGATATTCAGAAATAACAATTTATGAGTGTAAAAAAATGACTAAATGTAACATACGAATTTATATTCTCATATATAAGTGTATAAATGTAAATAATCCATTATTGCAATAAAATTCATTCAATTCTATCATTTTGTAATAACTCGTCCATCCTCGCACTCAAATATTCAGCACCCATCTACTTGCAAAAACATCACAGTGTGGTGCAAATCTAGGGAACGGAAATCCAGGGAAGTACTGCCGTCAAGCCGTAATGTGAACATTGCTTCGTTCCAGTTTTGAAGGGTAAGGGTGCTGCCGGTGAAATTACATGCGCATGGGACTTGTCAATTGTCTCAGAGTGACCCCCTCAGATCGATTTATAGACAAGAACGGCAACTGCAACTGTTATGGATAGGCGTGCCGGTTACCACCAGGCGCATTGCACTTAGTATCATAAAAAAAGGATACTAGAGAAATCGTTGTTGAGTAAACAACACCGCTCGTCATTTCGAGTAATTTACAAGGCGACTGAAAAGCACATTGTTCATGGTGCTCTGTTTATAGAAAACTAATTATTGTAAGGATCGTTATTCAACATTAAATTTTGATGAAATAGTTCAACTTGGCTTGTCAACTGATGTCTCAGAGTGACGGCCACAGTGGAAGTGCCGCTTAAACCTTTGCTATTTTTAATCTTTGCAACTGTTCGTGAAATCGTCTCAATTTTTCAACATCTTCATCTTTTCCCTACCCATAAGTTATTTTTGCATTATATTCTTTAGAAAAGAAAGCGAGTTTCATAATTGCATGTCAGAAACAAATTCACAACATAGACAAAATAATTAATTAACAAAGAATCTGTCCATTAATATGTGTACATGTTGAAATAAAACAATTAGGAATAAGTAGTGAGATTAAAATCAGACAACAATACATAATTGTAGCTGGCACGAAATTGCAAATTAGTATAAAGTGAATTGGAATGACCACCTACTGTACGTGTCACAATGATAAATTAAAAATGATATTTTTATCATGAGAGTGGAAGCAATTTTCAAGAAATATGACTTAAAAATTACGAAATCAGTTTGTTTAATATTTTATATCAATATTGTTCATTGTGTATCGTTAATATGGCACCGTTATTAAATTATTTACATGTACTTATTGTCATACTCATAGAGTATATAATCAAAAATAGAGACGAAATGTTATTTAGTTTGTTTGAAAACTATTCTGCCAAATTATTACAGTGACAACTGCGCTCCGATTGGCCACCCCGAATTCGAAACAATTGACGGGTGTCGTCAATTGTTTCACTTCAAATCGACCAGTTTAACTTAAACTTTGCTATAATGGACGAAAATTTAAAAATTTCGTATTTAATATTTATACCGATGAAATGTGATTCCGTTTGTTTTATAATTAGATGTTGAGCTGTTTTTCCCACACTACCGAATGGAACAGCCCCCCCATTGTTAGAGATATTATCTTTATTACAATAAATACAGAATATTTTTGGAATATAGGGAGAAGTACACACAGGTCAGTTGTTGGCGCTGTACTATTTCAGCTTTCTAATTTGTGCTTTCAGCGCAAACGAGAGCTGATATTTAAAAGTAATATAAGACCCATTTGCCTGATGATTTGCCAGGGATGGATGGCCCTTATTCCGTCTCTATTTCTGGTTATATACTCGATGGTCATACTTGATTACTCACGATCGCGCGCGCAAGCCATCCATACAAGCCATCTTGAATTTCTAGAAATTCTTTATCTTGTGAATGTGGGTGCTAGGCCTCGAGCGAGCGTACGCCGGCATCGCCACAGCCTTCGGTGGACCGGCTGTCGGTGACGTGGGCTGACGTAGATCCGCCCAGCATGGCCTCGGGCGTCAACCTCTTCCATCTACCTGCAGACCAGCCCAGCAACAACGAAGTCAAGTTCTCTCCCGCTGGTGGTACGTTACTTTGATAAGTCTATAATAATGTAATATAACACAACGACTGGTCTCAAGTTTAGCACTGCAAGAATAATTATGATCATGTAATAGCGGCTGCCGTTGGCGATTGTAAGATATTTTTCGAAAAACAAAATGTTTCCAGAGACATGCACTGATTTATGCAAGTAATATTTAAATGTACAGAGCAATTGCTAATCAATCCGTGATGCCTGAATACTGTGTTCTTATTTACTTCTCATACAATATATAATAGCACAAGCAAAACTAATAATTCTGAATTTCAATTCGTCGTATATCAAAACCATAAATAGTAAAGAGTTCATAGGTTTTCGCGATTGTTACACATAGGAAATGAAACTATTTTTCCGCATTTAAATCGCGTATATTTGTTTTTTCAAACAAACCGACGTTTCGGGCCCTTTACTGGTCACATGGTCACGGTTGACTGATAGTTATACACATAGTCACAAATATACGCGACTTAAATCCGGAAAAATAGTTTAATTTCCTATATAAATTGTAAGTTAGTAAAAAATAACCTTGTAGAATCTACGTGCAATGGCGAAGTAGATGTCAATGATAATGAGGCGGCTTTTTTAAATGGTGGTTGAGTTTAACAATTAATATAAAGAAAAATAGAACTGCCAACTCAACTTTGTGGCCGAACGGTTACCACGTTGGACTGCTGATATCCCGTGTTCGATTCCCGGGCCGGGAGAAATGAGGTGTAATTTGTGCTTACCTCTGTGTTTGTTGCGTGTCCATGGCACCCGCGATTTCCCTAGTGTGAGGCTATGAGTGTGTTATAAGTGTTAATTGGGATATTTCAAATAATTCCTAATAAACACAATTATGCTGCAGTACGAAGTAATTGATGCCTGAAGCGAATTTTAATTTTAAGCCTGCAATAAGTACATGTTGGCCTAGGCCAATGCGAGTGTAGGCAAATTGATATAAGACATGGCTACCGTCTTACATTAACATTTTAACTTACATTCAATCTTTTGAAATGAACATATTTCTCGGATTTAAATCGTGTAGGGCACTTTATAAATAAACAAGTAAATTTATAGGTCCCATAGTTATGGCCGACAAAGATGGTAAAGTAATCAAACCGTTACGACTAATATTAATGTAAAATGCCTATTTTTCTAAATTCTATTCCCGTTTTTAAAAAGTTATCTTGTCTAAGTAATCTTATTTGTCACAAGACACGTTTGTGACACCATTGACTGGGCGCAGGCGAGCATCTTTGATTTGTGCAGAACAACCGACACCATTTCGAAATGAGACGAGTGACTGCGAGTTATGACAAGACACGCCAAATGAGCTCTATACACGTTGGCGCTCGCCTTCGCTCACTCACTCCGGTTAGGCGAGCTACACCGAACGATAGCAAGGCAAGGCAAATAGGCGGTCTATACGTTGGTATTGGCCTTCACTCGCCTAGGCTCGACCAACATGTATTGCAGGCTTTATGAAGTGATTATTTCAGTATAAGCTGGAATCTTGAGAAAAAACTTTAAGAAAGTGACTTTGTGAATAAAAACAGATGGGTCTGAAGACGAGGACTATTCGGCGAGCCTGAGCGCCGTGTTGCGCCAGCGGCGTGCCAGCAGCGTGCGGCGCGGCAGCGTACGACGATCGCGCAAGGGCTGCGCTCGCCGTACCTCCTCGCCCTTACTACTCGACGAAACACGCCCCCGCCGCCGCTCCTCTGTCTTCACTACCAGCTCTGGAGAGTAAGAAATGTTTTCCTTATCCATTGTCGGACTTAGTCGGCTTACAAGAAAGTGAGAAACAGGTTAAAGTATGTGACGGCGTGACCTCCTTACACCTTTTTGTATCGCCTCTCTCCATTCGTATCTTATCGTTTTTTCTTCTTCTACTCATATTTGAATTGTTCCATTTTACCTCCAATTCTGATTTTGTTTCTTTCCATTGTCACTCTCTGTGCGATCGCGGTAGCGAAAACATCTACTTTCTTATTTTTGAACCGTTCACATTTTAAGATATTAATATTGTTGTTGAACTGAACGTCACCAGCACCACCAGCAGCGCTGGCGCCCGAGCAGGGACTGTATTTATTTATCCTCTAAGGCTAAGGAGTAATTTAGGCAATAAATGGTCGTCACGCATGCCCATAGTTTCCCAAAGTGATCTCTACCCAGTAGGCGCTGGAAAGTCCTAGAGCAGTAGGAAGCAATTGGGGGCGTTGATGCTATCCAGGAGGTACAACCGCATTTGAAAAAAAAACCTGAATGATCTGATGATATACTTAAATCTGACATCCGCTTACACATATTATAAATGTATCGTTGGCGATGGTCTTTTTCTAGAACAGCTAAAAACTTCGGTTGTCAAACCCCTTTATAAAAAAGGCGATAAGGAAAGCCCAAACCACTATAGACCAATTACGTTAATATCGAGTCTATCCAAATTATTTGAACCTGCATTCCAGACTGAATGCATTTTTAGAGAAACATAAAATTATACAGCACTCTTAATTCGGATTTCGAAAAGGTAGTTCTATAACTAATTAAATTTTTATTGAATTGATATTCAATTATTTTTTAAAAATTTATTCGGTCCGTTGGTTCGTTCCGTGGCTTAGTTGGTATAGCGTCTGGCACGGTATGCAAGAAGACGTCGGTTCGAATCCGACCGGATCGAAGGAATTTTTTCTGAGTGTTTTTTCTGAGTGTTCGATCTTTGTATTAATAATTAGTTCTATAACTCTTGCATGTTTTGAGTTTTTAGGCATTACAACGGGAAGCATAAACGTGTCTACTCCTGTTATGTGAGTCTTTCTAGATATGACTAAAGCTGTCGATTTTGTCAATCACTCAAAATTTCTAATTAAGTATTAAAGGAACAGCCCAAAATTGGATAGAGGGCTGCTTAAAAAATCGGACACAATATACAGTAATAAGAATTTCAAAAAACAAATACAATAATATATTAGTAAAACAAATTTTTAGATCTCACTTTAAAACGACTAACGCTGGAATTCCGCAAGGTAGCGTCTTGGGCCCGTTACTGTTCCTACTCTAAATTAACGATCTCCCACGTGCTATTGATCATTATGGTATACAATTTGGTGATGATACAAGTCTTATAATAAAATGTCAAAACAAAGCTACTTTTAACGCCGATATTAATAAAGCAATGACAGACGTAGTAAGTTGGGTGGATATCAATGCTTTGAATATTAATATAAGTAAATCTTATGACTCAAATCCCATACCGCTTAAAATTAATTACAACTCTGGTGTTGTAGACGAAGTTGACACATTTAACTTTCTTTGGATAACAATCGACAAGAACCTTAACTGGAAGGTACATTGAGCAGATTTGCATGAAGCTAAATAGATTTGTTTACGCTCTACGAAGACTAAGGCAAACTGTCTCTCGAGAAGCTTAGTTGACGGCCTATCACGGCTACGTTTCGTCTGTGTTCAGCGACAGTCTTGTACTGTGAGGAACCTCAGTAGTCTTAGAAAGAGCTTTTAGGGTCCAGAAGAAGTGTGTGCGGTGCGTGGTTCGATGGCAGTTGCAAACCTCTGTTCAAAAGGCTAACCATATTGCATTTGCCATGTGTGTACATTAGGGATATTTGCGTATTTGTCAACTCTCATCCTCAATATTTTAAAACACGTGGGCAAGTTATTCAAAGGCAAACTAGAGCAAAAATTGTGAATCTTTTATTCAACTTCGTTGCCGTAAAGTACTTTATAAGAATAACTGCTTTAACATGTGTATAATTATTTTCAACAAATTACCAAATGAAATTAAATTCTTACAAGGACATACTTTTAAATTGCAATTGATAAAATGGCCTTTTTTTCAAGGCCAGAGTGAATAGGCATTATTTAGGTGTGCTCCATCGTCGACCTCATCGTCACTTCCATCAGGTAAGATGGAGGTTAAAAAATAATTTGTCAACATTATGCTGGTTTCCAAGTAAAAGACATCAACGACAGCACACACAAATAATACCTTTAATAATTTGTTGTTTAGAGTTTTGAAAAGAGCTATCAGTTTTTTCTTCTTAGACCTTGGAAATGGGTTGATGATGACAAAACCTTTAGTGTTCAAATAAAACAAAATCAGACAAAGAAAATGAAAACAATATATACAAATTCGAAATAACGAACATAGTTATAACATAGTGAATATATGTATAATATTTATGATATAAAATGTTTTCTGTCATTTGTTAACCGACTTCAAAAAGAGAAGGTTCTCAATTCGTCCACTTCAAAAAGAGAAGGTTCTCAATTCGTCTGTATTTTTATTGGAGTATGCTACGCAATATCTCCCACTATCGTGAACCGATTTTGATGGTTACTTTTCTGTTGGAAAGGAAGTAGCTCAGTAGTAGTGCCAATCAAATTGGTAGAAAATATTCCATCTCTAAGGTTGACAAATTAGGAAATGGAGCCGGTACATTGAATTACACTCACTTTCCATTTCTTGATTTCAATAAAACTGTGTCATATAGACGTAATTGCAATGAAAATAAAACACAGCGAAAATGGATAAGCAAACTTTTTAGTTTTTTAATTAAAAAAAATTATAATTATGTATTAATTAGATTATACTGCTATGCTAGTATTAAGTGAATCCTTAGGCTGGTTTCAGAGCAATGCGGTTATACCGCACCGTCGGTCCGCGCGGAGCACCGGAGCGGCGTAATAAGTGTGGCGTTAGAACATCGTTTTACAGTGACGAGGATTGCTCCGCACGGCACACGCTCCGCGTGAATTCCGCACAGACCACCCGTGCGTTCATTGTAGGCCACTGTCTCCCGTGAATATCTGCACCAATTAAATACTCCATTCACATCACTGGCCCTCAGTCCGTACGGGCCGTGTGCACAGCTGTGAAACCAGCCCAATGCTTAATCGTAAAAGTTTTTAAGTACTAAATATTGTTTTAGTACTGCTATTTCGATGGAGGATCTGCAAACCACAGTGGTGACCCAGGAGCAGATCTTTGAGAATATTCACCTGCACAAGGAAGTGCTTGGCTCCGTGAAACAGCAGCCACTCGGGATGAGAAGGAAACTCAAGATCGTGCACCAAGTTTGTAGCAAGTTTTCATAATAACTTATATTAATGGTCTTCTTGAATGCTTTGGTTGCGAGATAACTGTGAAATTTTAGTTAATAAAAATATGGTGAACGTAAGATGAAACCACAGAACAATAAATACATTAGAAATGATAGTGGGCGTGTCATGTATGCCAACGGTACGCGGAGTTCCACATATTTGAGATCTGTCCGCCATTTTCACTTTGTACATTATGGTCGTGTCAATTAATTATCTTGTGCAAAACTTTGAAAATAGTTGAAAAATATTTTGCCAAAAGCCATATTTTGCTACATTGGAATGCAAAGCTTTGTTAAAATTTCAAAGATCAAGTTCAAGGTCTCAAATTTTGCCAATTAGTAAGAGTAAAAAAATTACTCTTACTAATTGGCAAAATTTGAGACCCGCTTCTAAATCGTGAATTGAGACTTAGATGCACATTTTGCGAAAAACATTATTGCTATGTTTTTTGCATGAGATTGAAGCGGATTCTCAGTAATCATTGCTACAAAATCGTTATTTCATTCGTAATATTTTGAATTGACATGTGGCAAGTTACCATGGCCAGGTGAAATGACGTGAGATTCTGGTACACCTATATTTTGTAATATCTTTTTGTCGTTAAGCCAGACGCTTAATCTGTTTCTGAATATGTTATTTGGTAACGATTTCATGTCCTGTAGTATTAAAAATTTGAATTGTAATTTCCTAAAATGTTGGTTCTTGCTAACAGGCCAAAACGTATATCAAACGCCACGAAGGGCAGCTACAAGAACGACTGGCACAATCTAAAAGCACCAGGGATATATACGCGCGCTTCAACATTTTGTTGGCCACTGTAAGTAATTCCGTAATTAATAGATTCAGGCGTTACTTTGCGGGAGTCCGTGTTAATAAAAATGGAAGTCAATTAATTTGCTACTCCGCGAACCCAGTGAAGGTTAAATCAGGCAAAATACCTGGGCTTGTGTTGAATATTTTTTTTAGAACAGATGGAAATAATTAGGTACAACAACAGGGGTTGTATAATAAATGAACAATTGAATTTTGTATCATCACCTTTATTACGGGTATTTTCGGGTTTCAACAGTAGTAACACTGAGGGTAGCGGGGTATAAATACACCAACCGTTCTGAACGAGCTCATTCTTCGGCCGACAGTCGAGAAATCAATAGCCCCTGAGGATGCTTCGTGGAGAGGCGAAACACGTATCGGGTGTATTTGGTGGTGGAGTTATTTATTTTATTAATTTTATGCGGAGGGAGGATGGGAAAATTAACTGTATGAAAATATATACAAGCGCTCTATTTTGCGCGATTTAACCTTCTGTGGGTTAATTTAATTCCATTTTTATTAATTTCATAGGTCAGATATGTTATATGCTCTCATTCAAACTAATATTATAAATGCGATAGTGACTCTGTCTGTCTGTTACGTTTTCATGCCTAAACCGCTAAACCAATTTTGATGAATTTTGGTATAGAGATAGATAGGATCTAGGAGAAGGACATAGCGTCGCCTTGGTTTCTCAAACTCGTATCTTATAAAGAGTGATTATTCAGGAGATGCCAAAACTTTCTATTTATTTTTAATTTCTTAACAAGGGCGTTATTTTAAGAATAGGTAAAAGCCTGCAAAATTTGTATATACAATCCATTTTTTTACTCTGTAACTTTGTGCTTTAAGGTACGAGTTTGAGAAACTAAGGCGACGATAGGCCACTTTTTGTCACTAAAAATCTTAAAGGGGGTGAAATAAAAGATGACTGTTTGTATGGATAACCAATAAAACCATGAAAATTAGTCTAGTACAGTAGGGACACGGGACCTCTGCGGGGCAGCCTAGCGTGTTAACCGTTCGGCCACAGAGGCAGTTTATTATAGTTAATGTTGTAACAAAGTCAAAGTCAAAGATTATTTATTCCATAGGTAAAATAAATTTACACTTGAAAACGTCACATTTAAGCTACTGCTCATTCACTACGCTGACCTCCCTGAGAAGAACGAGCAAGAAACTCTAGGGATTGCGTTTTCAAATAAACTTAAATGCTATGGAATACACTTTGAATCAAATTCAGAATCAACCAAAACAAAATTCTAAACTATGTTAGTACATTATTTTAAATTTAGATCGAGTAAAATTTATCAAGTACCTTATGAGAGATCCCTCCAATTTCTCAGCAATCATTTTCAAAAAATTGTTGCCACTACTACGTAGTCTGATTAAAAGTGAAGTACTTATTCAGGCTTTGGCCAGTAAGTAATAAAAGGATAAACAGACGCCAACCCCACGGCAGATGTTTGGACAACTTTACACTCTTTGATTTATATAAATTGAAAATAAAATTAGTAGCAGTAGAGCTCCTTGTGAAAGAGCTCGTCCAGGGAAGTACTGCCATCTCACCTATTTCTGCCGCCAAGCGGTAATGTAGGCATTACTGTGTTCCAGTTTTGGTGCTGGAGAAATTAAAGGCACTCAGGGTGACGGGCGCAGAGATAGAGCCCCTCAGATCTTTGCGATTTAAAGCTTTGAGTGGCACTGCAACTGTTTTGACCGTCTGGGGGGCGGGTCGGGGGACAACTGACCTGCCCCTCCGTTGGCGCGGGAGCCCTGGCGCAAGCTAGGGCGGCCGGACGGCGTCGTGGTGAATGCGCACCGACCCCACGGCGCCGACTCAACCGGCGGGGGTAGGCCCTCCAGTCTGGAGGGAGAGTCCTCGCATAACTCCTGAGTCTCCCTAGGCTCAGGAGTATCTATAACGATTTCCCCCCGTAAAAGAAACTGGATATTATATTAAAAAATAAAACCAGGTTTGTACCTACTGTAACCACTTTTATGTTTTACAGAAATGGCAACAGCTCAAGCGCGAAGCTGCGAATACATCCAACGTGTTGATTCCATGGGAGCTGCGTATTAAAGAAATAGAATCTCACTTCGGCTCCGTAGTAGCCTCCTACTTCACATTCCTGCGTTGGTTGTTCTGGGTAAATCTAGTCATCGGTTTCATTCTGCTCGTCTTCGTTATTGTGCCAGAGGTAAGAATAGATTACCATGATACCACATTAAATACTTATTAAAATTAGATACTCCACATTAAATACTTATTAGAATTTGCATATTGTCTCCATTCTTTATAATATTTTACATAACCCTGTGTCTCCCGGGTACCTGAAAGAGCGTTTCAGCTTCTTAGGTCCCAGGATAAACCCTGTCGCTCTCTTGTTAGGTCCCAGTTATCTTTTCCATGCTTCAATTCCGGTTTCTATTCTCAGTCCTTCACTGTTCATGCGGTCAGACTTTGGAATGCACTTCCTATTACTGTTCACTAAAGTAAATCGTTAGCTATTTTAAAAGTGAGAATTAAGGAGCATTATTTATCTACTATTCCATCCATATCTTAGGCATTTTATTATAAAATATGTATTTATTTCGGTATTTACATAATTTATAACAATTTAATAGTATTATATTATTTTTATTTATTTTTTCTTGTTCTGTTGTGCACATATGCCCGTTCTTTTAGTTAGTGTCCTGTATTTAGGACTGCAGAAAGAAATTTCTATTAGAAATAAGCAGAACCTTTTTATTTTTAATTTCTCTTGTATTGTTTGTGACTTGTTGTATTTTTTCTGTACAATAAACTATTAAACAAAAAAAAATAAAATAGGGGCTCGTAGACATATTAAGGACTGTGGTAAAATAACAAATAAGAATCTGATTAATCCTTTTAAAATTGCATCATTGGAAGTTCAACCTGTAACTGTCTAGAATCACTATAGCACCAGCCTCATCGAGTATATGACAGAAATAGAGACGAAATGTCATTTAATTTATTTGAAAACTATTCAGCCAAATCATTGGTGACAACTGCGCTCCGGTTGGCCAGGCCGAATTCGAAACAATTGACGGGTGTCGTCAATTGTTTCATTTCAAATAGACCAGTTTAAATTGGTTTTGCTGTAATGGACGAAAATTTAAAAATTACATTTTTAATATTTAATTACCGATGAAATGTAATTCCGGTTTTTTTTGTAATTAGATGTTTTCTATTTTTCCCACACCACCGAATGGAACAGCCCCCCGTTGTTAGAGATTACTATCTTTATTACAATAAATACAGAATATTTTTGGAATATCCGTATAAAAATATGTAGACGTACACTTAAGTCACTTCTTGGCGCTTTACTATTCCAGCTTTCTAATTTGTGATTTTACCGCAAACGAGAGTTAATATTTAAAAGTTTTATCATTACCATTTGATTGAAGGATGGATAGCCCTTATTTCGTCTCTATTTCTGGTTATACACTCGATGATCAGCCTAAACTTGACACTATAATAATAAATAATAAAGTTCATTTTTCTCCACAAAAACTTACGACAGCTAGGAACAGTGTACACGTTTCAATATTAGACAACAACACATACGTTGCTCTGATCCCAAAGTGTGTAACTAAAGCACTTGTGTTATGTGAATTGGAAAGAACGACGTTACCACACAAACACCTAGACTCATGATGGTATAGAAAAGTTAGTATTCTACACTGTCTCGGCCGGGACGTCATAGGTGGCGATACCATGAAAACCCCTTATTCTCAGTCGTCACCACTGGCTTTGTTCCCACTGGCGACAAATGAGGAAAAATATGTTGCCAGGTAGTGACAAATGGGATAAGAAATCCCAATAACTGCCTCCGTAGCCGAACGGATACCATGCCGGACTGCCACGCAGAGGTCCCAGGTTCGATTCCCGGGCCGGGAGAAATAGTTGTATGGCCTACAATTATTTCTCTCGTGAGTTTGGGTGTAATTTGTGGTTGTCTATGTGTGTGTCCATGGCACCCGTGACACAGGGTTTCCCTAGTGCGGTGCTATGTTGAGTGTGTGCGTTATTTATTTATATTTATTAAAGAAAAAAATAGTTGCCAGTAACAAATGGGATAAAAATATCCTAATTAATACTAGTGTTTGTTTATTGCCACCATCGAAAGGGAATTTCGTAAAATTCGAGTTTAATGATAAAAAACATAGATCAAGTTGTCACCATTGGCTTTTTTCCCACTGGCGACTTAATGGGAAAAAAAATATGTTACCAGGTGGTAACAAATGGGATACAAAGATCTGTTGTTGCCACTGGCGACAAACGGAATCTAGAATACCTCAGTAGTTGCCAGTGGTAAAAAATACCAGATAGAAAAGATACCAGATATTCGGCGAGCACCAAAACCGGATAACCGGATATCCGGATAGCCGGATATCTGACCCACAGACGTAAACATGAAGCGACCGGTTTACAAAGATCTGCAAGCCACTCGACCACGGAGGTCGTCAAACGTTTGGTTTTATTAAACATAACTGGGAGACTGATGCCTAACCTAAGCATAAAAATACATATACGTCAGGCCACCAGAAATACAAGTTACATAAATCTGTATATAGTAACCTGCTAAGTCCAAACTCATGGTACCACAATTTTGTTTAAGTAAGATAAGCGATTCTTTTAAATTTCGGGGCATATTATTACGATTATCATTTCCTAAGTTTAAAACTTACATTAAAAGTATTTTAACTGAAAAATAGTATTACAAAATTGAGTACGTTGAGTAAGTGTTAGATAAAGATGTATGGAAAGACAACAAGAGTCTAGATTCCACACAATTATGATTCAAAGTGTATTTCATAGCATTTAAGTTTATTTGTAAAGATCAATACCGAGACTTTTTTGTCAGTTCTTCTCAGGGTGGTCAGCGCAGTGACCGAGCAGAAGTTAAAAGCATGACGTTTTCAAGCGTAAAAAATGTACTTATGGAATAAATGATTAATTAACTTTGACTTTGAACAATCACGAACATTATTGTTAAGTCGCTTTGGTTCTGTCTTTTGAGCTTGAACCTATTTTATTTACGCTGCAGTATCTAACTGCGCATCCCCAGCAAGATGGAGAGCGTAAGACCATCATGGAAGAAGAAAGGCGTAACGCGTCCAACCTCCTAATGCTTTGGGAGTTTGAGGGGATTCTAAAGGTTTCGCCCATTTTTTACGGATACTACAGCAACATAGAACGACCTGAATACAGAATGCCGCTGGCTTATTTCCTAACAGGCCTGGTTGTGTACATTTATAGCTTCGTCGCCATATTGAGAAAGTGAGTAAACATAAAATGAAGAAAGTTTTCTTTTCGAGTAAAAGTCAGTTTTAATAACAGAAGAATTTTAATTTGTTTTTCGCAAATATATTTGTCCTACTTCGAGGAAGCTTAAAATAAAAATAATTTTGAATAATTATTAATACAAAGATCGAACACTCAGAAAAAATTCCTACGATCCGGTCGGATTCGAACCGACGTCTTCTTGCATACCGTGCCAGACGCTGTACCAACTAAGGTAACTAAGTCGTTGAAAGACCAAGTACAAAGACACGACGCAAGCACAGAAAAATTCGTGAGGTCCGTTGGTTCGTTCCGTTGCTTAGTTGGTATAGCGTCTGGCACGGTATGCAAAGATGACGTCGGTTCGAATCCGACCGGAACGAAGGAACTTTTTCTGAGTGTTTTTTCTGAGTGTTCGATCTTTGTATGAATAATTATAACAAACTAGTGTAGTAATTTCACAAAAAATAATTGAATATCAATTCAATAAAAATTTAATTAATTTTGAATAATTCTGTTTTTTTTATAAAAAAAAACCTACTTCAAAAGGTTACTTATCCGTTTTCGTTGTGTTTTATTTTCATTGGAATTACATCTATTTTATAGCCAAGTTTTAATCAGATAAAGGAAAGTGGGTGAAATATAATGAAATCGATTCATCACCAAATTTGTCATCCTTAGAGGTAGAATATTAAAATTTGAATAGGATGACTATATCGAGGAACCCTCTTCCCGACAAAAAAATAGTACTTATTAATGTAGATTAATATACTTACAGTTGACTTCAAATTTGAAAAGGGTTTGTGTTTAATATATCAAACAAGTTATCATTTGACACAAATCTGAATTTCTTTTCTCTTTCGTAAGTAAAAAGAAATATTTTAAAATTGCTATTTGTTCACATGTTAGTTTTGTGGCAATACTTTGCATTTGTTTGAAGATGATCAATGAACCGAGTCCTTAAGTTTTCGCGATTGTTACACAGGAAATGAAACTGTTTTTCCCGATTTAAATCGCGTATATTTGTTTTTTCCAACAAACCTGTAAAGGGCCCGAAACGTCGGTTTGTTTGAAAAAACAAATATACGCGATTTAAATCCAAAAAAATAGTTTCATTTCCGATGATCAATGAATTCAACTTCATTTTTCATTTCATTAAAGGATGGCGGAAAATTCTAGAATGTCAAAGTTATCAGAAAAGGAAGATGAATGTATATTTTCGTGGAAGCTGTTTACCGGTTGGGACTTTATGATTGGCAACGCGGAGACGGCGCACAACCGTATCGCGTCTGTCATCCTCGGCTTCAAAGAGGCGTTGCTCGAAGAAGCAGAGAAGAAAAAGGATTTGAGAAAGTAATCTCTTATTATTGCCGCGTGGTTTCCACCGTAATAATATCCATTTTAATAATATTAAGTGACGGAATGAATCGATGACCCTGAGACATAAGTAGACAAGTCCCATGTGCCTGTAATTTCACCAGCACCCTTAACTAAGAGCCCTTTCACAAGGGGCTCTACTGCTACTTCCTATATTCCTGGTTTCTTATTTTTCTGTTTATCACATACTCTAGAAACGATATTTAGAATTCCGGAAAGAATATTTGGATATTAGAGCGTTACACGATATGTAATATCGTATGACGTGGTTTGTTGAATTTTAGAATACTGTGAAATTAGTGAAATTAGTTTTGTCCTCTTTTTGGTGCATGTGATTTCATATAAGTGCTTTTGATCATACAGTTTCACGTCAAATTTTTGTGTGCTTAAACAAGTGAAACAAATATCTGTGACATAATAGATAAAGGAACTTGGTGCAACTATAGTGGTTCGTAGCAATTCGACATCAGTCTGTCAGACTGTTTTTATTCCACAATGAAAAAATTTCAGTTGGCGTATTATATCTCTCCGAGCACTGGTTAATATATGCGTGGTAATCCTGTTGGCGGTGTCGGCGTACGCTGTGGTGACCGTGGTGACGCGATCTGACGACGACACCAAGACCAGAGACTGGTGGCGGGAAAATGAAACGACTGTAGTTGTTACCGTCATATCCATCACTTTCCCGGTGTTCTTTGAATTGCTCGGATTTCTCGAACACTATCATCCGAGAAAACAGTTGAGATTGCAGCTAGCAAGGTATATAGTATTTCAATGGTCTGGCTGGCTTATTGTTAATTTCTATATTCCAAACGCCATTTCAAGTGCTAACATCTACTTACATTAAGGTAATTGCTATTGACCAATCAGCTTTAACAGGTGTTATTTTTTACAGAATAATGCTCCTTAATTTACTAAACTTATATTCACTGATATTTGCATTATTCAGTAAAATTGATGGCATGGGCAAAGAACTTAATGCATTAAAGCCAACTCTATGTATGAACGCGTCAACTATTCCTGAAAGCGCTTTGAATATGACAAACGCTTTGGCTCTGTCATGTCTGGAAGTTAATATATCTTGCACAAAGTGTAACGTGCCTCTTACCATCTCCGCAAATGCAACTTCGATAAACGCACTGAATACTATTAGATCTGCTAAAGCACACGAGACACAAATGCAAGCACGCGTTAAAACTACCTTGCCAACGAAGTTGAGCCCATTCACAACGAACAGCATTGAAAATATAAAAAGGAAAATTTTATCACCACATAATTTAATAGAGAAAGAGGGGGAAATTGAAACAACAACCGAAAATGTAATAGATCTAATGAGAAAAGAAATTGAAAAACTAAATCAAATGTTTCCAAGCCCATTGAGCTCCAATGATACCAGTTCAGAGACCAGTGACAGTGGTGAGATTTTTTATGATTATACAGAAGTGACCTCTGCCGATTCGAGTTTCGAATTTGAACCTAACACTGTTTCCGATTATACCACCGACACATTTTTATCATCTGCACTTGATTTAGACAATATTTACAGTACGGTAAGTAAAGAAAACACATCATCAAGTAATGACTATACTAGTGTTAGCTCTCCAAGTGATTCCGAATCTACAATGAGCGTGACCTACACATATACTTCTCCAATGTTCAGTTTTAGTTCAAACAATATGTCGAGTGTAACAACCGAGAGCACGATTATTTCTGGAGATACAAGCTCTGTGGAAACTGTCATTGGTCCAGTAACAACTAATTCGAGTTTGGGTACTGTAACAGAAACGTACACGTATTATGACGATGACTTAACTATGTCGACAAGATACCCTGATGAGTATACAACTGAGCTCTCAACATCTTCAAGCGTAATTTACTGTCCAAGTATAACATTTAACTGCACAATAAGTTGTGGAGGGCAAAACGTTACTCAAGTCGTTTTGATTACTGACTGTACAAAAGTAGAAAAAAGATGTTATGTAAGACAATGCACGCTGTCAAAACTTCAAGAAAATATTACGATTGATTATGTTTATTTGGATGAACATAAAAGAAAGATGTATAATTTAACAAAAGAGACAAAAAAAAAGCTTTTGAAGCTTTGTTGGGAAACAATGTTTGGACAAGAACTAGTGAAGCTGACTATGATGGACTTGGTAAGTTTGCAATATGTTATTTGATCTTGAAATCACAACACCTATATTATACTACTTTCTGCTATGTTTTTTCCAGGTTTTTGTTTTACTTGGTACATTATTTATGGACTTCTTCAGAGCACTATTCGTACGATACATGAACCGGTGTTGGTGTTGGGACTTGGAAAAACGATTCCCAGAATACGGCGATTTCAAAATTGCCGAAAATATACTACATTTGATAAATAACCAAGGAATGGTATGGATGGGCATGTTTTTCTCGCCAGGCCTCGTTGTGCTGAATGTATCAAAATTGATGATTATGATGTATTTGCGGTCGTGGGCTGTGATGACTTGTAACGTACCTCACGAAGTTGTTTTCAGAGTATCGAAAAGTAACAATTTCTATTTGGCCCTACTACTTACCATGTTATTCCTCTGTGTCTTACCTGTTGGCTACACAATTGTATGGGTGAGACCTTCCTGGCATTGCGGACCATTCTCTGAGTACGAAAAGATTTACTATATTCTCACGAGTAACATTAACAAAATTCTTCCAAGCAGTTTAAATTTTGCCATGGGGTACATTGCTTCACCAGCTATTGTCATACCATTGCTGGTACTTCTTATTCTCATCATCTACTATTTAACATCACTAACAAATTCCCTAAGGGAAGCAAATAATGATCTCAAGGTGAGTGCGAAAAAAGTGAAATTTCAAAATTGTTACTTGCAGGTGGTTAATGTTGTATAGAACATCTTTGATTATAATTAAGCAAGATTTTTCGAAGTAACCAGCATTAAATGTATTTTTTACACAGATACAGTTACGCCGAGAAAGAACTGAAGAAAGAAGGAAAATGTTTCAACTTGCCGACACAAGACGTCGGGGTGGCTCTTCAGCTATGGACAACACACCCTTTGCACGCTGGAAAAAAGCGTTACCGGCACTTCCGCTTAGCAAATCCATTGACTCGGATGAGCGGAAAGCTGTAGCAGCCGACGAAAGCAGTGATACACTGAAAAACGTCAAGAAAAAGGGTAAATCATATAATTACAAAAGTACCTAAATCAACCATTACTAGTTCACATTTTGTGTATCGAAAAAATAATACGACAACTACTATATTGTTTGCAGGTGGCATTTTTGCGAAAATTGTAAGTATGGCTCTTGATAAAAAGTCTGATGGCGCTGTTTCCGAAGTTGACAACGCAATGTCGCCTTCTCCCAATCCTTTAGACGATGAAACAGATACTGATTTTCACGAGTCTTTGCCAAGAGAGATTTTAAAAATAAAAGACATTACAATCTTGAAACGAGGTGATCGCAAAAGCAGAACTAGTGTCGATTTCACAAACGACTCAAAAGTGCAAACTTCTGAAGACAGCTTAAAAGTAGCAACTGATAAAAGAGAGGAAATTGATTGTTTTTCAAAATCTCAAGTTATCGCCACTGTTACCGAACAGAGCTATTCTAGCATCGATGATCATGAGGTGTTTAAAGACAACACAGTGAAAGAAAAGTACTTTGGTGGCAAACAAACATCCGAGTCTAGCGTGCAATCGAAGCAGGACTCTATCGGGTCAATAATACCCGTTATTACTATAAGTACAACAGAGAGCGACGACGAAATACTGCATACTAAGAAAGAAAAAAGTAAAGAGGACAACGTGAACGAACAAAAAAGAAAAGAAAATTTTAAAGGCGACGTCGATAAGGACAGTAAAAAGATACGATGTAGCTCCGAATTGAAGTCCCTCCAACGTCAAAGTAGCGTCGACAGCTCTAGTGAACACAAAATGGTCAAAGAGAAGAAGCCGGATGACGGACACAAGTTCCAATACTCTTTGTAATTACAAATCTATGTCATTTTATTGGTTAGAAGCGTTAATAAATAATTTGATCACAATTCAGCTTGCATTTATGAGACAAACTTTCGCTGCGCATAATCTTGAAGTAAACTTCAAATATATATAAGTACAGTGTTAATACGAGTAAAATAGAGGTAAACAAACAATTTGATCGTACAATATGCTTTGAAAAACTCTTAACAATTTGACGTTACGGTGATGTGCTATACCTTACTTTGAGCGAGGTGTTCGGCACGTCTTACCTAACTAACTACGATGTAACAACGCAACTGTGATGAACGAGTGATTTTATCTCTTACGTTTGTGCCGATGCTGATCGTTTAGTTAGGTAGGATTGTAAGTGCGAAGTCCTCTTAACAAGTATTATTGTTTCATATATAGCGGGATGAAATTCTTGTACTCGTGCAATATTTACAAATAAACAATAGTAAACAACAGATCGCATGACAGCGAATACTTGACATCGATACCTTTTTATTAACACGTTTGTGTTCTTTGATCCGAAGATCTGAGTTGACAGGACTATAATCTTGACGACAGCAGAAAATCATGCTGATATTACCGTAAGTAAAATATCTTTCGGTGACCTTAGATTCAGACGTTTTTAGAAAGTTAAAATATTAGGTTTTCTTCTTTTGTCTTTTTAAGATTGATATTATCCTATGGCATTATCAATGCACAAGCATTCTGGGATATGGGCACCACTACACCTCAAACAAAATTTTACATTGATCCGGTGCCACGTCAGAGTTTTTTTCGCTGGCAAAAAGCAGAGTCCACAGAGTTGCGCGTCATATTTTGGAGCTGGGACTGGGAAGACATAAACCGAAGGCGTACTCTTTGTAGAACAGCTGGAATATCAATCGGTTAGTTTGAAATATGATTTTTATTTTCGCTTCTATCCTCGCGAAGTTCCTAAAGTCATATTAAAATGAGAACACGAACGTATTGGGAAAAAAGTGCTGGTTTGAGAGATGTTGCTATTGGTTTTTTCAGATAAAATTTGTCTCAGTACGGCGACGATACTGAACAGGCGCACTCTTATAACCGCTGCCAACTTCTTAGAACCTTACCGGCTGCGCATGCGCGACGTACGAGTATGGGCGCTGGGCCGCGCAGGCCGCTACAACACGCCTTACCGCTATCGCGTCTGGCGGTGGCGCCGCCTGCTCCCGCGCAGTCTCAACCCCGAGCACAGACATGGCCCCAAAGGCTCTCATGTCCCTCGACATGATGTTTGCATCATACACACCAGAGACCAAATGTATCTGTATCCCTCATACCCTAATAAGCTTATGTACGCATTTCGAGCTCGCCTCACCCCCAAATACCATACATTCATGCGTGACAAAACAATCCTCATACATGGCTCCGGATTTGAACATCGAGAACATGTAATGGAAAACTACAAAATTATGTATGGAAAACTATACACTGACAATATTCGTAATTGTGAACATTATAATCCAAAGTATTGGGGGAAGTTTATTTGTGTAATAAACAGCGTGCCGTATTTTGGCATCCAAAATGGTGGCGGCATGTACACGAAGGGTTACTTGATCGGTCTAGGTTGCTTTGAGATCACTGTTAACGACGACCGGATATTATGTTTTACTGATTTACGCTACTATTACGAGTGGATTTATATATTCGCCAATTTCACTCCTGGCGCGTACTACGAATATGCGTATCCAGAGTGGGGTGTAAGAGAAGATCAAGAATACGATTCCTCATTTAACGCTCCGTATCTTCCCACAAGACAAATCAAATATGGCATTTGGCCTCTTGGTTAAAGGCCTTTACCTCCATCGAGTGTCACGTCTCGCCGCTCTGATAATGTGACACGACTTTTGTATAATTTTCTAATTGCTCTAACCAGAGGCGGCTCATGGGAGATTAGTGGGAGTTCACTTACCTATATATATTTTAAATAAAAAAACTCGCATTATAGTGTTCCATTTTAAACAATGCCACTAAACTCTACTCTAAATCTTGCTAAATATTCTCATACTAATCTTTTGTTTCACGCCGTTAAGAAATTTCTCTTTCGCACTAATTGAATCCAATACTCAACTTTGTATACAATTTCGGTTCATAGGAGCGCATCGCGAAGCGCTCCACTCAAGAGTCAGTATTCTATACTATATTAAGAAAGATAAAAATCTAATTGTGTTTGTCATTGATTAATAAAAAAAAAAATACTGCGGCTACTAATATAATATGAAAGGGTAATTAATAAATTTATTTTGGTGGGTTGGATAGGAGTGGGAGTTCACTGCACCAGCGCTCCTTAGGACGAGCCGCCTCTGGTTGTAACATAAAAACCTGAAGAAATTTTATTTCCTTGCAAAAACTTTGCTGTTGTGGTCTTAGGACAACAAAAAGTGGAAATTTGCGTGCCGTTAAGGTAAACGTACAGCTTTTCCGGTCTCTCTTTATTTAAAGACAAAAAGGGAACATTATATTTTGTTTTACTAACACTTTTGTATGGACCACCTTTGAAGTCTGAAATAAAGTTATTTTAGTTATTTTTTATTTTTATTTCTATTTCAAATCAAGTTATATTTCAACCAAAATTTTACAAATTGATGTCTGAAGTCGCAGTAGAGCTCCTTGTGAAAGAGTTCGTCGAATGTCAGCATTACTGTGTTCCGGTTTTGAAGGGTCAGCAGGGTGCTAGTTACAGGCACATGGGACTTATCAACCTATGTCTCAAGGTGACGGGCACAGTGGCAGTGCCTTTCAGATCTTTGTGTTTTAAAGCTCTAAGTGGCACTGCAACTGTTATGGACAGGCGTGTCGCTTATCATCAGGCGCATGACTTGTTTGTCCCGTCACTTGGCATTATAAAAAATAAGTTTCTGGAATTAATAAGAAAAAATATTATAAATGGTCAGAAATGAATTTATTGTTTCTCAAAATATTCTCCGTTAGCGTTAATGCACTTTTTCAAACGAATGAACGAATTTTGAAAACATTTATGCCACTCCTCCGTGACAATCTCTGAAACATATTTTTCATACTCTTCAACAGCCTCTTCAGGTGATGAAAATCTTTGACCGCGTAACTAGTTCTTAATTTTTGAAAATAAATAAAAGTCACAAGTTGACAGGTCGGGACTGTAAGCGGGATGGCTCATAAGGTCAATGTTGTTCACCTTCAAAAATTCATTTGTCTATCTGGCCGTGTGAGAGTGGCATTGTCGTGATGCAAGATGATAAAGCGTTTGCGATTGTTTTTACGGAGTTTATCCATAACTTCCGGCAAACAAATGGTCGTGTACCAATCACTATTCACGGTACATCGATTCTCCAAAGCAACAGTGGCCACGTGTCCAGTTTCTTTAAAAAAAGAAGCAATCATCCAAAGAGACACTTTGCACGCGCGCCATTTTGGTTGGTGTTTGGTATGGTGCTTCATCGCCAAAAACAGTTTGAAGCCGAGCGAAGCTCCGCTGAGCTGTTACATTATACTTAAAGTCGTAGAAAATCATACTACGAAAGTTTTCACGAGTTATATCCATGTTGATGTAGACAACCAATTTCTAAAATGACGCCACAGTCCGATGAAACAAACTGTATTCTACAGCCAAAGAGTTCCATTTTCAAATGCTGTAATTACTTTTTAAATATTGTTTATGTAAGTGGCCAGTTCCGGAAACTTAAGTGCGCCCCATGTATTTGCGGGATTATGTAAATACCACCAGCACCGGTTGGATTCGAAATTCGATTTGGATTAGTTGGGAGAGCGTCAGGCACGGTCTGCTGAAGACGCTGGTTCGAATCCACCTGGATCGAAGGAATTTTTCTTAGTGTCCGATCTTCGTACGTCAAACCAGAAACAGAAACTTTACAAAAGTTTGTAACATAATCAGGTGAATCTAATTGACTTCTCAAAACCAGCTCCTGCTCCCGATTTGCCGGCGGCAAGTGAGAATGACATCCAGTCAAACTTAAAGTAAATTTGCGTCTCAGAAAATGATTAACCTGTTTGGCGTGCGCTGGAATGGCACGGACTAATTTCGTTATAGCCTTTCCATAATGTAACTAGAAATAGACTTTGCAAAATGCAAGTTCTACGAACTAGAAGCAGGCTGGGTACTTATCCTATCTTTTGTGAACACTACCTATACCGAACTGTTTCGATTTTCTTTCCCGATGTTGACAGGAATATGTTCCTCGACCACGTAAAAAGATAAGAGAAAATTACTTCTTCTGTTAATTGCCTGAGGGACCTAATTATATTTTATAATATAGGAAATGTGAAACTATTTTTCCGGATTTAAATCGCGTATATTTGTTTTGTAAAACATAATGTAGAGTAAATTGGTATGTTCTTTATAAAAATAAAAATAAGGTATTCAATTAATAACTTTTGGAACTATAGTGAAAAAATTGGGTGGTTTGCATTAATATTAGACATAACTGATTGATGACTGTACCACCTCAGTCAACCGTGACCATGGGACCTGTAAAGGGCCCGAAACGTCGGTTTGTTGGAAAAAACAAATATACGTGATTTAAATCCGGAGAAATAGTTTCATTTCCTATGTGTAACAATCGCGGAAACCTAAGAACTCTTTTATAAAAGAATAAGCGCCCTCGATCTCGCCTGATAGAAAGTGACGATGTGGTCGACGATGGAGCATGAACGCCTAAATAATGTCACATGTTATAGCGTTCAGGAAAAAAGTCTGCAGGCACGGTATTCCACTCCATAGCCCGTACGCCATATAAATGTGGAAGAGTAACGTTTCGTGCGAATCTTTGCAATACCCACAACATAGGGACTAGCCCCAGCCTACGTCTAGGCCCCCGCTGATGATAAGTTTAAGACAAGATAAAGGGTAATAATAATAAAATTACTGTCCAAGTCAATTTGGTACTTATTTTACCGTACACAAAACTAAATTTTTTTCTTCCCTTTTTGACAAGTTTGAGGAAACCACCAGTGAAAATTCGATATTAAGTTATCAATCTTTTAGAATTCTGCTCATTATCACAGCCCTATGGCATCATCACCTTGCCAAATTTACTAAGTTCATACAAAGGAACGTACCCCACCTTTAATACAAAATTTGCAGAAGTAGTTAATGTACGAATATTATGTACATTTACAAGACAAACTCCACAATCATTCAACCTGTTCTAAAATCACTAATTAAACAAAAGTATTTGGTTGGAGTCTCGCTCCAATTTCATATAGGCGCTTTTCAATATAATTTGTTCAGATCCCGTAGAATTGACAAGCAAGATATTCAGTGGTGTGGAGTAGCACGTGCAACCCTTGGAGTAGCAAATGCGCGGGCGCCGGGCATGGGCGACCGACCTGCCCCCGATAGAGAAGCGTTGTCATTCCGCGACGAGACGCGGCGCGCACAGGATGGCGCAGCCGGTCGCGCTGTTACTGTTGACCCTAAGCGTCGCGAGCGCTGAAATTCTCACGCCACCTTACTTCAACTTGGCGCAAGGCAAGAAAGTGACCGCGACCGCCACGTGCGGCGACGAAGGCCCCGAGCTCTATTGCAAGCTGGTCGGCGCTAACGCCGATCACGACGAACACGTTATTCAAGGACAGGTAAGCGTGAGGCGTCTTTTCGGATCAACAATTATGTGCACAATATCTAACGAGAGAACCAACATAGCTTTTATTTTATTATTGTGTTAATTTGTCTCTTCAAACTTTGCTTGATGTGTAGGTGCGTGTTATTAATTATACGACATTTCAAATACGTTAGAAAATATTTGTGAGTTTTTAACAATCACCTATCTATCATCTGATCTCAAATTACCTAGAAACAGTCGACGTATACGAGGAATATCGTATTATATATAGCTAAGGTTATCGTAAATTTTGTCCAAATACGGATATTTACAGATTAAGCGGTTTCCGCAACAAAACAAGTTATCAAAGCTAAAAATAACTACAATTTAATAGCAATTTATTTGTTTATTTTTATTTATTCATGGAAAACCAACAGCTTTTTGCATTTAATAAAAACAGGAACATAAACATAAAGCCAATTACAGGTTTCCACCTATAGCTTCAAACAAATCATACACGAGTGTTAAACAAACGAACAATAAACAGTATTATACACATATATGTATGTATACACTTACATAAATATAACAACCCAATACTGCACTAATCACAAACTATTTAATAAATTTAGTAACGTCAGTTTAGTACGACGACCCTGTCGTACAAAAACCAAAATTGGTTATCAAAATATCGAAAGCAGGGCGGGTTCATTCATTCTCTCGTCCGGTGATAAAGGGTGCGGAGGTCGTCAGATAAGTGAGAAGATATCACGTAGGCCGTTACACTTCCCTTATCGTCGCGCTTATTACACTTATTTGCTTAATGAGTTCATATGCTTGGCAACCGAATTTTACAACTTCCAATACGTTTCTTGGAACTGCATGGTTAAAGTTTGCGAAATATTATTTCTACCGATTCGACTTGTCGCTTCATCCTTAGAATACGATACGACAAAAGAGTGTGACGTCTCTATTTAGTGCAAACAACTAGTTTAAACACTTTTACGCGTTGGCACTTAATACTAAACTTGATAATCTTTATGTATTTTACGAAGTACCTACAGTTTCTTTTTGAAAAACGACCGGTGACTAAAAAAAATGATTCTAAACTAGAATTCAGAAAAAACATTTACCGCATCCATGGCTCGTACAATGGACCAAGATCATTAAGTCCATATATATTTGAGTAAAAGAAGTGTTAGTGCTTTTATTACTGTATTATAATAGAAAGGATAAGCCGTGGCAAGAGATGATATTCACCGGCGCAAAGAATATTTCTCCAACTATAGAACTGAGCCATCAAAACACGAAACTTACCTGTTAACTCTATTGTATCTAATCTAAGATTAACTGCCGTAGTCATTCAACTAATGAAATTGTTTTGACGCTTCTTGGAACTCTTTACCTCTACGTCTATAATTTAATTGTGTCTGCATTTCATTTATCTATATATTACTAATATCATAAATGGCAAAGTAACTCTGTCTTATTACGTTTTCATGCCTAAACTGCTGAATAAATTTTGATGTAATGATGGGATCTAGGAGGACATAGTCTACTTTTTGTCACAAAAAATTATATCTTAAACGGGTTGAAATAAGGGATGAAAGTGTGTATGGAGAACCGATGAAAGTATAAAAATTTGTGTAGTACAGTAGCCCACTAGATGTACTTATTCTACGCACGCAGACGAAGTCGCATGACACTGACAGGCGCAATTTAATAGCGCGTTTTAGAAAATAGCGTAAGAGGTTCAAAGCCACCTAGCGGCATCTTACCTGAATTAAGTATACAGAGTAAAATAATTCAATAACAATACCTTGTTATTGAATGCCTACGTTATATTGGAGATGCAATTATGTCGGTGTCTTCACAATTACGACAACATGTAATACAATCCTTCCATCTATCCACGTTTGCATTTAATAGTATGACCACTCTATCCTTATTATTTTATACAGAGTCTGTAAACATGACACCATCCGATGATGACTGATAGAAACGTCGAATATTTGCAGAAGCACTGTAATAGATTACAAATCCAGCTAATACGTGTTTTGAATAATCTTCTTTAATTCAATATCTACTAAGCAATGCATTTTATTGCTGTGTAGATGGTCATTAAATTCATTAGTGAGTGATTTAAAAAAATACCCGAAGTCGATAACTACATACCGTTAAATATAAAAATATATAATATGCATTAACTACTTTTATTGTTAATGGAAAGGTAGTTATAGATTGTTAGGAGCTTTATATATTTAATGGCAAAGTTGTCATCAAATATACCGGATTGCAAACGTTATTCAACAGCATTTTTATAATTTAGCATTAAAATTAAACCATAAACAAAGGCAAAACAAAAAAGTGTAACTTTGATGTACATAAAAAACATCCTTAGAAGTTGCAGGCAATTAAGTTGTTCGGCGATTTTCGGCCTTCTACGCCACGAGGTCTTTTTACACACATCTGGGCACCAAATGTGCGGGCGCGCACAGCCGTTGGTGCTGAATCAGTGTAACAACTTAACTACCGTCCGATATTATTATTACTTTTTATGAATTTTTACACATCAATTAGTAAGACGGGTTCCCGGTTGTTTTATTGGGAAATAATGCATAATGAACGCCGAGAGTTCCAAAAAACAAATGACATTGCAGCTGAACTGAAGCTAACAATAATATTAAGTAAGCTGCATTAAAATAAAAAATATAAGTTACTGAAAAATAATCTCAAAATATATAGCAGCAAATAATCAAGGACTTATCCAAATTATCATTCCACGCCTTGACGTCAAATTGCGGGCACAAGCCCGTTACACCAAGTATCACTCACTCCACGGAAAACCGTGGAACTGTACTTCCTAATAATACACGAAACGCCGGAAAGAAATTCTAACTTATTAACTGATTTTGGTTTTGATTTGTTATTATTTGATTGAATAGTTCAATAATTAGGTACCAAAGGTTTTGAAATATATTAGGTTAATAGGCTATCAATAGTTTTCGATAAAATATAAATTAAGTTGGTAGTAATAGTAGGATTACATCAGCAACATTTTTTAGAATCTTTTAGTAGATTTTAATTCTAAAGGTATTTACTTAATTGTGCAAAAGTTTTCTATAACTTAATAAATAATGCAGTAATATTCATAATTTGAAGAAGCTCATTTTTAATTTACTTTTCGGAGCTTTTTTTAATACCTGTATATTGTAAATGGCAAGCTCAGAGCCCTGAAAGCTTATTTTTTTCGCATCTTTTGCGTTCAACTGTGAAAGATAACGAGACAGAGTTGTTTCGTGATGTTTTAATGTTTTAACAGAATTAGAGCGGACTCAGATGGCTTTATCTAACAAGTATTTTTTTACATTCAGTTTTATAATCGAAATATTGTAGTTAGTTATCCGATAATAATGTTCTTCTAATAACGAGTTAATAAAGGCACTATTATAAATATTTTTCCACGACTATTCAATGTACAATCTGTCGGCTAAACAATAGTGCACACTGGCAAACGTTTAACGAGTAAAATGTTATATTATGCAATTATACTACTTTTTTATATTACACTATAGGTCATAATTTTGCTGCGTTATGCACTTCAATGTAATTGACTGTACTGACTGTTTTTTTTTCATACAAAGGTGAATTTAAGTTTAAAGATATTATAGTTATTATTAAATATCTTTATTCTTTAACTAAACATACTAATGGAACATTTTTGAGTTAGGTATGCGACTTTTGCGACGCGACGAACGAGGCGAAGAAACACCCACCCGAGTACGCCGTGGACGGCATGGAGACCTGGTGGCAGAGCCCGCCTCTGTCCCGCGGCATGAAGTACAACGAGGTCAACCTAACTATAGACCTCGGACAGGTAAGTCTGATCTTTTTTATATTTTTTTTATAACAGCAAGAGACGGGACGAACATGTCGTGCGCCTGGTAGTAAGCGACACGCCTATTCTTAATAGTTGCAATTCCAAGAGCTTTCAATCGCAATGATCTTATGGGCACCACCACTGCGCCTGTGACCCTGAGACACAACTTGACAAGTCCCATGTGCCTGTAATCAATCATCAGCACCCTTACCCTTCTAAACAGGACCGCAATCATGTTCACGTTACTGCTTGGCGGCAGAAATAGGTGAAGTGGCAGTACTGAAATGGACGAACTTCTTCACAAAGAGCTCGACTGCTACTAAATGTTCTATTGATCTCATCTGTTCTGTAAATGCTTATTAATTTCCCAATATTTCGGAACGGATACACGATCCGTGGTCGAGAGTTGACGGAACAACTTTAAGAGCATCTGTCGACAACTACCGTCGTCTTGATTGTTTGATAAGAAACCTGTAAACTGGCAATAATCATTTAGGTATGTAGTGAATAGCCAAGGAAGCCTTAAAGTCTGTTCAATAAAATTTAGAACTAAATACCATTTAACGCTTGTCCCACATGCTGTATAAGAGTTTAAGAGGCAGCGATTGGTGGTACTACACCATAGTCCACCAATTTTGTGGAACCATCATTGGTTAGTTAATGTAGTCAATGTTGAATGGTTTATAGTACATTCTTGCACAGGCCGGGAAGTAAGGGATTCCTGGACGAGTATGAGTTACAAGGACGAGCGACAGCGAGACCTTGTATATAATACGAGCGAAGCAATCACCGTTCCCGTCGAGGCATATATAGAATTTTTCTTAAATATACTCGCAAATGTTTGCATTAATTACAAAAAACGAACACGGTAAGTTTATCATTTATGGACCGTGTGACTTCTTCCCAGCCAAAGCCTAAAGAACTATGTAAACAGGCAAAAGAAAAACTCATACAGCCAACTGTCCAACGTTCACAATTGCGAGAATTAAAAATACGGTCTATAATAATATTTTATCAAATAACAAATTTTACTATTTATGGCTAAAAACTTGATGCCATTGGCGTAGTAAACATCGGCGGCGACAACGTTTTTTGGAACTCTCCGACTAAAGCAAATGAGATGAGTTGCAATAGAGCTCCTTGTGAAAGAGTTCGTCCAGGGAAATACTGCCACCTTACTTATTTCTGCCGCCAAGCAGTAATGTGAGCATTACTGCGTTCCGGTTTTGAAGGGTAAGAGTGCTGATGAATTACAGGCATATGGGACTTTTCAACTTGCGTCTCAAGGTGACGGGTGCAGTGGCAGTTTCCCACAGGACGTTGAGATTTAAAGCTCCGCAACTATTCTGGACAGGCGTGTCTCTTACAATCGTCCCGTCACTTACTATAATAAAAAAGCGCACCACAAAGTTTTCAACAAGTAACAATTGTTTTTTAAAATATGAATCTAAAACAGACCTACCCAAAACTGATTAAACGTGTTGGATTTTGTACAAATCGGGAACTGGATGGTTTCGTCGGAGACACGCCAGCGTCCTGCCTCCCGAAATAGATGTTACAGTGCGTAAAGTGCATCGACCTCGGTTACTTCATCGTGGGCCGCACGCGCAGCGTCTAACAAAGACTGAAAACTAGCTTTTATCGCGGATGTTATGGCACTATTGTGCAATGTTATATGGCACGATTTGATTCAAATAAAGACCCTAAGGCGTGGCAGGAGGAGCGAGATCATAATTCATAAGAGTAGGTGTCTCTGTACTTTTTTCAAATTTAATATCACGATGTTTTAGTACCATAGTATTCAATTATTTTTAACCGAGTTCAAAGAAGGAGTACTCTATTGTATCTTTCTTTTTTTGTACGGATTTTTGAACCGATTTTGAATGTACTTTTTTGTTGGAAAGACGGTACCTCGGCAGTGGTCGCATTTATAACTTGAAGAAAGTCTATTCCACCTCTAAGGGTGACAAATTAGGGGATGACGGTTCCGCGCACTTTCCGGTAACCGACCGCAATAAAACTTGGCAAATATATGTCAATCCACGCGCTTTTGATGTCGGTTGTTTTTTAGTACTCTGTACTGACATTATTTTGGTGGAATTTCTCCACTGGTTTATTATAATTACTAATGCAAAGATCCAACACTAAGAAAAATTCCTTCGATCCGGCCGGATACGAACCAGCTTCTTCAGCATACCGTGTCTGATGTTCTCCGTAATGATGGTAATGACGATGAGCTATTGAAGTAACCAGCAGATCTTACGAATTTTTCTATGTACTTGTTAGTTTTAAACCAAAGAACAAAGATCTGTATTCATTTGAATATTTTTAAGCAAAATAGACACACGTATGCCCATTATCAACCTTATGCCGCTTACAATAAGAACGTTCCCATAAGAACGTAATTATATGTAGGTATATATATATATATATATATATATAGATATTATTATCTTATTAAGTACTTACTTCATATGCATTTATTCATTATTGCTGCATGTACAATATGTGTCAAATTGATCTTAAAAACTGTCACATTGACAGTACATGAACCCTATTGGGCATTGTAATTTATAACAATTTAATTAATATACATAGGGGATTTATTAATTATAGACTGTTTTCACGTGTACTATCTAATAAATGAAGTCGAATTATTTCGTTATCAATTGATATTCAAAAATAACAGAACGCAATGGCGGCTAAGCGAAATTAAAAAAAAACTTAAATATAATGCCAAGCGAAATTATGTGCTAGATCTCGCATCTCACGTTTGACGACTTATTTTTCTCAAAATAATTATTTGTATACACTTCCGGACACACAATTCGAGCCACCACGCATTTTCAGTATTAAGCGCCCTCAATGTCTTCTTCTTATCTTCAAATTAAACAATGTCTGATTAATCAAAAACTACTACACAAATTTGAAACTAGTATACTAAACTTCGTTTCCATAAGTCCTTGTTGGAAATTTGGATTTGCAAAACCGGGGGAAAACTTTTTCTTCGATGATAACACTGTATTTGTACTCTAGTCCTTTACGACAAAAATGAGAGGTGGCTCAAATTATGTGTCTGGGAGTATATTTACCTAGATAATTTTAAGGATGATTGCTTAGAATAATAACGCATAGAATGATAGTTTCATACGAGTATCAAACGAACTGTCACAAGTGAGGCAAAAATCAAATTCATGTAGGCTAGTTTTAGTAGTAGGTTAATTTTCGGTTTTAGTGAATATCTATATAAAAATACAAGTTGAAACGCGTTACTTCCTCGTTTAATGTGATGTTAGTATCTATTTTATGTTTGTCTGACGTATTTTTACACTCATTTACCGCACGTTTCGTCATTTTAAGCTAAAATTCTTGAGCTGTTCGCGGTGCAAGGTGACCTTGAGCACTGAAGGCCCGCCCGCTCGTGTAGGCCCATTGGGAGCGCTTCAATTTGCCTCACTTAGCGCGTGCGGACTAGATTTCTATGCGTTATTATTCTAAGGATGATTGTAATCAAAATACAGCAAATTTCAATATCTTTAAAAACATGTAACCTTTCATTTCGTCAGAATTAGAAATATCAGGAGAATAAACTACCATGAAGCAGCTTTTTCCTCTTGTGGACAGCTTGTCATTAAATGACGAATGTTCGTAATGTTTATACTATATAATGTATATAAATATATAGATTCTTCCAAGCCCTAGACGTAATTGAATGCTTAAGTAGGACAAATGATATTGACGTGTTCAGCAACACTGACATGAAAATTTCTAACACCCGCTGGTTACTATATGGAGATATGGTCGACGCTCAGAGCTCTGTGGCCCAAATTCTGCCTCTTACCTTTAGCTGGTGATCGACTGAACCTTTATGTGATTATAACTTACGTGTTTAGTTATAAATACTGTAAGTGTAAGTTGTAGAAAATAAATAAATACATTTGGGCGAAAATTGTGTCCTATTGTCGGAAGTGCACAACCTTACTGAATCCGCTTACCTGGCAAACCCAACAACCCCTAAGCAACGCCTAGAGTTTCTTGTTCATTCTTCTCAGGGACTCTGCCTTACGAATGAGCAGTAGAATTCAATCATTATGACAATTTAAAGTGTAATTTGCTTGTTGTTGCTTAATATTTGATGAATAAAGTCTTTTTTTCATAATATCAAGTGACGGGACGAACGAGTAGTACGCCTGATGGTAAGCTACACGCCTGTCCATAACAGTTGCAGTGCCACTCAGAGCTTTAACTCGCAAAGATCTGAGGGGCACTGCCACTGCGCCCATCACCCTGAGACATAAGTTGACACGTCACATGTGCCTGTAATTTCACCGGAACACAATAATGCTGACATTACTGCTTGGCGGTAGAAATAGGTAAGGTGGCAGTACTACCCTGGACGAACCCTTTCACAAGGAGCTCTACTGCTGCTTTATTAACTTGTAGTTACTTGGGGTAAGCACAAGAGCTTTTCAGTTTTCCAGTTTTATATTATTACTTATGCTACTCAGTTTCTTATTGCTTTGCGAATTTGCGACGAACGATTTTCGACATATCTTACTTTTGGTATAATAAAGCTACGTCATAAGTGCTTTTAAAAGATTTATTTATTTATTCAAAACAATAATATGTACCTACTACATGAAAGAAATCAAGTATACAGGGTGTAATCGTTAAGTGTGCCCAGGCAATTATTCCGTAAACATAAGAGATATCAAAAACGTTTAAACTGATATCGAGATAACGATATACAGATAACGAAACTAAATATATTATATACGAAATAACTGCCTATAAATAAAGTAATAAAACTATATTTTAATTAAATAAAAACAAAGTGGTTTATTTTTTATTAAGCACAAATTTCGTATTCAAAGCAGTTGTTAGCAATCAAAACTTTTCTACGAGCGTTTAATATTCTACTTTTGGATATTTGTAGTTGTTATATTCAATGGGTAACGTACTTTCGATATCAGTTTAAAGGTTTTTCATGTCTCTTATATGTACAGAATAATCGCCTGGGCGCATTTAACGAAATTTTATAACTCTCCTATTTAAGCAAAAAAAGTTGCCGACTTATTACATTCGTAGAATTTTTAAATATCTTTCATGAAAAGTTGTCATTTTGAAGATGTGGCCTTATTACCTCAAGGCTAGAGTTAATAGTATTTTTTTAGAGAAACGCGTACCTTTGTCGTTTACATCGTCATTTGGCATTTGGCTACAATATCGTGATCCAGCGTGTGTCTATTTTATCATCAAAAATTAGATTTAGATTAAAACATCCTTACAACCTTAAGTTATACATTTATTTATTATTTTTGTCAGTACTTATAGCCAGGGCTTGGAGTCATAATTAGCATTGATCAATGTCACGATAACTATCTTGAGAAATATACCTGCACATTTATAAAATTAATTAGTACGAAAAAATACGGAGACGTATCAATGTCAGTCTGAAAAAATTGATTTCCCAAAGATTTTTCTACGTAATTATTTAGCTTTCTCATTGTTAGTCATTTTCAGTTAAAAATTATATACACATAATCTAACCTCAGTACAGAGTACTAAAAAATTCGACCTCAAAAGTCGTTCATCCCCTAGTTTACCACCCTTAGAGGTCGAATATTTTCTTCAAATTTAAATGGAACCACTTCTGAGGTACCCTCCTTCCAACCAAAAAAGAATCCTCAAAATCGGTTCAGAAATGGCGGAGTTATCGAGTAACATACATGAAAAGAAACAGTCGAATTGAGAATCTCCTCCTTTTATTGAAGTCGGTTAAAAACTATGAATAAGCGTGTATAATTATCCCATGTACATAATTATCAGATCGTGGTCAAAGAAAACAAATATATTGTTAATTTCAATGCCGACTCCTAACAACAATAATAGTTTTTTTCCAGTATTATATTGTTAAGAAAAATCCGACTGGATTCGGACCAACGTCTTCTACCAAACGTTATGCCAACTAACCCAGTGAACGAAACAATGGACATTAAAAAATTCTATTTCGTTTTTTCGATTTTTGTATTAATAAAATTCACATACAAGTAAGTTAATATCATGCAAGTATAATATCATTGCGTGGCGGCGAAACGTGTTCACTTTCAATAAATGTGATTAAGTACATTACTAAGACATAATAAGAATTGTAATATTAAGAATGATTAGTACAGAGTAGAAAAGAAGGGTTTTATTGAAAAGGTATCATCATCAACTAAAGGCTAACTAGTTATAAACCAAGTGTGTTTTATAAAAGAGGCCGTAAAACAGCATTCGTGGAAAGCCAGACGGATGCAGTGGGCGGCGAGCAGTGACCAGTGCAGATAATAAAAACTTTATTATCGCGTAATGTCTATGTACTTTTTAGTACTCAATAACGTATAGAGTGTACTCTAACAACGCGTTCCATTATACCGTTAAGTAGGTGCTACTTAGGAATTCTGTCGGAATTATGTTAGTAGCTGAAATATGGCCAGTATTTCGATATCATCTCATATATTTAGAATTTCTGATATGTGAACTAAATTTCAAATAAAACGTGTACCAAACAATATTTCGTTGATTAATATTATATGCAATCCTGGTATAATGAGGGTTCTTAAAGTCGAGCACCGTGTACTTTAGGTACGAGAACTAAGTAACAGGTACTAGAGGTGTAATAATTGCATACAATACTTTTTCTATTAGTAAATAAAATAATGAAACAGAACCATGTATTTAATATATATTTTGTTGACAATCCCCGACAACAAACGCACTTTTTTTTTTAAATAAATGTTAACCCAATTATTAGGTACTATAGAGCCTCTTCTTATATTTATACGAAAGCCAAACAAACGCTACAAAACAAAAACCAAAGAAATAGTATTTTAAACAATATTTTTTTTAATACAAAATTGTGGCCCTGTTGCAAGACTTTTAGGCCAATTTAACGTACAGCGTTTGAGTAGTGTCTTATTAATTGATATTTTAATTAGCAAAATTACGACGTTCTCTTTTTGAAACTCATTATAGTTCTGTGTACAGTAGGTGTACTATAATTTTTCAGCTCAGTGCCGAATGTCTTATAGAATTTTCATTTAGTACTAAAAAGAGCGCTTTTTTATGAAATTATAATTGACAGATTAAAATGCAATTATAGAAACAATCTATTACGCATCTTTCAGCTATTATGGCCACAACTGCAAAATTACGACTTTTCAGAAGGGCTTAAAAATTCTATAAACAAAATTTGTCGATAACTTTCTTATGCATACATTTTAGTTACAAAGTTTTCACATATCAGTGCGAATTAACCATCTTTAGTACCTACAAAATACGAGGTCGTAACTATACCGACAGTAATTAAAAGGTTGTCTAAACAAAACGTTCATCTTACAAATACATATGTAAAGTACTCAATAGTCGAGTTTATTCTTTTATTTTATTTGCCGTCTAAATCGAATTAAAGAAATGTTTTGACTTTAGCTACAAACCTGCATGCGAAATTCCCTTGGTCCATAAAAACCAAAAAATGTTTGTATAGGATTAAACTGTAAACAAAGCCTTTCTAAATCAGGAATTCCACGTGGCGTACGTGTTTGTGAGGATGGGCAACTCACCACGACCTGGACTCTGGGCACTGGAGAAGTCCTCGGATTACGGGAAGACATTCAAACCCTGGATGTATTTCTCAGATTCTCCGCAGTAAGTTCACTTTAACATAAACGTGAATGATATTCGCTTCGGGAGCATCTTTATTTATTTAATAGGCTTACCAACGTCTGTATACAATATTACTTATTACTAGTGTTGCAACGAATCGTATTTCGCCTTCAGGCCGAATACCGAATATTCGGCCCGGAGCGAGGCCGATTATTCGGCCAAACTATTCGGCATGATTAATGATCTTACGAAAATGTTGGCGCGCAAACCGCATTATAGCAAAGATACATATATATAAGTTAAATTAAATTAAACCGGTAATGATGCATGATTTTGTAAAAAGAAACAAAAGAGGAAATTTAATTTTCAAGTTTATAATTCAAATTTATGACATCTTAATGAAGAAAGTAATTGTTTATTTCACGTCAGTTTGATTAACTTTCAAAAACTTAAATTTATTTTCATTTGCAAATAAGAAGTACTGGGTTGTTTTCGTACCGTTTATTCAATCATGATTTCGTGACAAAATTATATAATAAGTAGGTAGTGTTCATTTGATTGCTACCTGTTTATGATCTCATAGAAGTTACTATTTGTGATAATTTACTGTATTTTATTATTTCTTCCTCCTTTTTTTAGGTATTCGGCCGAATAGTGATGTAATATTCGGTATTCGGCCGAATAGCAAAAAAGAGACCGAATAAGCCGAATACCGAATATTCGTTGCAACTCTACTTATTACATCTTATCATACCTTTACAAGAGACGTAATTGCTACAAACATTTAGAGGTAAACACAACATGCACTAAAACAGAACTATGTTTAACTAAAATTTAAAATAAAACTAACGAACTTTTACAAATAACAATATGATTAGAAATTGATGCGTACACATTATTAGACTGAACTTAATAAATTAAAAATTTTCTTACGAGAATTTTCTTAAGAGGAGAGTCAAAGGTGGACCGTCCTACACAACCTTGCAACTGGCGCATTTGAGCCAGATACGGTTTTGCGAAATGGATCAATAAATGGAGTAATTTTGTTACGAGGATAATCATTATAATCCTCTGCTATTTCCCACCAGTATTTACTTCAAACATAAATTGAGAGTCTGTGTATGACAATTTAGAGAAATCATATAAACATAATATTACAGTTAGCTAAGTTTTGGTTTCATGGATGGATAGATGATAGGTACTTGAAGATACAGAAGCCAGTTTGTAATAATATTATCAGTTGTTCTTTCTGGGGAGCAATGGTTAGTTAATTTCTGCAAAGAGGTTCGTGTCGATATTGGATACTTAAAGCTGTTAATAAGTATTTTGAGACCCTGATTTCGTAATTAAATACCCGTAGACTTCTTTTCATGTTGAAACAAGTAAAAGTGAAGACACTTCTGCAAATGAGGTCGACAGAAACTAGAACCAAGGTACCTACATTTTCTTACTTAATGTTTCTGTTTCAAGGGACTGCGAACGATATTTTGGAAAAGAAAGTTTGCAGCCAATCACCAGAGATGATTCGGTTATATGCAGTACCGAGTACTCGAAGATTGTTCCTCTTGAGGGCGGAGAAGTGAGTGTTATTTTTCTATATAGGTACCCAAGTTTCCATGCAACTTTGAGATGGAATAATTGTTTGAGGAAACAGGGTTTTCCAATAAGGACATAACAATTTTGTGTTTCAATAAAACAAATAGTAATTGAGATATCGAAATGAATTTTTCCAGAATTTATTCCAGGCGCAGTACACGTGTTACATTTAAGAATGGAATTCGATCTCGTTCATATGACCGCCGCGAGGACGTTTGTAGTGGTCACACAGCTGGTCAAACAATCGATCTATTGAAGAGGAAGTTTGATAATCGTGTAATCTTGGGAAATGGTCCGGTCGAATGTCCACCTCGCTCATGCCATCTAACGCCGTTAGATACTTTTTATGGCGTGCGTTAACTCGTTGGTTTATGTCAACCCGCCAACAATGTTAATTGAGCTCAGGAACAATATCATACGCCAACTTTTCGGCCGATATGTGTGGAAGAATAGTGGAAAATCGGCTCCAAAGAATTGAACGCTATAAAGTGCTCGCGGTAATCATATGAACGAGATCGAATTCCATTCTTAAATGTTTCTATGAATTCTTAAATTCATATTTACTGCACCTGATATAAATTTCAGTTCGATATGTCAATTATTCCGTGTTTTATTGAAATACAAAATTGTTGTATACGTATTGAAAACTCCGATATATTAGTATCAAGGATTTCATTTGTAAACAAGTTGTTTGATAAAAGTAAACTCAAGACTAAAACAATAACAAAACTCGGACAACAACAACGTAACTAGGAACGTTCACATTGTTCAACGTTATGTAAGTTGCCTTCGGACTAATTGTCACCAATTTTTGAAAGAAATCATATCAGCTGACTAAATAAGTTAATATCTTAGATCCCGATTTCCCTGCTGACTTACCGGCCGTCGGCGAATATGTATTTCAACTCATCGGTGCTGCAAGAATGGACTAGAGCCACCAATGTAAGGTTGCGACTATTGCGGACTAAAAACTTATTGGGGCATCTCATGTCTGTCGCTAGACAAGATCCCACGGTCACCAGACGGGTAAGTGCATCCCTAGAGATATCAGGAAACTTTTAAGACGAAATTTACTAGTTTTTTTTTCGATCAGCATATTAGATACAACCTCTAATGGCTTTGGTTGATTCAGCATAACAGTGAAAGTGTTGAAAACAATCAATTTGGATAAAAAATTGTAATATTAAGTATATACACTGATTACTATACGGTGTGAAAACACGATACCTAAAAATGTTTCACGATAGAAGAAAACAAAAACTTACCTCAAAATTTTACAAAAAAAGTCGTTGTATTCAATAGTTACTTTACAAATACTTATGATATTTTTTATATCAACTGAGCTAAATAGAATACGTATACTATAAACATTTTTCAAATGGTTTTCATGTCGTCTGTAAAAAAAGAATTCTGAAATAAAGCCGTGTCCCTGCCGCTGACACGAGCAATAATACCGATTAAGTGCGGGATAACATTTGAATTCGAGCAGATGATAATTAGCAAAATGTTAATGCTCCTTATATAATTAATAAATGAAATCTTCCACAGGTAAAATGTGAAACAGTACAACTCTAGTGACAGCTCTGTTTTTGCAGTATTTCTACAGTATTAAAGACATCAGTATCGGCGGGCGCTGCATGTGCAACGGACACGCGGATGTGTGCATGCCGGCTTACCCGGAGAGCAACAGCAACATCCTGGTTTGTCACTGTCAGCACAACACTCGTGGCCCCCAGTGCACCGAGTGCCGCACAGGCTTTGAGCAGAAGAAGTGGAGAATATCGCAGAATTGGGACCGTTTTTCTTGTGAACGTAAGTAACCTATGTTGTAAAGAAAAGTGTTGATTTTAACAGCTATTAACTTTATACAAAGCACAAGGCCGATCTTGCATGGAGTATTGCAATCACCTGCGGGATGCGCATAAGCTCCATCAACGTTCCGCCCCCTTTTAACATCGGACATTTAGGTGTGTATACCAGTATATCATCCTTGCTTGGTCGATATTCCCGTCAGCAGCTTGATTTTGATTGCCTCTCTTGATTTCCAAGTCGAAGTGAATAATATTGCGGGTGGACTATTTTAATTAAAATCAGGGCCCAGGCGTACTAAGCATTTTTCGTCATCATTTGTTATTCGCACAGCCAAACCATGGAATACCCTGCCTGCGATTGCGTTCCGAGCTCATACAACCTGAGTATCTTTAAGATGCGACTGAATAGGCGTCTTCTGGGCGAGCTTGATCCATTGTAGATTATATCTTTGATCCAGGGTTAGGCAGTGGCAAGTCCATTAACTTTAAAAAAAAATTTGATTCAAAGAGTCGATTTCATACTGAATTTTTTTTTGTAAGTGCGCATTTGACCTCCATTTCACCTGATGGAAAGTGATGATGAGGTCAACGACGTATTATGCACACCTAAATAATACCTATTCACTCTCGCCTTGAAAAGGTCTAAGTTATAGCGTTCGGGGAATAAGGCCGCAGGTAGGGAATTCCACTCTCTAGCCGCTCGCCATATAAATTTGGAAACGTAACGCTTCGAGCGAATTCTGGGAATATCCACAATATAGGGGTGGAATCGCAGCCCACGTCTCGTCGCCCGATGATGGAAAGGGGAAGGCGGAATCAAATTATGCAATCCCATTGCACACTCTCCGTGATATATCCTGTAGAATACTGATAAGCAGGCAACTTTACGGCGGCGTTCAAGGCTCTGCAGCCTCTCCTCTACTAAATTCCGAGTCAATGATATTGTATTAATATATATAACATATTATAGATATTTATAAAAATTTTAATATAATTAAAATTTTTGCAACAATGATCGATGTTGTTGAGTTATTCGAACTAATTATCTTCTACAGCATGCAATTGTCACAACCACACGACCAAGTGCGTCTTCGACCCTGAGGTGGATGCGAAGCGCTTGTCGTTGGACATTCACGGGCGGTACGAGGGCGGCGGCGTCTGTCAGGATTGTCAGCATAACACTGAGGGAATTAACTGCAATAAATGCAAGCCTAAATACTACAGACCCTATGATAAGAGCTGGAACGAAATAGATGTTTGCCAACGTAAGTATTGTAGCGTTCTTAGTTTCACAAAGATCAAGAAGTTTTTAAAAATAACAATAATAACTATCAGTCGTGGGACCTAATGGTTAGACCTAGCGCCTCTTGATTAGGGGTTCGTGGGTTTGAATCCGAAATTTCGGTGGAAAGAAACTGTGAGAAAACCTGGAAGTGTACCACGGAATACGAAATACGAAGCAGCGATCAACGTTTACCTTCGTATCGGACCGGATTTACTCTGAAACGTCAAATGACAGTTTTCGTATCGAATTTTGACATTACTTTCATCGTAATACTGACATACGTAGTAAGCATGAGTTTCGTTGCGGACGCAATCACGTAGTATCGTATTTCGTTACGTTGGGGATTTTTGAATTTTAAACAAACGCTCTTTGAGTAACAAAAAATCGACCTCAAAAATCTTTCACCCCTACTTTGCCACCCTTAGAAATGGAATTATAGCCTTCAAATTTAAATGTGACCACTCTTGAGGTACCCTTATTTCCTACAAAAAAAGAATCATCAAAATCGGTACACAAAGTTATATATACATAAAAAATATACAGTCGAATTGAAAACTCTTCCTTTTTTGAAGCCGGTTAAAAATGTGACGAATATGAAGCCTTTGTCTGTGTACGCGTCATCGTAGCTGCCAAAAGAATAGACTTAAACCTTAAACGCTTTATTTAATTTGATGGCGAATTTAATAGGGATAGTTCTCGGCTATGTTATGTTGTTCTGTATGTTATGCCGTCTGGGGTCCATCATAATAAGGTACACATTGAACGATTAGAATTTTAGTATCCTTTAGTCTTAGAATAATAACGCATAGAATGATAGTTTCATATCAAACGAACTGTCACAAGTGAGGCAAAAATCAAATTCATGTAGGCGTAAGCAACTTGTATCTACGCTCGTCGGCACGCACACAAATATACAAATAATGATGCTATGGAATTGCATGGAAACGCGTTACTTCCTTGTGGAATGTGATGTTAGTATCTATTTTACGTTTGTCTGACGTATTTTTACACTCATTTATCGCACATTTCGTCATTTTTAGCTAAAATTCTTGAGCTGTTCGCGGTGCATGTTGACCTTGAGCACTGAACACCCGCCCGCTCATGTAGGCCCATTGGGAGCGCTTCAATTTGCCTCACTTAGCGTGTGCGGGCTAGGTTTCTATGCGTTATTATTCTAAGACCTTTAGTATCCAGTATAAAGTTTAGTAACTTTAGAGCTCCCTGTGAAAGAGTTTGTCTAGGGAAGTCCTGCCACCTTACCTTTTACGGCCGCCTTAATAGTGAGCTGTAATGTGAGTGTTACTGCGTTCCGTCCGGTTTGGAAAGATAAGGGTGCTGGTGAAATTATAGGCACATGAGACTAGTCAACATTATGTCTCAGGGTGATCATCGCAATGGCAGTGCCCCTCATCTTTGCGATTTAAAGCTCTGAGTGCTTAGAACAATAACTGTCACAAGTGAGGCAAAAAGCAAATTCATGTAGGCTAGTTTTAGTAGTAGGTTAATTTTCGGTTTTAGTGAATATTTATATAAAAATACAAGTTGAAACGTGTTACTTCCTTGTGGAATGTGATGTTAGTATCTATTTTATGTATGTCTGACGTATTTTTACACTCATTTACCGCACATTTCGTCATTTTTAGCTAAAATTCTTGAGCTGTTCGCGGTGCAAGTTGACCTTGAGCACTGAAGGCCCGCCCGCTCGTGTAGGCCCATTGGGCGCGCTACAATTTGCCTCACTTAGCGTGTGCGGACTAGGTTTCTATGCGTTATTATTCTAAGTCTGAGTGGCACTGCAACTGCTATGGACAGGCGTGTCGCTTTCCATCCGGCGCACGACTTGTTCATACCGTTACTTGATATCATAAAAAAAAATTATAAATATTTTTTATTTGAAGTTTGTAAATGAGATTTAAATGATACTGCTCGACATTTTAAGAAATTTATCTCAGGTTTTTCAGAAGTTTTTCGGTTTTTTTTTTCAGATCTTTAAATTACTGTAACGTTCGTACGTATGTACAGAGTGATAAAAAACCATTGAGCAGCAAGAACGGTGTGGGGGCAGTGGGCGGAGTCATGCGCGAGTTTATGTATTTGACAGACAACAAAGTATTAAACTAACGCGCGATGCGTTAGCGCAGGTCTGTCGTCGCGCGGCGCGACGTGCTGGTGCCTAGGCGTCTAGACAACTCGGCGCCGTTCGATCGCTCAATATTATTTACTATTTTGGGTAACCACGCCTTAGAAATCATTGGGAAATGTTAACGTAAAAAAATGCGGATTTTTGTTTTGTTTTATCTCTCTAATGTGTTCTATTACTGAATGTTATGCACAGGAAAAAGATGGGCAGTGTTTTTTTTATCACCCTACATATAAATGTATACGATGTTTACAATATAAAGCCTAAACGTTGAATGATAATGCGATGATAGTTTCTGGCATCGTCGAAACTCTGTAAACGCTATGAGATCAGCAATGATGTCATGCTTTATTTAGTTTATGTAATTAAATCTTTTTTTGTTCACTTTTAATCATTAAAAGTGCCTTTATTACAGGGTTATTTGCAAATTATAATATTAACAACCTCGCAGGACTATATTACTAACGTCATGAACATTTGTTCCATGACTTTTAATTATTTACCACATTTAAACAGATAGCTCTATACGTGATAACTCTATGCAAAATGTAGAAGTCAGAGTGGAGGTCATCGGGTAGGAAGCTTGCTACTGTTAAACTTATAACTTCACTAGCAAATACAGATCTAAGAAGTGTCAATATATTAGGGGTTAAAGTATGAAATTGCCGTTTTATTGCAATAGGTTCTTTGAATTTTCATAGAATCTTCATGGTTTGAGGTTTTCGAATGAAACTTTTTTCAAATGGTTTCTGTGATTTTTTTTTTTTTAAATTTGAAACATTTGAATATCGACTTTCAATTGTTTTTGTTATTCAATTTAGACAAGAAAGATGGATACTGCGAAAATTCGAGTGATTTTTGAATACGAGTTCCGACGCGGAACTAACGCAGCAGAAACAGCCCGCAATATCAATGCTGCGTTTGGAGAGGGGTCTACTAATGAACGCACCGTGCGATTTTGGTTTAAACGCTTTCGTGATGGAAATTTCGACTTAAAGAACGAGTCACGAGGAAGACCGCCCACACAGGTGAATAACGATGAATTAAGAGAGATAGTGGAAGCCGATCCTAGTCAAACTACCCAGGAATTTTACCTTGTTACCTTACCCACAATATTGACTCACTTGCGTCAAATCAATAAAATAAAAAAATACGAAAAATGGGTGCCTCATGATTTGACTGATCTGCAGAAAGAAACGCGTGTTGAAACTTGTGTTGCCTTGTTGAACCGGTACAGAAATGAAGGAATATTGGATCGAATTGTAACATGTGATGAAAAGTGGATTCTTTATGATAACCGGAAAAGAAAAATGCAATGGCTGACCCCAGGTCAAATGCCACAACAGTGTCCTAAAGCAAAACTTACCAATAAAAAGGTAATGGTAACTGTTTGGTGGTCTCAGCATGGTGTTATTCACTATAGTTTTCTCCGATCTGGTCAAGCAATAACGGCAGATGTCTATTGTGCCGAACTCCGAACCATGTTGACAAAACTAGCAGTAAAACAGCCCCGACTCATGAATCGATCTTCACCATTATTGCTCCACGACAACGCGAGACCTCACACAGCACGAGAAACCATTTTGACCCTTCAGGAACTGCAGCTAGAAACCATTCGTCATCCTCCGTATTCACCAGACCTTGCTCCAACGGACTACCATTTTTTTCGTGATTTGGACAATTATCTACGTGACAAGAAGTTTTCTTCCCAGGAGGCAGTACAAAATGCTTTCACACAGTTTGTGCAGTCTAGATCGTCGGAGTTCTATCGCAAAGGCATTAATAACCTTCCCATTAGATGGCAGCAATGTATAGATAATAATGGCAACTATTTTGATTAAATAAATTTGTTAAAAATTTAAAAAATAAACAATTTAGATTTTCAGTACAAATCGGCAATTTCATACTTTAACCCCTATTATTATGTTTAGAAAAAAGTCATGGTACAAATGTTACTGCGAAGTTGTTAGTATTTTTTATATAATCTTGTATAGACATTTTAAACGAATTCAATAAAGGAGGAGGTTCTCCAATTGACTGTATTTTTGTGTGTATCTTACGCGATTACTGTGTTTGTGAACCGATGACTTGATGATTATATTTTGTTGATACTCAGTACTGGTCCTATTTAAATTTCAAGTAAAAATTCCACCTCTAAGGGAAGCAAACTAGGAGATGAATCCGGGTTCCTCGCACTTTCCGGTAACCGATTTCAATAAAACTTTGCAAATAGATATGTAATTCGACGAACTTTTGACGTTGGTTTTTTAAACAAAAATCTAACTATTTTGGTACAGCAGCGTCCTAGAACCACACGATATCTCTAACGCAGAGCTCTGTTTTCGTTCACCCGTTATTGAAAAATTTTAAATAAGTAATTTATGAAAAATATATGAAAAATTTTACCAATATCGTTACTAACACCGTGTGTGACTATTAGGTCCCATGTCGGGTTGAAATCGTTAACACGGTACCACTTGTGTACCTCCTTTCTGTCTAATGAAAAATGCCTAGAGATATAATTATTTGATCTTCCAGCTTGTAACTGTGATCAGCACTACTCGACTGGCAATTGTCAAGAGGGAACAGGTAGATGTGAATGCCGCAAAGAGTTTAATCCACCAAACTGCGACTCTTGCGCATACGGCTATTTCGACTATCCTAACTGCAAACCGTGTACCTGCAACCTTAATGGCACCGATGGTGAACATTGCACTCCTATTGGCGGCATTGTAAGTTATCAAAAGTTTGACTTACGCTATTTTCTATACTCAGAAATTCTCTTGAAGACCTGACGCAACTGTAAAGTGTTCGGATTTTTTTTCTAAAATATTCAAATGTATTTAAGAGTTATTAAATATTCTGCAACTTTATTAGCAGTACAATTAGTGACAGAGTTCGGTCAGGGAAGTACTGCTACCTTATCTATTTCTGCCGCCAAGCCGTAACGTGACCTACTGCGTTCCGGTTTTGAACTGCTGGTGAAATTACAGGCACATGTCCAATCGGAGACTGCCTTAAGTGTCAAATTCAAATGACTAACCATGGGCACTCGAGACTGGATTTCTTCTACACTGACCCTGACATTGGTAAACTACCTATCAACAATTGTCTCATTAGCATACCGAAAAGCACATGGAATTAACATAATCATTGATACACAGCAGAAAGAGAGTTGTGGACAGTAAGGGACCCTGAGGAACTCCGGCAGATCTATCGCCAGATGTTCGGAAGACTAGCCTACTGTCGCTTTCAATTTTTTTTTTATTGCGACTCGGCAAAATGACTGCACCGCGCCTGATGGAAAGTGCGAATACAGTCCAGAGATGAGAGTAACGGATGGAAAACACAAATATCTTCACTCCGTCACTATCATTTTGCCGGTCTGGCCAAATGCTTCTTCACACTACGTTCGAAGGACCCGATGTTATAGAGGGGAGGGAATACATGCGCCGGGAGTCGGTTCCACAATTTGATGGTTCGGCATAAAACGAATTGCCAAACTTTTTAGTGCGGGACGGTATTGAACTGACCGTCCAACTGTGGCAACGCAGCCCGGCACGGGTGGTCCGTTGATGGAAAGGAGAGGAAGGGATAAGGTTGAATAACTCTTCAGAGCACTCATCAATGTATATAACAAAATATTTTTCTCGTATGCTTACACCAAATGGATAGCTCTCGTAAATATAAATCTGTTACGGAATTTAATTTATACGCACTCAGCATGACACTTAACAAGATTTCATAAATTCGTGTTTCGCATAACGTAATTAAACGAATTTAAAATAATAGACCGCGATCGTGTTTTAATTTATAAAACACAAACTACTTATTTATCTTTTCAAAAATCGATAAACTGCTGCTTTTTGACCACCGATGAAGCCTTTAATCCGTTTTGACGCTTTATGCCAGAAACGCAAAATGGCACACGGGCAACGGGAGAATCTGGCATTTTGCTAATCTGGCATTCTGTGAATCTGGCATTCTAAGGATCTGACGTTCTGCTAATATGACATTCTGCCCGTTTAGCATTTTGTGTTCCTGGTATAAAGCGTCAAAACGCTTTAATCTAAATGCCTTCCAATAACTTATTGTTCCCAGTGCCCATGCAAATATAATTATGCTGGTACGTCGTGCGAGATATGCGCAGATGGTTTCTATTCTCCGGAGTGTAAAAGTAAGTATTGTTTCATGGTTTATAGTGTCAAATGGTTACTTTTTTAAATCTTAGAGTCTGGAAAAAGAATAAAAAATATAGTGAAGATAAGGGCAGATGAGAATGACTGACAGAGTGGTGTAAGTTTGTGAACTCACCACCAGTTATAGTCAACCGACATGTTGACCGGAGGAGTTTAGAAAGACGTGCAAAACAAAAAATAGGAACAGAGTATTCAATAGATGTCAATTGTGTTTTTTTTTAAAAGACTGCGAGTGCAACAGCATCGGGTCGGTATCGCAGGTGTGCGACAAGGAGAGCGGTAACTGCACCTGTAAGAGCAAGTACGCCGGTCGCACCTGCAACCAGTGCGAAGCTGGCTATTATAACTACCCTTCTTGCAAACGTAAGTACTAGAAAGTAGTATCTCCGAACAAATATTTTTAGATTCATAAGTTCTACACACTGAATATACGTCGTAGGGTTTACAGCTCCGCTGCGTTTCTGCGTCCCGGGAAAAAAAACGAGTCTCGGTTCGGTCTCAAAAATACCGGGAAAAACGAGACTATTTCAAAAGTAGGTGTCCATACTTCTAGGTTACGTTAATATAGAATTTTAATCAAGTTCTTTAATAAAATTTTTATTCAATTGATATTCAATTATTTTTATGTGAAATTACTTCACTAGTTTGTTATAATTATTAATACGAAGATCGAACACTCAGAAAAAATTCCTTCGAGCCAGCCGGATTCGAAGCGACGTCTTCTAGCATACCATGCCAGACGCTATACCAACTAAGTCTATAACAACTAAAAAGTCGTTGAAAAATCAAATACAAAGATACGACGCAAACACATAGAAAAATTCGTGAGGTCCGCTGTTTCGTTTCGTGGATTAGTTGGTATTGTATGCTAGAAGACGTCGGTTCGAGTGATAAGATGTTGTTGACATGAGTGTTCGATCTTTGTATTAATAATTATAACTAAATAACTAAAATTATTTAAAACAAAATAAATTTGAAAGTCCTCCACTCTATGGTGCTATCATGTCCATGTAACCAGAAATGATTGGTTTAATAGAAGTGACTTAATAATAGCCGCTTGCACACTACGTAGATTCGTATCAGTTCATCATAACAGTTCCTGTTCATCAGAAATGTCACAGGGATCATTTTATCACTAGGTGTGCAAGCGATATTCGTATTTTCTCGCATTCGAATTGGATTTGGATTTGGAGGCACAAGCGACATCCGAAGTGGGTTCGAATTTTATAGATTTGTACAGTCTCAGATTCGAAACGAATGCGACGTTCTTATTCCCGAGACTGAAAACATCCGCATCGAGTCTCGAAAATGTACAAAATCGTCGAGACTAGAAATATTCGAGACCGAGATTCCCGAAATAAGTTCCCATTACATTGCAGCTCTTCTACACTAGATATTACAAATTATATATACACTCCCGGGCACATACTTCGAGCCACCTCGCATTTTCAGTATTAAATGCCCTAAGCTTAAGTAGTGTTTGATTGATCAAAAACTAAAGTAATTTTGAAACTAGTATACTAAACGTCTTTTCCATAGATCCTTGTTGGAAACTTGGGTTTGCAAAACGGGGAAAACTTTTCGATCGTAACACTACTTTTGTATTCTAGCCCTAAGACAAAAATGCGAGGTGGCTCGTATTATGTGTCCGGAAGTATATATTTATATTCAGTTATTAATATGATACCAACGGATACAGAATGCAATTGTGACGTGAGTGGTACTGCGGCCAGCGTTTGCGACGACGTCACCGGCCAGTGCATTTGCAAGACAGGCTTCGGCGGTGCACGCTGCGACCAATGTCTGTCTGGGTTAGTTGTATTTTCTGAGTTTTCTGTACTCTTTATTCTAGAGCGTCTCTCTCCCAATGTCAAATTCTAAGTCAAATAATTATTTATTTCGTAAAATGTTTAGACTTGAAAACATCATTTTTAAGCTACTGCTCGTTCACTGTGCTGACTTCCCTGAGAAGAACGAGCAAGAAACTCTAGGGATTGCTCTTTTCAAATAAACTTGAATGCTATAGTGAATCATAATTGTAAGGAATCTAGACTCATGTTGTCTTTATTTAACACATTCTCTTCAATTTCGTAATACGACTTGTCAATGAAAATAATTTTAATATAAGTTTTAAACTTAGGAATATATGATCCGGAATCTTATTGTAAAAACGTATACAGTCCTTATAAAAGAGTCGTTACCTTAGTTCATCGTTTTCGTGACCCCATGAGTTTGTTCTAAGATTAATATTATGGATATCGTCTTTCTTAATGAAATTATTTCACTTCACTTTTTATTTTTATGGCTCCATCAATATGAGAACTGATGATTTTGCCAATGTCACAGTTGAAAGAAAAAAAACGAAACAAAAAAAAATTTTCGCTAAGCTCTAATAGGACATTAACCGGTGTTGGTAAGTTGGACTACGGGAGTACTCAGTTGAGAATGTAAAACAAAACAGCAAAACAATATTTATAAATATATGTTATTTAAGTGGATAAATTTACATAGAGTAACAATATGGGGGGAGAACACTAAAGTTAAGAGGTTGTTTATGTTAATGGGGCGGGGGAATTTTGGAGAAAGTAAGTTATAAAGTGGAACAGCAATATTAGGACAATTGAAAAAAATGTGTTCCAAGGTACCGTCTTCTAGGCCGCACTCGCACAGAGAGTGATCTCGAACTCTGATTTTACGCAAAAATACAGGTGTGCAAACATGGCCTAAGCGCAAACGAATAATAGTGGAAGTGATGTTTTTAGGCAAATCGCGACGTTTAAAAAACCAGGGTTTAGTGGGTAGATTTGGTTGGAGGTTACCATAGTGTCTACCAACAGTTTGTCGTGATTCCTGCCAAAGGACCGACCAGGAGGCTAGCATTTGGGGTTTGGTCATGGCGAGCAGATCTCTGGGAAAGCACTTACAATTTATATTTTTACGGGCATACATAAGCAAATCTTTTATTTGATAGATGTCACAGTCATGATACCAGTCTCCTTAAACTTTTCTACGGTGAATTCCAATTTCCAAGTTTAAAAAACATTACAACACAATAAGTTTAATGATATTTATATTTTTTTTTGTAAAACTATGCCAGTAGTTTGTTATTATTATAGCTGCAAAGATTCACGATGAGGCAACAGAATCTGGGTCACACATATTCATATCACATATTCTTAACTCAAAACAGATACTACATGGACGTGCGTGATCGTGAGCGGCTTTGTGTGCCATGCAACTGTTCATCAACCGGATCTCCGTCAACGAGCTGCTCAGCGGACGGCAAGTGCAACTGCTTGGTCAACTTCGGTGGGAAGCAGTGCGACCAGTGTTCGCCGGGATACTACGAATTCCCGGACTGTCTGCGTGAGTGACGCTAATTTTTATTTTGTAAATTATCTGCAAATTAACAGATTCATCGCCGTGGTGGCTTAAAAGGACCAGTACCTAATTTTGCGATGCTCGTTCACGTTGCAGTTGGCAAACGCTACGTTCTTAGCCATATAACATGACCGGCGCGGCCCTGACGAACTTCAGTTGCCATTTGGTTTTTAGAATGTTTGATGGCATATCTACTTTTCTAGACTTAGAGGAAAAAATTTTTTTTAAAAGATTTTAATTTCAAAGTAAGCAAAAAATGGTTAATGTTAAATGATATATACCTATACCAGTTTTAGGTAAACATCGATCGAACATTACGTGTTTGAACCTACTCTGCCTGGCATTGTGATTGGCGCGACCCAAACGTAATAATGGGTTGAAATTAAAAATATTAATTACCAAAAGAGTCAAATAATGAAATGCCGCAAAAAAACTTATATACAAATGAGACCAAAAAAAGTCATATAAGCCAATGTCATGTTTTGAGCATTTCTGAAAATTCTAGAGGGGACGAACGTGTTAATAAGGAAGTTTTCTAACTTTTTTGGACCGTTGTATAAAATCTTTACACTTTATGAAAGTTGACAACACGCCTTGTATTACTTTTAAGAAAGTATTCTTTATATCAGCTTGCAACTGCGATACGTCCGGTTCGGTGGGTTATACGTGTGACGACAACGGACGATGCCATTGCCGTCCAAACTTCGACGGCGACAAGTGTGATCGTTGCAAGGAACAGTTTTACAACTACCCAGCCTGCGAAGAGTGCAACTGTGATCCGAGAGGAGTCGTCGCTTCCTTCGCTGGTAAGAATAGTCTTAGATTGTATTTGCTCAATCTTATCTATATCTCGTAGAAATAACGCCACAGGCAAACAAACAGCTAGATATATGCTTAGTAATCAAACACGTGGTATAAGAGTCGAAGAAGACGACTGCATCGTTTGTATCGATGCAGTCGCGCACTTGTATCGCTGCTTAATATCGAGCGCGTGTGTAAAGGTAGACGACTAGCGACTGCATCGCATTTGCATCGCTACAAAAAAGTCGCAGTGTACACATAAAAATCTTAAAAAACATGTTTTAATTCAATGTAACACAAACTAGGTATGTCGTTTTCCCGTACATTCATAAATTTGACGGCGGTAGTCAGGATGCTCTTGTTCCTATGTGTTTGTTCGTGTGTAACTGGCTCGATCGTGTTAATATTGTGTGTGGTGTGATGAGGATGATGCGTGGGCTAACGAGAGAACAATTTGTTTGTTTGTATGTGGATGTGACAGTGTGAATAAAATTGGTTAATAAATTAAATAGGGTGATCTTTTTCTATTAGGATACCTTTGATTATTTTATTTATATTGTTTAGTATTATACATTGAACTATTTTGTGGCGAAGCGCAACTTATACTCTTAACATGAGAAGGGTCAACGTAAGCGTGACGTTTCATTACAAACATGTGCTGAAACGTCACATTAAGAAGTACAATATATCTAGAGCCTTCGCAACGGGATCACCAGGCCGCCAAAAAGGCCGAAGTGGAGGATGCTGGTCAATTCCAAAGTCTGACTTTGAGGATGGACGGTGCTTGGAATTTGATTGTAAGCGTAAAGAACTGAAAACCCGACCATCTACAGTCATCAGTTATAATCTTGAAAGTAGTGTGCTCACATGCCCGCAGTCGCGAGGATCTTCGCCCAGAAGATTGGCTACAGTGGCCGCCTTAGCTGTAATCGGCTCGGTGCATACATCTACTACTCCGTCACAAAACTAACACGGTATTTCTTCCACAGGTTGTGGCTCTGTACCAGCTGGACAGCTTTGTCAATGTAAAGTCCGTGTGCAGGGGCGCATTTGCAACGACTGTAAATCTCTTTTCTGGAATCTACAAGAATATAACCCGCTTGGATGCGAAGGCAAGTTCCTCAAGCTCCAGAAACATTTATTTGCTGGATCTGTTTAAGTTTTCATCACATAAAATCCGAATTTTCGTACATGATCTACCATTACGTTAGTGCGGTACAGCCGCACACTCTATTAGTAATTTAGCCTATCAAATAATGCAGGTGCCCCTTTTAAAACTAAAAGAGAAGCAAAAACGACAATATTAACACACTGCATAGAATTTACACCACGTGTTTTTATGCGCAGAATGTAACTGTAACTTAGCGGGTACTTTGGGAGGACTGGGCTCGTGTAACACTCGCAACGGTCAATGCACGTGCAAGATGCACGTCAGTGAGCGCCAGTGCGACGACTGCCAGGACGGCTTCTACAAACTTCAGAGTAGCAACGTGTTTGGATGTACTGGTGAGCCTTTTTTAAATAACCAAATTTTATACCTTGCGAAGTACTTTAAGCTAAATTAACTTTATTATTTTGATCAGAATGCGATTGCGACATCGGCGGTTCTATTGATAACAACTGCGATAAAACCACCGGGCAGTGCCGGTGCCATTCCCGCGTAGAAGGCCGCCGCTGCGACCGTCCCATTCGGGCCCATTATTTCCCCACTCTTCACCAATTCCGATACGAAGTGGAAGAAGGTCTCACGCCATCAGGTCCAGTGCGGTATAAAAACTCGGAGGATGCGTTCCCTGGCTTTTCGTGGAAAGGTTACGTCGTATTCTCGATCTTGCAGGTCAGTTATCGAATAATTTGTGTACTACTGACCCTAGTTGCTGCTTACCACGTACTTTTTTTTATGAACAGAATGAGGTGATCAACGTAGTGCATATCACCAAATCGTCACTATACCGTATAGTTCTGAAGTATGCCAGTAAATTCTCGGACCCTGTGGTTGCTACCTTCACAATCACACCTGAGAGTTTTGTCGACGATCCACAGACGTAAGTAGTAATAAACTAACAAAGATATTTTTAACATGAGCTCCATCAGCTCATCCCGCCCCCTTTTACCATCGGATGTCCAGACGTACGGCGGGATATCATCTTTACTTGGTCAATATTTCCTTCAGGCGTAATAAGCACTTTTCATCACCTTTTATTGTGCACACAGCCCAGAATTGGAATCCCCGCCTGCGACTGTGTTTCCGAACTCATACAACCCTAGTACTTTTAAAGTGCGACTGAATAGGCAACTTCTGGTTGAGCTCGTACCATTGTACCTAGATCCTATCTTTGCTCCAGAGCTAGGTAGTGGTCAAGAGTAAGTCCATTTAATTAAAAAAAACACACATGAATTTGTGTATTTTATAATAACGATTTATCGCAACGCACAGAATCAAGACAAGCCTGCGGAGGACCGTGTTACCACAGCTAGTCACAGTAACGGACGAATCTGGTGTACCTGCGCCACTTGTCATGAACCCTGGCAACTGGACTGTCACCATCAAGACAGCTAAAGAAATCATGATTGTGAGTTTTCTTTCACCTATCTTACAATACAAACAATCAAGTTGACTGGAAATAAAGGTTTATTTTTAACCGACTTCAAAAAAGGATGAGGTTTTCAATTCGACTGTAAGTTCTTTTTTTTCCTTTTTTTTGTATGTATGTTACGCGATAACTCCGGTATTTGTGAACCGATTTTCATGATTCTTTTTTTGTTGGAAAGGGGATACTTCCATAGTGGTCCCATTTTGAAGAAAATCATCCACCTCGAAGGGTGACTGTGCATGAAGATTCTACATCGACTTTTATACGACTTTTATAAATAGCGCCTAACTTTAATTTAGGAGCAATTACTTTAATGGTTGATTTTGCTATTTCTTCCATTCAAGGCGTTTTTCTCTCGATATACTTTGAGTAGTGTCGTAGTGAGAATCTTTTTTTTTATCTCCAGCGTCAAGTCCTGTATAGTGGCGAACTAGGGGATATTTCAATAAAACTTAGCAAATAGACGTAATTCCACGTACTTTTGAAGTCGGTTCTTTTAGTACTCTGTACTGAGATTATGCTACAGATGTTTTATGTACGGACTTAACCTATTTATTTACAGGATTACTTCGTCCTTGTCCCAGAAGCGTACTATGAAGCAACAATCCTTACAAAGCTAGTGGACAAGCCCTGTGTGATAGGAGAAGAGACTCTTTGCAGGGAATTCGCTTACCCCAGTGTGGATCACTTTGCTAAGACCGACGTCACTGGGCTCACTACTCCTGTAACTAAATACATTGATGATCCACAGGTGAGGACTATCCCAAATTAACATAAATTATTTTACAATAATGGCAGTTATTACTGTTACGTTTATAACTTCCGCAGCAACTCAAAGAACTCAAAGTTGAATCTACCCAAATCCCAATTCTGAGCGACGACCAAAGTGAATTACAGTACAACATAAAGATTGATCCAAGTGGTCCATATGTGCTCTTGGTGGAATATGTTAGTCCTGTCAACAGAACTGCACCTGAAGAAGACATGGAAAGTTCCAACGTTACATATGCGTTCACACCAAAGGGCTCCGTAACTATACAATTCAAGTCCGGAGACAATCCATCACAAATTGCTTTAGTTAATTTAAATGATTGTCCTTATCCCACGCCATGCAGACAAGTTGCTGTAGACGACTTGTCCAAAGCATTCGCCTTCGCAGCTCAAGATCCAAACAACGTCATCACTTTAGAGGTAAACTTTTATTTATTATTATATTGCACAGCTGATATTTTTTATATTTTTCGGACCTTTAAAATAACCTAATTGTCTAATTGACAGGGAGAACATGACACCCTTGCTGGTATAAAGCAGATTATAGCAATTCCTGAAGCGGATTGGCACTTGGATTATATCACACCAAGGCCTTATTGCTTGAGAAGAAATGGATATTGTGACCCTGCTGTTTTCTCCGCGGCTGTTGACTCCAAAAAGGTACACTAAATCTGGTTTACGAGTTAATCTTTGCCTAACAAGCACGTAACGACAAAGAACTTTGTTAACGATATTGAAATGTTGTCTAAACGTTATTAGGTAGAAATTGAATCAGGCACTGGTGGTGACAGAGAAACGAAACCGCCTCCAATCTTGGACAATTCGACCATGGTAGTGTACTTGCCCCCGCAATCTGAACCTATCCAACTGGAGTCCAAAGTTCCTGTGCCCGGAGAGTATATGATCATCCTGCATTACTACCAACCTGACAATCCAGGTAAAATTTCTTACAAATTTTGGTTCGATATTGCTTGCTTACTTACTACCTTATATAAACTTACGCTATATCGTTAATAGACTGGAGATGAAGCCAACCTCAACATCAAACCTTGGATCTGCTTCATAGCTACTTATTTCTCATATCAGAATTATTCCACAGAAAGTACAATCGACGCAAACTTAACTATTGACGGTCAAAACTTCGAATCATCGGTATCCGTAGAGCATTGCCCTTCTAATTCCGGCTGCCGAGCTCTTCTTAAGCTGAAGACGGATGGAAATCCACGCTTTAATATTAACGAGAATTTCACAATCACCTTTAATGTAAGTCCCTACAAAAAACTGATTAATTATCAAATAGAGCCACATCGTCATATACCATACTTTGAATAAGGAATTAAAAATGTACAGCAAATTGTATTATGAGTGTAAAAAGATTATATCGTAATGGATTGCGGGAAAATCATACGAAGTTGAGGCTCTGCTTGATAACCACTCTTAAATACACGTACACACACAAACACACACACACACACAAGCGCGCGCGCGCGCACCCATTGTTTCAGAAACAATGTTTTTAAGAAATAAAGATTTTATTTATTATTTATTTATTTTTATAAGTACATAATATATACCCTGTCCCTTTTGTTTAGGGTGAAACCAGTAAAGGCGTGTGGTTGGACTACGTATTAGTAATAGCAACAGGAGATTACGTGGACACAGCTCTCAAGGAGGCCAACATGCTCGACTACACCAGAGAATTTATTGAGAAATGCTCTATGAATCATTACTATATTGCTCCTAATGCCACAGGTAAAAAATGCTAGACGTCTGTAGACATTTCACAATTTATAGGGAACTGACGAAACTGATATCGACCCTGGAAAGGAAAAAGGGTTAACAAACCATTTTTGGTCAAATGGACTTATATCATTGAAATCAGCGAATTTTTTCCCGTCTAATGAACTAAGTTTGACGGCGATCTGAGCACTTTTTTGGTCTGTTAGACGTTTTGCAAAAGGCGTTTTTTACAAAAGTAGAGGGCCTAACTGACAAGAATTTTGTAACATTTCATTACACTGTGTTATTAGACAACACTTGAGATGACGTATTGGAGTTTTAGTTACTTTCGTGGTCTAAAGACCAGTTGAGTGTGTCATGGCTTGTTTGTTTTTTATCTGATCCTGAAAAAAAAGCTTTAGTGCACGATAGACCTTTTTCTTAACTTTCACTTATATAAAAGTGTCCGTTGGCTATTAAGACGAGGTGGCAAATTATAAAGACGTACCATTTATACAAATAGTCGGCAAAATTGTAAGTACAAACAATTTAATAAATTAAATCCATTTAGACCATAACCAGGGGATTTTTCAACTCTTAAGCGTTATTAACCTTTCAATCTTAAGATATAGTATGAACAGTTGCATAATTTTAAATAAATTAGTGCTGCATAGGCGAAGTATGTATTTTGTAGTCCTTGGAGCTGTCCTTGTACCAGTTCAACTGCCAATCAAAGTGCATAAATTATATTTTTAATTTAGGGCTGTTACTTTCAATTACCAATTCTCTTAAACTAGTACAAATTCCAGTGCTTTATTTTCCTGACAGGTTTATGTCGCGACGCAGTTTTTTCGATAACGACGGAGTATAATAGCGGTACACTGCGTTGTTTCTGCGACGTGGAAGGTTCCACGGACCTGGAATGCGAAACGTTTGGCGGACAGTGTCGGTGCCGGCCCAACGTCATCGGGAGAACCTGCAGCGCCTGCCGCACTGGATACTACGGTTTTCCCAATTGTCAACCCTGCAATTGTCCTTCTACTGCCATTTGCAACGATTATGGTGAGCAACTTCTAATGCTGTTGAACTATTGAGTCGGGGTTTGACTTTCAGAACATATATTGTTTTGTGTCACCTTATTTGTGACGAACCACACTAAAATCGTCTGTGTTACAATCTTCGTCGTTAGGGCTCACTAATAGCCCAACACACATTAATTAATCTATGTAATTTTCATAGGCGAGTGTATTTGTCCGAAAAATGTGGAAGGCGACAATTGCGACCGATGTAAGCCCTACACGTTTAACTTCGACGAGCTGCGAGGTTGTGACGACTGCAATTGCAACCCACTCGGAGTCGTCGAAAACCAACTGCAGTGTGACCTTGACAACGGCAATTGCCAGTGAGTGCTTTCGAATTCTACCAACAAAAATTGAAGAAAATTCTTTTCCTATTTTGAAATGTATTAAACACCATTTCTCGTTAGGTGTAAAAACAATGTGATAGGGCGCGTGTGTGACCACTGTGTGCCTGGACATTACGCGTTCCCTGATTGCGTTTCGTGCTCATGCGATCTCGACGGCACCACTGAAGATGTCTGCGACCAAAACACCGCGCAATGCTATTGCAAGAAGAACGTTAGAGGGCTGGTAAAATGATCTTCTTCTATGTAGAACCTAGTTCTTAGGTAGCAATACTGTTGGGTATTTTTCCAGTAAATTTCAAAAGTGGAATTTTTCCGGAAAAGTTTGAAATATTGGAAAAATATAATTTCAAAGGCTCATACTATGTTCTACGTTTAAAAATTTCTTTTGAAGTTTTATTTAGCGTGACTTATAAAATAAACTTGTATAGCCAATAGTCACCTGTAGAAAAGACGAGATATAAAATTATTTCACAACAGTGAAAAAAAACCTTTTTAATGGCTCCATATATGTCAATTGCCCCTTTTTTTTGCTCACAGTCACTATATTGTGCGTCATCAGGTCTTTCTCTTTTCCTTACAACATCTTTACAAGCGCCCAACTATTACTGTATCACGCGATTGATAGATTGTCTGTATTAACTCAATTTCGCTAAAAATTTTGATTACTTTAGTTATTATAAAGGAAGATCACTAGTTTAAGTCTTTCAATACAACTATTATCAGATTATTTAAAATAAACAGTAACGTATAGATTTTAAGGTTTCGTGATTATTTAATTAATTACTAGTTATTGATTTATTTATTTATTTAAAGATACACCATCAACTTAACACAAAACAATATTTTTTTAAAAATACACACAGGTTCACTATGCAAGGTGCCAAGTCACTTCAGGTGTATACATCACTAAAAATCTAATGTTAACCAATGAGATACTAAAGACAATATATAATTAGAAACATAAAATTACAGTAATAATTAGTTATCTATAACAGATATTTACAAGTTTCATAAGTTCAAATAAATTGCTTGCACACTTGCACAAAAAAGTTTCTCACCACGATATGATTTATTTTTATTTTCCCTATATTTCGGGACGGTTGCACACTCCATGGTCACGGGTTGACTGGTCAGCGGCAGATGACAGCTTTAAGAACAGATATATCTGTCTACCTTCTTTGGCTGTCGACGACTACCCCATCTCGATTACTTGTGGCGTTTCCATTGTCACTCACTTTCCGACAAACCACACTCACTGTGTCCAAACGTAGAAGTGAAGTCAAAGTATTTTTGTTTTTATTATTGTAAGCACTAAGAGCCGGATTCGACGCAATAGATTGTTTAACTCTATCTTCACGGTTAAATGTTTGGTACTCTGTGATCTGAGTGTGGTTTTTACCCCACAAGTAATCAAGATGAGGGGGTAGACGTCGACAGCCAAGGAAGGTAGACAGATATGTCTATTCTTAAGGCAGTCATCTGCCACTGACCATGATCAGTCAACCTGTGACCGTGACCATGGAATGTTAACCATTATGAAATACCGGGAAAAATAAAAAGAAATCATAACGCGGCAAGAAACCTGTAATTATTGATCATTATTTAATATAAATACTGATTTAGGCCTGCGACCAATGTTTGGAAGGATATTTCGACCTGCAAGCAGAGAATCCCGAAGGCTGTACTAAATGTTACTGCTTTGGAAAAACAACAAGATGTTCAAGTTCGTACAATTCCTGGGTTATGGTAAGTTCGCCTTTCGATTGTTGACGGGTATTATGGGACTGATTACCAAATTTGTTGGTGTTAAGTTCTCAAAAGATTATATCATTGTCCATGAACAGATCAATGGCATGACGGACTGGAAGCTGGTGAATATAGCGAAGATCAATCGTACTCTTACTACGTTCCTGCATCCCTCCGCCCTGAGTAAGGTCAACGAAACCGTAATCGGCGCGGACCTCGGCGACAGTCACAATAGCGAAAACATTTCCTACTTTGGTGCACCAGATTACTATTGCGGTAAGATCATTATATACAGACTGAAAATTAGAGACGACACAACAAGGGCAGCTACCTTAACTTTCACATGATTGATAAACCGGGTTACCTATCAGTGGTCCGAACTGACATTCTCCAGAAATAACGTTTGGTCGAAATTTTATAACCTCGAAAGTAATTTTGAGAGGAAAATATTTTTTTTTTAAACCTAACTTAACCTTTTTTTTTGACGGGGGGAAATCTTTATAGATACCCCTGAGCCCAGGGAGACTCAGGGGTTATGTGGGGACTCTCCCTCCAGACCGGAGGGCCTACCCCTCTAAAACCCCTCAGGGTTTCTCTCACGCCGGTTCAGTCGGCGCCCAAGCTTGCGCCAGTCTCCCGCGCCACCGGAGTCCCTGTCCAGAGCCCGCAGGCCTCACTAGGGGATCAGGCGAGCAGCGAACTGCCTTCGCCTTCTCCCCGTACGTCTGCGCCGGAGCGGGTGCGCGTCCGCCGCGTTCTCACGCACCCGCTCCGCGGCCTCCTTTTGCGACATAACCTCTGTGCAAAAGGAGGCCACCGCCTCCCAGGACTCCTCGCTATCGAGCATGGCGGCAACCACGCTCGGCAGCGAGAGATCCTGCCCTACAATCCCCGTCAGAGTGCGGCGCTGCTCATCCCACCGGCTGCACACCTCCAGGACCTGGGGTTTGTCAAACTTCATTGAATGTGTGTATTTATCCATGACATGCTCGCAGACTGCAGACTTGCTTACGCGACGGTGTTTGACATCAGCTATATGTTCTTTGACGCGGGTACAAATACTTCGCTTTGTTTGTCCAATATAAGAGAGACCGCACTCACAGTCAAGCTTGTAAACTCCTGCATCCTGTAAGGGGATTTGGGATTACAGTTCACGGGTCTCAGGAACTGAGAAATCATACTCAGGGGCTTGAAATAGGTCTTGATGGATGCACGCCTGAGGACTCTTCCGATCTTGTCTGTAACACCTCTCACATAAGGTAAAATGGCAAGTCTTCGCTCGCAAGTCTTTGCATTAATATTAGACATAACTGGTTGATGACTGTACCACCTCAGTCAATGTCGGTTTGTTTGAAAAAACAAATATACGCGATTTATATCCGGAAAAATAGTTTCATTTCCTATGTGTAACAATTGCGAAAACCTAAGAACTCGATATGAAAATAATATTGTTTCCATTGCATCCGTGTGTTTTAAGAGGTTGTAGTAGACCCCAGTTCGTTTCAGTCTTCTAGGATCGTTTTGCTGTGTCTATGATAGTAATAGCAACTGCCCTTGCTAATCCCTCTTAAATTTCCACCCTGTATTCTAATTGTAATGTACGTGTTGGTATATTACGTAGAAATCAAATTGTTAATAGCATTACTGTTTTTTTTTAATTTTTTATTATTTTAGGCAAACGCCTGAGTTCCTACGGTGGACACTTGACGTTCTCCATCTTCTATACAACACGAGACGTGAAGCCAATCGACGCCCCTGATGTCATCATCAGCACGTCCAATGGGTACCTCGTACATAGCAGTATCGAGCAACCGCCTCCTGAGGATAATTGGACGTACAGCGTCAAATTATCGGAAGACCAATTCAAGAATCTTGACGGCTCGTCAATAAGCAGAGAACAATTCATGAATGGGTTACAGAATGTCGTCGCCATTTATATCAGAGCAGCTTATGACAGCAATGCAGTTACCACGAGGTTAGTTTAGTATATGTCTTGTACCATACATAGAGTGCTTCTATTTTCTCAATGTCACTCGGCAATTATCGGATTTCCGAATGCACACGAATATACTCAATATATTTATTGTCTTCGTATGGTACACAAGGTCTTAAAATTAAAATAATGTAACAGTATGAGCCCTGTCTTAGGGATAACATCAAGAACAGAGGCAGGCCGACTTGGATTAGTCTCTTCAATTGTTCACTATCAATATACGTATAATAAAAGTATGTCACTATAAAATTCCGAATAAATTAAATTACAATAATATGAATATATAATACAGCACAATACAAGACTTATTTATTATATATTTATTTATATATTAATTGTATATAATATTAATATTAATTTGCAATTAAATTAATTAATTGATTTAAAATCTCTAATATTCATTATAATATTTGAACAACGTACTTTATTGTTGTTTAATTTTGATTTTCGTGTAAACTATGTGGAGCTGTAAAATGATTTCCCTATTTTTAATAACATTTACTCCATGTCAATAAGCAAGTTTAAGTAAATAAAGTGTGCTTCTTTTATATAGCTAAAAATTAATATTTTTTCGGTTATTAATCACTTCAATTCAGTTCGTATCTGAACGCATTTCGTCATCGGACATAGTTATGTTAGTATGTTCGCCATACCGATGGAATAATCACTTTCTGCGCTGCTCGAACAGGTATCGGTTTCTTGTAAAAATTACAAGTACACGCTGTAAATTATATGTCGTGGTTGTGACTTTAACAGCTTTTCGCCCATTGTATAACAATTAAAAAATGTAATAGCAACTCTTCTCAACTGAAAGCGTCCGATCTATATCAAAGGCAAAGGGCAACTGAATAAAACCCGATGATTGTCGAAGTTTGCCGAGGGACATTGAGAAAATAGAAGCACTGTACATAAGTGTAAGTACTTACAGCATAAATAGAAATGATAAGAATCCTGCTTTTTAATATTTCGATTTTGTTCTCCAGATTAGGGGGGGTGACATTGGACATAGCAATGAACGACAATATAGAGGGATCCAGACAGGCCACATCAGTTGAACAATGCTTGTGTCCCAGCGCGTACCGCGGCATGTCGTGCGAGCAATGTGCTGAGGGATACTACAGGCTGAGTTCAGGACCGCATGCCGGTTTCTGCGTGCCTTGCCAGTGTAATGGACACTCGAGGACTTGTGACGTTAACACCGGCGTTTGTTTAGTGAGTGTTGGCATCGAATAAGATAACTATATATACTTGCTATCGTGACGAACGGATTTGTCAATTTTGAAATTCGACGAGTCTGCTACAGAAAAGATGAGAATGCTCTTGTACACGACAAGAACTTTGTCGGATCTAGCCGCGAAAACATGTCGTGTCTGTTGCAGACGAGAAAATGATGAATATGTACACGATACGAATGCTTTGTGGGAAGAAATATGTTGTTGTACATGTTGACCACTACTGTTCGTTTGCTGACAATGCTTCCTCCGCCTCATACAATAGCGGCAGAGCGCGTCGAGTCGAGAGTCGACAAGATTTTTCTCAATGGGTGTTTGATAATAATTTACTATCCAAACTTATTTTTCGTCATTTTTCAATATGGCTGCCATACAAATTTGCTCTAATTCAACTGGAAATCGGCAAATCAGAAAATCGGAAAATGTGAGGTTCTCTATGGGTGTTTAATAATAATTTGCAGTCAAAATTTACTACTCGATCACATATAATCCCGAAAACAGGCTAAAAAAGTGTAACACGAATTATTTAAGAATAAAATATCTTAATAATTCGCTTGCACATATTTTAATATGGAGATATTTCTCTTTAATATTACAGAGAACCTGCAAAATTTTGGTTTCCAACTGAAACCATTATTAGATTAATACTTAAAAATCCTGAAGAGGCCCCGTCAGTCGACAAAGGTGCGAGTTTTGTGCAAATATTTATATAAAGGTGTAGGGTTCGGAGCAAGCAAAATCTATAAGTCTTAGAAACATGAAAACTCGAGGGTATACCACTTTTATTTGGTGTAAACGTACTAAGAATGAAATTTTTCGAAATTCAACCCTTAGGAGGGTGAGAAAGGGTAAAAGTGTTTGTTATGTAAGATCGTATTCCTTGAACTTACAAATATGAAACATAATATAAATTTAGTAGCAGTAGAGATCCTTGTGAAAGATTCATCCAGGGGAGTACTGCCACCTTACCTATTTCTGCCGCCAAGCAGTAACGTCAGCATTACTGTGTTCCGGTTTTGAAAGGCAAGGGTGCTGGTGAAATTACGGGCACATGGGACTTGTTAACTTATGTCACATGGTGACGGGCGCAGTGGCAATGCCCCTCAGATCTTTGCAATTTAAAGCTCTAAGTGGCACTGTAACTGTCATGGACTGGCGTATAGCTTACCATCAAGTGCACGACTTGTTCGTTATGTCACTTGATGTTATAAAAAAAAATCTATAATACAAATGATGGAAGATTAACAAACACTAACATTTTTTCAAAACTATTTCTAAATAGAGAGGAAATTGGGTATCAAAGTTTGAGTGGCGTTTTGCTTCAATCTTTTTTTAAGACTTTAAATCCGAAATAAAATAAATACATATATTTCAAGGTTTTTTCAAACAATACCTAAAACAGGGCAAGTTACGGTATCGATCAAATTATTTTGAAAAAATAGTATTCATTACATTTGCAAAGTTTAACATTTTTTGTTTGTGTTTTAGTAGTATACAATACACGTAAAAAAATTATGTGGGACGAAGTCATGGGCAACAGCTAGTATCGTACATGTATATACAAGCTGACCGGCAAGCGGTGAATAAATAATAATCAAGGCGGTGATAGCTTTCTTTTTATGTCAAATAGATGAATGCTTGGATATAATCTACTTTTTACGACTTTACGACTTTTTAAAATTGGCTCAATAGAACAATTCTTTTTTTTTCAACATGACATCAGACACAGAATTAAAGGTAATTTCAACATTGTCATTTAAATTTATTCTGTACAATGCGAAATTAATAATAACGTTATTTACGAATCTTTGGTGTACGCCTGTACTGTTATTTGCGTTCCGCCGACTGTACGCAATGGAAAATTCGGAGCTTCTTCATTCTGTAAACGTAATTTATCTGCAAAAAATTGAGAGATTACCCAAAACGAAGCACCAGTATCCACCAACGCATCGCATTTTACATCATTAATATAAAGGGTTACAAAGGGTGCTCTATCTACATCAGGGTGAGATCAACTATACACAAATTTTGTTTCGAGAACGCCGGTTTTGCATTTAACCACGTCCGATCATCCCGGCAACCTATCGGCGTGGTGGCGTATTTCGGTGATCGCCTCTTGGATGACCACTTGCGCCTTGATAAAATCGACGTTGGGGGTATCCCCAATCCTTCTTTGTGATTGCGAATATACTTGACGTGGTCTCAAATTATACTTTCCATGAGGCGTATTCCGCTGCATTTCAAATGGAACGGTTAGATGAGATCGAAATCCACAAGTTTAAAGTAAGTATTTTATCTACTCAATTTTGTATGTACAGGCATGCACAGATAACACAATGGGAGACCACTGCGAACAGTGTATTCCAGGCTACCACGGCGACGCGACTATAGGCACACCGCGGGACTGCCTAATCTGCGCTTGCCCCATCCCCTCCGCATCCAACAAGTTAGTGACAGGCATCTTTTGTTGTGATAAAAAAATCAATGTCTCTAGGAACATAAATAAAATTAAATAAATAAAAATAAAATAAGCCTTTATTACTACTACTGTTAATTGAAATTTACAATTATTACTAGTTACATTTACATGTTATTAGCTACATTTATATACTATAAGTTACTTTTACATATTATATCATACGTTACACTATTATTTATATTTACCTTATACGCCTCCTCGGCGTAGGCCTCCCCTATTGTCTCCCATAACTCCCTATCCCTGGCTTTCGTCATCCATTTTGATCCTGCTTTCTCTATAAAACTATCTTTCCATCTTTTCCTCGGCCGACCTTTACGTCTTGCTTCGTTTCTTGGTATCCACTCAGCCCATCGAGTATATAACCAGAAATAGACAAAATAAGGGCCATACATTCCATGTGTGGGGAAAAACAGCTTAACATCTAATTACAAAACAAACAGAATTAAATTTCATTGGTAATTAAGTATTAAATAAGTAATTTTAAAAGCTCAAATTAACTGGACGATTTGAGTTGAAACAATTGACGACACCCGTCAATTGTTTCGAATCCGGGCTGGCCAATCGGAGTGCGCTTGTCTGCAATATCATTACTGTGAAGTAATTTCGTCTTTATTTCTCTTAGAGAATGGAAAAACTATTTCTGGTTATACTCGATGACTCAGTCACTCTCTATGTCCACCGATCATTTTCCATTCTACATATATATGTATTTTTCGTATAAGTATGTTCCTAGGCATATGCCTAGGAACATACTTATACGAAATGTTTTCATTACAGCTTCGCGACCAGCTGCGAGCTAAGCGGTAATGGAACGCTCATATCATGTGTCTGCAAGCCAGGGTACGGAGGCCAAAGGTGCGAGTATTGTGCACCTGGCTTCTACGGCGAACCAGAAAACACAGGTCAGTAATTTATTTCGTTTGCGGCATTGACTTACAAATAAATGGACGACGGGTCTAATACAAAAACCACGAAAAAAATATCCCAAGTCAACCTATTTAAACGTAGTGGCATGTAAAGGAATATGAAAAAGCTAAAACGTTGAATTTAAATTGTAATGTCATCGCAGTACTGTCTAATTTTGCTTGCTTCGCTGTCAGTCGAACAAACGAAGACTAAAGCGTGAATGACGCTTTGCATACGATTTTAACGCCCTATAAGTTCGGACACTTTTTAGCGCGGACCCGACGTCCATATAATTGTAAGTCAATGGTTTGCGGTTTTTTTTTAATGTAATGTCATCAACGCCCACGGACATCTTGCAACATCAGCGTTGCCAGTCTTTGAGAGGCGGTTTTAAATTGGACTGTATTTGTTTTTGTTTGTAATCGTATCACGGGATTTTTTTTTTGTTGGAAAGAGGGTACCTCAGTATTGGTCCCATTTAAATTTGAAGAAAATATTCCACCTCTAAGGGTGACAAACTAGGGGATGAAGCCGGTGTCGCGCACTTTCCAATAACCGATTTCAATAAAACTTGGCAAATATATGTAATTCCACGAACTTTGAGATCGGTTTTCTTTTTATGAAAAGGTTATAAAGAATCCCATGTCATAGCGCAAAGGAAACACTTTAGGAAGAAGATCATTCCACATTTAGCAGGTTCGAGGGAGGAATGAACGTAATGCCCGCGTGACCTTACAATGTTTGGCATCTACGATCTGGGCATGAGCTCTACTCTTTTGGCGAGAGGTGCGATGGTCAAGCCAATTTAAATTCAACCAAGCACACAGTTTCCCACTGATAGTAATCAAATTGTACGTTATAAAAATATTGTACTGATTTCTTAAGAGGGAGCATGCCAAAAAAGTTTTGACGTTGGCTCCGCCCAAATTTGTGAAACAAATATATGCCTGAAGTTCGCGTGACATGCGACAGGAGATGTTGAATTTTGCGCATCAAGAGTACCAAATTCGTTTTAGCGGAATAACTCTAAAACTAAAGGGATTTAAAAAATCCGTAGTGACAGTTGTCGATCATGCATAAATATAATGAATTATCTAATTTTTGTTCTAATAACCTGTAGCATTTCGAGGATAAATCGAAAAAATGTGAAAATTAGTGGTCATTTCGTGATTTTTATCTATCGAGGAAACTTTATTGTTTTATGTTTCTGATTAATGTCTATGCTTGAATATATCGTGTAGTTACTCATACAACATTTTATTTTTACTTTAAAGTGGATATACCCCTCTAAAATCAAATCGAAGATTAGGAATTTTTCCTCTGCTCCCTCTTCAGAGTCTATACAACCTGAAACGGCTTTGGTTGATTCCGCATAACAGAGAAAGTGTTGAATAATTCACTTTGGAAAAAATATATAGGTAGGTATTAAAATTAAGGATATACACTGATTACTATAAAGTGTAAAAATACGATTCCTACAAATCTTCACGATAGAAAAAAACACAAACTTACCTCGGAGTTTTACAGGAAAACCGCTGTATTCAAAAAATACTTTATATACAGCAATAGTTTTTTACATCAACTGGAGTAAATAGAACACGTATGTTATATACAATATGCGTTTTTCAAATAGGCTTTTCGTTTGTAAAAAAGGAAAATTCTGAAATAAACCCAGTGTCCCAGCCGCTCGACCCAAGCAAAATTAAATTAAGGGTGCGTTAACTTAATTCACCTGAATTAGATCACCTGGGTGCATTATATAATCATAAAAATAAACTGTATTCACCACGATATTTAAGGACGCCAGGATTCAACTCGTTACATGGTACAAATACGTTGATAAAAAACTTCGTGATGAACCCTGCAAGTCGAAGATGGTTCGCAACGAAGTACCCAACCTGCGTTGGACTAGCAAATTTCAAATTTCAAATTTCAAAATAATCTTTATTTCGTAGGTAAGCATTATTACACTTGAAATCATCACAATGGTTAAACTCTACCGCTCATTCGTAAGGCAGATTCCCCTGAGAAGAATGAGCAAGGAACTCTAGGGGTTGCTCTTTGTAAATAACATTTACAATATTTTTTTTTTATTTGAAACATCAGAGATCGAAACTACCTCCATGAGCTAAACGGGTTACTACCACGGATTTTTGTCATCCAAGTACGCAGAAGTTGTATAAATGACCTTTAGTATAAAGTTTTTGTTTCACTGTAGTTTTAAACCTCGTGAAAGGCAAATTTTGTATATCAACCGGAATCTTGTTATAGAAGCGTATACATTGCCCCTTAAATACTTTTTTGACTTTGCGAAGACGACTATCAAGAAAAGCTAGTTTATTTCTATTCCTCGTATTAATGTTATGTCTGTCACTATTTTTCATAAATAAAATTACTATTCCTTGTAACATAAACTACATTTTCATAAATGTACTGTGAGGCTAGTGTAAGAATGTTAATTTCCTTAAACTTATCTCTCAAAGATACTTTGGGGCCCAGATTGTAAATTGCCCTAACTGCACGTTTCTGCAGGACAAAGATTCTATTGATATCGGCGGCATTACCCCAAAGCAAAATGCCGTATGTCATTAGACTGTGAAAGTAGCTGAAGTAAACCAATCTAGCGGTTTCGACGTCTGAAAGTTTGCTTATTTTTTTAATCGCGTACACTGCAGAGCCGAGCCGTTTTGATAACTTACTTATATGGGGACCCCATTGCAATTTAGCATCTAACGTTATACCTAGAAATACAACTGTATCCACAAGATTCAATTTTTCGTTTCTAACTACAATGTTTGTAACCGTCTCTCTAACATTGGGTAATGTAAATTTCACACAATTTGTTTTTTTCTCATTAAGAAGTAGGTTATTAACAGCAAACCAATCAACTACTTTAGATATAGCATGGCGAGCAGTCGCCTAAACCCACGCATGAGAGGAGACTCTACTCAGCAGTGGGCCGCACTAATAGTAACCTATTAGTGCGGCCCACTGTAACCAGTGTTCTGAGTAATGTTCCCGCCAGTTATTCTGATATGTACACTCATAGAAACTCAAAGAAATTTGTGGAGCTCGAAAGAAAGAATGAAAGAGTTCGTCCTGGGAAGTACAGCCACCTTACCTATTTCTGCCGCCAAGCATTAATGTCAGCTGAAGAAAGAAGGATGCTGACTCACCCCGGGTAATCAGAATATATACTGTAAATTTTAGACATATACTTACAAAAAAAATATCTGTTTAAATTAGCACAGTAACGCTTACCTTAGTTACTGCTTGTAGTAGTACTTCCCTGGGCGAACGCTTACACAAGGAGGTCTACAAATTTCTTTGAGTTTCTATGAGTATACATATCAGCATAACGGTCGAGAACATTACTCAGAACACTCATCATACTGTAACCTTTTAGTGCGGCCCACTGCTGAGTAGAGTCTCCTCTCATGCATGAGTCAAAGTCAAAGTCAAAGATTATTTATTCCATAGGTAAAATAAATTTACACTTGAAAACGTCACATTTAAGCTACTGCTCGTTCACTACGCTGACCTCCCTGAGAAGAACGAGCAAGAAACTCTAGGGATTGCTCTTTTCAAATAAACTTAAATGCTATAGAATACACTTTGAATCAAATTTGTGTGGATTCTGGAGCCATGTCGTCTTTCCATACATCTTTATCTAACACGTAGTCTTCAATTTTGTAATATGATTTTTCGATCAAAATATTTTTAATGTAGTTTTTAAACTTAGGAAATGATAAACTTAATATATGCTCCGGAATCTTATTGTAAAAACGTATACAGTTCCCCATAAAAGAGTTGTTTACCTTGGTTAAACGAAATCGTGGTACCATGAGTTTGGACTTAGCTCTAAGGTCAATATTATGGATATCTTCTTTCTTATTGAAATTATGTATATTTTTACGGGCATATAAAATATTTGAGTAAATGTACTGCGATGCCACAGTCATGATACCAGTCTCCTTAAACTTTTCTCTGAGAGATACCCGAGAGCCTAGACGGTACACAGAACGAATCGCTCGTTTTTTTTGTTTTGTTGAATCCTGGCGTCCTTAAATATCAAGGTGAATACAGTTCACTTTTATGTTTTATGCATCCAGGTGATTTATACTTCCTAAAAGTGTACTTAATGCAATGCAGGTGAACTAAATCAGGTTGAGGCAATATCGACTCTTAATGTTGCGTTCCCACGGCCCGTGCTGTCAAACGCGCCGATTTGTATGGGCGAGTCCGGGCCAGGCCGACGCACGTGGCGACGCCTATTTAAATTTGTATCGAGAGCATAGGCGCCTTTGAAGTTACCGACCAGGGGTGGATCCGGGCAGGCCGCCATGGGTCAGCACGGGCGCGCTCGGGCGGTACTCTTTCGAGTCTACGCCAGGGCTTTATTGTTACTCCAAAATTATGCGGTAGACTGAAAGCGTATAAAGCGAAGTTACAACTCTTCGTATGTCGTTACAAAAAGAATAGCTTGAAGATAGCGCTCATGTTATATTGTGCCAGGTGACTACTGCAAACCGTGCAATTGCTCGGGCAACATCAACGTGGACGACCCAAGCTCCTGCGACACCGTTACGGGCGACTGCCTTAAGTGTGTCAACAATACTGCCGGTGATGCTTGCAATCTGTGCGCTCCAGGATTCTTCGGAGATGCAATTCTCTCCAAAAACTGCACAGGTATGATCAATACGTGAGGTTTCACCTAATATGTATTAATTTTTATTTTATTATTAATGCTAATTTCGATTTTTTCAAACAAATTCCTCACAGCGTGTGTCTGCGACGAATTCGGCATGGATTGGTGCGACCCCACGACGGGAACATGTGTGTGTCAAGAGGGCGTCATTGGCGAGAAATGCGACCGATGCAAGCCAAACCACTGGGGCTTCTTCAGCGGACTAGGTTGCAAAGAGTGCAACTGCTCCATTGCTGCCGTATCGACGCAGTGCGACGAGGAGAACGGCCAATGCAGGTAACTGTAGTATAAACTTTTTAGCTGTCTTATTAAGTCACTTTTTCTGAATTACCTAACCAATAACACTTCAAATTCAATTCTTTTTCCCTTGTTTGGTCTAATGTTATTGAGTGTGTGTGTGCGTTATCAACAACAGTGACCACTGTGTTGTCAACCGATTTCTCTAACCCATTTCTGTTTCAGATGTCAACCGGGGGTGACTGGCACTCACTGCGAGAGATGCGCGGCGGGTTACTACAACTACACAGAACATGGATGCATCCGTTAGTGTTCTTATTGAAATTTCTACTTGATGACAAACTTAATCCGTATGTAATAAAGTCAACCCGGTTGAAACTTGCGTACTCATTAGCCTTTTGTGAAACGGGGCAATAATGATGTGCTTGATTGTAGATTGCAACTGCAACACTGGTTATTCACTCGGGTTCACGTGTAGCGAGTCGGGCCAGTGTGAATGTCTACCTGACGTTATTGGCGAGAAGTGCGACCGGTGTCCAGAGAGGTATGCGTATACAACTCACCGTAAATTGCAGGGGAAGTCAGGCATTTCTAATTCTAATGTCTATATAATTAAGTACGACTTTATATGTCGTCGTGCGAACGTTGTTGCGGACAGAAGTGTTCTAGCGTACTCCGACGTATAAAAAAGATATAATTATCAAAATGTCCTCCAAGTGTAGTGGTTGTGGTGGGAAAATACAGGATATATCCTTTATGAAGTGCTCAAGTGAAAGTTGTAATAAATTGTATGATCTGAAATGTCTGGCGATTGAACAGCAATTGTTTGACGATTTTACTGAGGAACACAAGGAGCAATGGGTATGTCCTGAATGTCATTGTGCGAACCCAAAGCGCAACAATGCGGATACCCCAGTCCGTACACCTGGTATGACGAAGAAAGGCACGACGAGTGTTGATTGTAATGTGAATATGCAGCGCGGCAGCCGCAGCAAGGTCTATGCGCGGCAAACGGAAGGTGAAACTGAGTTGCTAGTGGAGCTGAGGGCATTCCGAAAGGAAGTTACATCTCGCCTAGATAACCAAGACAAAGCAATTAAACAACTTCAAGATTTGTTCTACTCTATAAAAACAGATTTAAATGAAATGCAAACCAAAATGAGGGTAATTGAAGAAAAAATTGATTGTGATTATAAACAAAATACAACAATTGATGGTGTGAGAGGTCGCTATCTGCTGTCGAAAAACATCGAGACCATCGTTACAAAGGAGCAACCGGAGGTGACATCTGCTATTATGGATGAAAAGAACAAAAAAACCTACGCCGGTGTATCGGGCGGTCGTAATAAAAGTGATGAAAAAATATCTCAGAGCGGGGCCACGAAACTAGTCAGAAGCGGATTTGGCACATCAATAGACACATTGGAGTCGATTGTGATTAGCACGCAGGTTAATAATCACAGAAAGAATTCTAAGGGTGGGGCCACGAAAATTGTTCAAGAGCCACCAATCGAAAGAAATGAGTCGAATATACTGACACAGTCAAGTGAGACCGATAGGAAAGAGGAAGAAAATGAGGACAATTGGATATTGGTTAGAAACAGGCAGAAAAGACTCCAATCTAAGGAAATAGTAAGAGGTCAAAATACTTCAATTACACAGATACAAGCTATAGAGCGGTTGAAGTACCTTCATGTATGGAGACTACACCCAGAAACAACTGTGGAAAAATTATCTACATATGTAAAGGATGTGTGTGGTTTTGAGGCGAAGGTTGAAAAAGTTAATCATAAAACGGAACGTGGTTATGCTTCTTTCATTATAAGTGGTTCTGAAAAAGTTTACAATCAGTTGTCGCAACCAAGTATTTGGCCAATGAATACCGAATTTTGCGAATGGATTTGGTTTCGGAGATATAATAAGCAACCGTACAAAACAAATCAGACAAATTGAACTATTTTATCAAAATGTTCGGGGTCTAAGGACTAAACTTAAGCGGTTTAAAATTAACTTGGAAGCGTCAGGTGCAGATTTAGTTGCGGTGACAGAAACAGGTTGCAACGAGTCTATTCAGGATGCAGAAATAGTACCTCCGAGTTATAATATCATTCGATGTGATCGAGCGGACGGGCGTAAGCAAGGTGGCGCGTTTCTCGTGGCCACACACGAATACGAACTACGACAAGTGGAGATACCTGCGAACGTAAACATCGATAGTTATCCGTTTGAACTAGTGGCGGCCACCGTGCACTCGAATAATAAGTTATTGTTTTTATGTTGCGTCGTGTATATACCCCCGAATAGTAAAGATGGGGAGTATATGAATTTGTTTACGTTAATCGAACATTTGTGTGTGAGATATAAAAAAAATATTGTTTTGGGAGATTTTAATTTACATTCAGCTAGTACTAATGTTATTAATTATTTTGAATATTTTATGGCATACTGTGAATTCATTCAGTGTAATGAGGTTCCAAATTGTGATGGACGTCAGTTGGATCTAGTGTTAAGCTCGTTGGGCGGTAGCGAGCGAGTGCGAGTGAGTGGCGCCAGCGAGTCGCTGGTGGCGATAGACGCGTACCACCCGCCGCTTGTGCTGAGGTTGCCAATTGAGGGTCGCGCGTCTAGCGATGGTATTCGAGCTCCACGCGAACCGGTACCATCTCAATGGAATTTCGGTAAGGCTAATTTTTCTCTCATGTATTCGTTAATACCTGCCGTAGATTGGAGTAAATTATATGCGATAACGGATCCGGATGAGTGTGTTAAGTTTTTTTATGACAAGATTTATAAAATAGTGGATATTTGTGTGCCAAAAAGAAGACTAATTCGTACCAATTCTAGGTACAGCTACCCGGAGTGGTACACGGCAGATATAGTTCGCAAAATAGAATTGAAGGGAAAATTGCATGCGCGGTATAAGGCGAGTGGATCGCAATGGGACTATGAAAAGTATTCAAAATGTAGGGCGTCAGTTAAATTATTGTTAGAAAATGCAGAGGCGCAACATATAGCTAAGGTGCAGAAGGAGCTCACTAAAGATCCTAAAGGTTTTTGGAGGTATGTAGGTTTAAAAAAGGGGTCCAAGAAACGTAGGATTACAAAAAACGGGAATATTCTTCCTGAATCAGAATGCGCCAAAGAGCTTGCAGGGTTTTTTCAATCGGTGTACGACTCTCAGGTGCCAAAGCTAGATGTGGATGCGGCAATAACAGCAGCTGGAGCGGGAAGTGAGCGCGTGCATATTGGATATGTGCGTCTGCAGCAGGTGGAAAGAGCTCTAGATCGCCTTAAACCGAAACGGGCAGCGGGGCCGGATGGCTTACCGGCGTTCATGATTAGGGATTGCAGAGCAGTGTTGGCGGAACCCCTGTTGTATATATTTAATCGGTGCCTTCAAACTTCATATTTTCCTAAACAGTGGAAGGTGACACGAGTGGTACCAGTACCGAAGAGTGGCCTAGGTAATGAGGTTAGTGATTTTAGGCCAGTGGCTATTCTATCGACAGCGGCGAAGGTTTTTGAATCCGTTGTGCAGAGCTGCATGTTTAGCCAGATGAGCGTGCTACTGTCGGAGGCACAGCATGGCTTTCGACCGGGTCGCAGTACCACAAGCAACTTGCTTAATTTCGTTACGTATGTAGTACCGAAGGTGGATGAAGGGGCACAAGTCGATGCCGCCTATTTTGATTTCAGGAAAGCATTCGATTTAGTCAATAATGATATCCTGCTTAAGAAATTGGCGGCGGTGGGCTGCACCCCCCAAACGCTCCGCTTTTTTGCAGAGTACTTGAAGGATAGACAGCAGTATGTAGATTATGCGGGATACACGTCGGAACGTTATTATATTAGGTCAGGAGTAAGTCAGGGGAGTAATCTGGGACCATTGCAGTTTATTATTATGATAAACGATCTACCAGAGGTCATAAAAGAAGCTAATTGTTTGCTTTACGCTGACGACCTGAAGCTGTTTATGGATGTGCAAGATAGGTCTGACGCGATGCGGTTTCAGAAGGACATAGACAGAGTAGTCGGCTGGAGTCAAAGGAACAAGCTAACGTTTAACACTTCTAAATGTGCGTTGTTAACATTTGGCCGAAAAAAAGCCCCTACTATTTTTAGATATGAAGTCGATGGTACTCCACTAAAAAGGGTAACGACGGTTCGTGATCTGGGAGTGGATATGGACGCTGAACTAACATTTCGTAATCACATTGTAAATGTTTGCAAGAAAGCTTTCAGAATAATGGGTTTTATACTACGCCAAGCGGAGAATTTTAACAATGCCAAAGTCATACGTACCCTCTACAATGCCCTGGTGAGAAGCACATTAGAGAGCAACGCGGTCATATGGGCACCGCAGGAAGCTAAGTATATAACCATGCTAGAGAAAATTCAAAATAAATTTACGAGATACCTATACCTAAAACTATACGCAGTATATCCTTTTTACCCTTTAATGTACCCAACGCTGTTCGTCCTGGGTATGGTGGGGTACAACACACTGCAAGCGAGACGGGATCTGGCGATGGTAACTTATATATTTGAACTAATACGTGGAAAACGCTGCAATCCAGGGGTACTACGTCATATAAATATATGCACTCCAGACAATTACACGGAGCGGAGGCGGAGGCCTCCGCTGCTAGAGATACCGCGTGCGCGGACACAGCTGCTGGCTCGGGCGCCATTCACGCGTGCCCTTGCTACTCTCAATCGAGTGGCGGATAGAGCTGACTTATTTAATTGTACACTGAGTGAATTCAATAGGATTGCCTTACATATTATTTGTTATGATTGATTATTTAATTATGTATATTTTTGTATTACGGTAAATATATAAATATAATTTTAGAGCCTTCATTAACGAATTAGGATTATACCTGTAATGTTAGTGTTAAGAGATGTACAAACAAATAAAAAAAAAAAAAAAAAAAAAAAATATTGGATATAAATTTGCAGATGGGTGTTAATTCCAAACCAGGGTTGCGAACGTTGTGACTCGTGTACGGATGCGCTGATCTTCACAGTCGAGGATTTGAGTAGACGATTGGCTAACGAAACACAGGATTTCAAGGTGAATTTCATACATATATTTTATAATATTAGTGATATATAAAAACAACATGTAAATGAATACAGACTATTTTCAAAGGACTGCTGAACTATAACAATTAGGGGTGTCATAAAAGTCATAGTTTATGCAATTTAAATTTTTATTAGTTATGAACATACGCTTCACATATCTGGGTACTAGATAATCACAGAAAAAATATGAAACTAAAATAAAATATTTGGTCAAAAAAAGAAAAAACTAAAACATGTCATTCGCTCTCATTACCCCACAGTTCGGGAAATTGGAGCCGATAAGAATCTCGTATGTCAAAAGGGAGCCACTATATATAATCAGTCTGAAAAAACAAATTAAAGTAATAAAATATACAAGTTTAAAAGTAATGAATGTTAAAAGAATATCCAGTGAATATTGCAATGGGATAAGGAGAGCCAAATAGCTCTCATTACCCGCGTAACATCGAATTGAAAAAGGAATAAAACAGTAAAAACATTTCTATTTTTATTGTGATTTCAAGCATAACTTCTAAAATTTGATAGATACGGTGACATGGCTAGTGTAAATACAATGTAGTATCTATGCATTTTAATGCTTACCTGAGATGATGAAATTTAGCAAATTTTATAAGCGCGTAGCGGAAAACACACAACCATCTCATACGAATAAACGCGGGGTTCTACGGGAGCGCCCACGGGACTTGTACCTTGTCGAACGTTAACGAAGACATAGGAGTGCCGTTTGCACAAATACGAGCATTGGGAAAGTCCAGTTTAACACCGCTCTCATACCCGCGGGCTCCCAATACCCCACGTTTCCCTACTATAATGATGATGATGAATTCTCCTGACCGTTTTGGGCCACGGCAACTGCTTCAGCTCCACTGTTGGTGTGCTCGTGAGCTCTCACTTGGATCACGTACCCAATCTAATTTGTAAACTACCGCGCGCATAGGTGGCACATGATCACACTGTTAATGTAATGGTATCTGATCGCTGCAGGTGGTCGGCTTTAGCTCGACATGTCTGTCGTCCAACACAATTCGTCGATGGGTCAATAATTGTGACGTTTTGTTTGCGACAAAAGATCTTCTTTGTGGTCGGCCGGCTGCCTGCTTCTCGCACTCTGTTGGGTCAATGTAGCAATTTTTCAAGCTTGCTGCCATGCTTTCGCTTGACCCCCTTGAGTTCCAAATAAGAAATGCGCTTTGTCACTCAATTGTCGCCGCATAAGATATACCTCGATTCCAAGTACTTTAGCTCTTCGCAAAACTTCGATGTTCCGGACGCGGTCGGACCAGGATGCTTAATATTAAGTCATATACCTATTACGTTAGTATACTACCGTATGTTTTGTTAAAACAAGACAACTTTCAGAACAAAGCGGACTCGTACTTCACGACACAACGGCTGAACTACATCGCCAACCAGACTGAGCTACTGAGACCAAAGATAAAAACCATGAAATACGTCGATGTCGCGAAAGTCACTGAGGAAATTACAAAGTTGGAAAATAACGCACGAAACTTATTACGATCGGTAAGAACAAAGTCTTACGTCAAAACTTAAAATTGTCAAAAACGAAGACGATAGTTCGTTTGCTCAAAATAATTTGGCATAACAACGGCTCAGTAGAAGCCTGCTCTAATACTTAAAGAACACGATGCAACAACATTCGTTTAAATCCTCACAGGCGGAGTTCGCAGAAACACACAGCGATAAGCAAATCGGGCGAGCTGCCGACCTTGCCGCTGAAGCTGACAAGACCCTAGCCGCAGTGCGGGAGCGTAATCAGAAGGCCCATGAAGTCGTGAGACACGTTGTCGATCTGGCCACGGGACTTGAGCTCAGTCAACAGCCTAAGGTTGACAGCGCTCTGGCTGAGGCTGAACAGATTAAGGCAGATATTTCCGGTATGTTGTTCATTAGCATACCTTGCATTCACATAAATATTTACTAATAATGGTTACATCGAGTATATAACCAGAAATAGAGACGAAATGTCATTTAATTTGTTTGAAAACTATTCTGCCATATCATTACTGTGACAACTGCGCTCCGATTGGCTAGCCCGAGTTCGAAACAATTGACGGGTGTCGTCAATTGGTGTCGTCAACTGTTTCACTCCAAATCGAACAGTTAACTTGAGCTTTGCTATAATGGACGAAAATTGCAAAATTACATATTTAATATTAAATTACCGATGAAATGTGATTCCGTTTGTTTTGTAATTAAATGTTTTGCTGTTTTTCCAACACCACCGAGTAGAACAGCACGGCATTGTTAAGAGATATTATCTTTATTATAATAAATACACAGGTCAGTAGTTGGCCTGTCTATATTTCAGTGCAAACTAGAGTTGATATTTATAAGAGCTGTATCGCTAATGTGTTACCAGGAATATATGGCCCTTATTTCGTCTCTATTTCTGGTTATATACTCGATGTATTTAACTAACAACAAAAGTAACCGCCTCCGTGGCCGAACGGTTACCTTGCCTGGCACGCAGAGGTCTCAGGTTCGATTCCCGGGCCGAGAGAAATATTTGTACGGCCTACATTTATTTCTGCCGTGAGTTTGAGTGTAATTTGTGGTTGTCTATATGTGTGTCCATGGCACCCGCGACACAGGGTTTCCCTAGTGCGGGGCTATGTTAAGTGTGTGCGTTATTATTATTATTATTTATATAAATGAAAAGTGTTATGATCCACAACTGTATAAACAAAATGAGTCTAAAATGTACGTTATAATACCATGCCTTGTGAATGGTTAAAATTTATCGTTATCAAGCTACGAAGCCTCAGCGCAAGGCAAGACTGCAAATTTATTGTTAAATTCCAGCCAAGAACCTGTCTGCAAGAGAAGAAGAAGCATTTGAAGCATTCGCGAATGCGACTGCGCAAGTGGAGCGAATGAACGTCTTCGTGCAGCCCATTGACGAACAGGCTATGGTTCTTGTTACTTTTAATACAACTTACATCTTTGACTGCTGTTCACTGACTTTATATTAACTTGTATCTCTTGTGCAGAGATTTGAACGACAGTTGAATGCAACGCGCAAACTGAAATCAAAATTTGATGACATGGAGCAACACATAAAAGGAGCACGTGAAAAAACCCTGAACGCCGAAAGAGTCAATTTTAACAACAAGTAAGTTGTCAGTTCTAAACCTCACGAAATAGTAGTTACAGTACTTCTTCTTCCTGTGGGTAGTTATACCACGTTGGGTGAAGTCGGCACAGCCTGTATTTTTCTTCCACTCTCTCCTATCAGCCGTCATTTCCATTCTTATCCATGACGTCTTTCAGACAATTCATCCATCTTTTCTTTGGCCTTTCTTTCCCCTCATATCCCTCCACATTCATGGCTAACACTCTTTTCCTCACATGACATTCTTCTCTCCGCATGACATGTCCATACGATGCTAATCTGTTACTCCTCATCTTTTCCGTCACTGGTGCCACTTTCAAACTTTCCCTGATGTACCCATTCCTTATTTGCTTATTCCTTTCTCGTCTCTCCCCACATCCATCTCAATATTCGCATTTCCGCTGCATGGATTATAATTTTACTCGTATATGGAAATATGCTATTCTCACTGGCTATTCTTTTGACAGGAAATCTAAATTCGAAGAGAAAGTGGCTTCCGTGGTGAATCTCAATGTTGCAGCGATGAATGACCTAATAGAAACCGCCAACGACACAAAAAAAGCGGCTGATCTCACCCATGAGGCTGGAGACATCTTGAACAATTCCAGTAAAGCTCTTGAGGAGAACAAGAAAGGCACCACTGAGCTAGGCGAAATTCTAGCCAAATTTGGGATGGAACTGCCTGAACTTCAGAACTTGACTGATGTGGCTTTCGATCACGCTATAGATTTGAGGAACAGAGTGAGCAACTAATTTCAAATTATAAATTAAGTCATGTCCAATATTATCAATTTTGTGTCTATTGTCCTATTACTATATCTAGGCAGAGAGTCTGCGAGCGCTGGCGGAGCGTGAGAATAATAATACGAACACGCAACTTGCCTACGCAGCGGCCTCTGCGTACTCTTCCATCGTACAGGAGATTGGTGACGCCAAACGCGCTGCCGACGAAGCAGAAGCTGCTATCGGCAAGATTGTACTGAAGGTATGATGTTGTTACAATTGTCAAACTTGACAATTTCAGATTAATTGAAGTAAGTAAGAATATAATTCTTTTGTTTTTCTTTTCAGAACGATCAACTAAAGATAAGAACAGAGCCGGCTTACACGAAGTCCAACGAGCTGTTGACACTTGCCTCGCAAGCTTTGGTAACTGCGGAAGAACAGCTGCATCCCAATCTGACTGCCGCTGAACTACAGCTTCAAAACGCCATGAAATTGCTAAACGCTGCTAATGATACTTATAACGGGGCGAAAGTGTGAGTACTTTCTTTTCCACAAACTGGATACGATATAACAAGTTCCTATTTAGTTTCTGACAAAAATAACAATATCATTTTTACCAGGAATATCACCATACCCCAGATCGAAGTGGAAACCTTTACAGACCAAGCGGAACGGACTCGAAACTCACTGCTGAACATACTTGACATCATGAAACAACTGGGCACAGAAATTGAAAACGGGAAGAAAACTTCAGTGGAAGGATCCACTACAGCCGTCCAGACCAATAATACGATTTCGAATGTACAACGATCATGTAAGTGCGAGTTTGAAAATAGTCACGATTAGGGCTTTTAGTTTTGTTGCGACTCTGGGTCCCGGGAAAAAATGCGGTCTCGAAAAACCCGGAAAAAACGAGACTTTCGATACTATTTGAAAAGTTTCCATACTTATGGGCTAAACATTAGGCAGTCAAAACATGATATTTTAGTCAAGTTCTGTAATAACTCCAATTATAAACCAAAAGTTTGTTTGTAAAAATAAGTATACGCGATTTAGACCCGAAAAAATAGTTTCATGTCCTAATGAATTTATCATCCGTTTTTATATTTTTCGTAAAATTCGTAAAATCGTATACAGAGCGTCATTCACGCTTTAGTCTTCGTTTGTTCGACTGACAGCGAAGCAAGCAAAATTAGACAGTACTGCGATGACATTACAATTTAAATTCAACGTTTTAGCTTTTTCATATTCCTTTACATGTCACTACGTTTAAATAGGTTGACTTGGGACATTTTTTTCGTGGTTTTTGTATTAGACCCGTCGTCCATTTATTTGTAAGTCAATGCATTTGGAGCTTTTAATCAACCTCAATTTTCGGGTTGTTATGGGTTAACACATTATTATTATAACACATTATTGCTTTTGAGCATCCACTTTTGCTTACGCACTGATAGTAACACCAAACTCAGAACTTTTTCTGAATAGTTCAATTTCCTATGTGTAACAATCGACTGGTTACACATAGGAAATGGTACTCGATATAAATTCATTAACCAAACGACGAAAAAAGTCTTTAGTCGCCATTTTCTCAAAACGATGATATGATCAATCATATGCTTATCGTCGTCCAAGTAACAATTTAATTACGAAAATCTTTCAGTACCACATTTACTGTAAAAAATTTTTAACAACGATTGAGAGAGTGTACGACAGGCGTATGACTTATACACTATTTACAAATATATTTTTTGCGTGTTAAATACAGTTGCGACCAATTCGACTAAATCTCGATATTTTTTGAGCCCGGTCATCGATATTAAAGGACGACGACGCCGGAATAAGGTTATCCCGTAAAACATTCATAACTTTAAAACAACGGACGGACTAAATCTATTTTTTAAGACCAGAGCCGAATAATTCACGATATTTTACCTTACTCGTAAAACTTAACATAGTAGTAAAAAGGTGTCCTAATGTAATACAAAAAAAACTTGAATCGTAAGCATGTAATTAGTGACAAAATGAATATAATTTTTTTTTTTGTAAAATAGTAAAAATGGCAGAAGATGGAAAACCGAATATCGATTTGAAGTTTAGAGCAGTGGAGATGCATCAGGCCGAGCACGAGAGACGACGCAGAGACGCCGATGAGAAGCTCAACAAGTTGAAGGAACTCATTGAGCAGGTATGTATATTGTACAGTCAAGAGCACTTCAAGCCTGACACTTTGTTCTTTGGACCATTCTTATCGTAAGCGGCATAGAGTTGGATTTAAATCTTAAGTGTCAAGGTTGACGTGCTCTTGACCCTGTACTTTACTGTCTGTTCAGGTTTGGGAAGTTGTGAAGTGTAGTGATGCAACGAAAGTGCCATAACGGAAACAGATGTCAAAAGTAATTCTTAGCGGAAACGGAAGCGGATGCGGAAGTGTAAAAACTATAAAGAACTCAATAAAATAGTTCCCAAAGGGCCTTGTTTTTGGTTTCATAATTAAGACAAAACTATTAAAAAACGCGTACTCTACCGCCAAGTAATCCGCACTGGCGCCTAATGCATCGCGAACGTTGTAAACTTCCGATTAGAATTCCTTTATAAAAGTTGCAGAAACGGAAATAGATATGAAAGCGTGCGGAACTTTCGCCGTTGCACAATCAGAAACTGAAGTCTGTTGCATCACTAGTGAAGTGTAACGAACAATGTTTTTTAATTTATTCTTCTTTTATCGTAGGCTCGAACTATAGCCAACAGTATACCAGTAGGCGGGAAGTTCGACAAGCGCTCTGTACTCCAACCACGTCTACCAGACTCCATCGACGAAATGTCCACTTCCACACATGTTTCCGTCTACTTCCGTACTCCAAACGAAAATGCAATGATCCTGTATCTTGGCAATCCGCCAGGTACCAATCTCAGGAAAACAAAGACGGTAAGTCACGTCATGAAATTCAAACTTGTGGGCGTACATTAAGTGAAAATAGAGAAAAGTACCTAATTAAAAGATTTCTTATAAACGTCGATAGTAAGCTATCTCGCTAACTTGTGAATTGCAGGACGATTTCATGGTGATAGGCATAAAGAACGGCTACCCCTACCTGACGATTGACACCGGGTACACCGCTGATGACCACATCCCCTTCCAGACGATCACTAGCGAGACGTATGTCTCGGACAACAAGACGTGGTATCAGGCCATCGTTGATAGGTAATGCTCCTACCGTGACTTCAGAAGTTGTATTTATTTGTCAAATAATAAACTATAAACAAGTTAGTCAGGCAAAAACAGATAAACTGACTGTGCATAGGAAAATAAACGCTAGCTGAGGGCGTTCACTGCATTGCAACCAAATTCTCCATATTAATATGTAATTGACTTGTACATAATGAGAAAATGTCACCTATTATTTGTTACACAGGGTTGGACGCAATGTGAAATTTTCCATTCGAGGAACTCTCATGAACAACACCGAACATACGGAGACCAAGGAAGTCTTGTTACCGGGTCAAACCACTATCTTCAATCTAGACAAGAAAAAGTCTAAATTGTATGTGGGAGGTGCGCCAAGTGGCGCAAACCTACAGGGCGTCAACTTTCCGTATTACGAAGGCGAAATTGAGGAGCTTATGATCGGAGAAACACCGGTGGGCTTATGGAACTTCGAGACCGCGGAGAACTTGAACGGAACTAGGCAGAGGTTAGTGCAGGAGACTTGCAATATGATGTTGCTTTTTTTGAAGCCACTTAAGTATAATTTTCTGTACGCAGGAATCAGCTTGTACCAGAGTCGACACTGGAAGAATATAGATTCAATGGAAGAGCACATGTCATAATGCCGGCCATGAACCTGGGCAGGTGGAACCTAGAGAACCCGCTGCGCCACAAAATATTACTGCACTTCAGGACCTACGCCCCGGATGGTCTCATTTACCTCGTCGGTCAAGACAAACAATTCTTCTCGGTCCTCATGCAGGGAGGACAAGTCTTTTTACAAGTAATTGCAATATAATTTTAATCTAGTCGGTGCAGGAAATTAATAGAGAATGATTAATCTAAACATTAACTTCAAACAGGTATCACTCGGTGATGGAAGTGACCTGCTAATCCTCGGCACAGATAAAACATACAACGATGGCAAATGGCATAAATTAGATGCAGGTAGATCCGAAAATCAATCTTATCTGATAATAGATAACAATCGATTTGAGGGCACGTCCACCTCCTCCTCATACAATATACCTGTGCACACAATGAACTTCGGCGGGAACAACAAGGGTATCACGGCTGTAACAAGCAAAGGCTTTGATGGGTGTTTAAGAGAAATTAATGTTGACACCATACGAATGGTTTTAGATACCGATTACATAGAGTCCATAGGAGTCTCCTACAGATGTCAAGTAAGTACCTTACTCCTGACACATGCTAAGTATTCGTAATAGTAACGTACATACTGACCCCAGATGAATAATTGCGCAACGTAATATGTGCAGTTTGCGTCTCTGGTGTCGCTGTCGGGGGTAGACACTTACCTTCGGTTCGTCAACATCACAAGCACAGCAAGTCTTCAGTTCACTCTTAAATTCAAGACTGCTGGTCGAGATGGGCTCATCTTTGTGTATGAAGCTCGCAAACAGACTACAGCTACTCGAGACAGCATTTCGCTAAAATTATCTTCAGGTAATTTATCACTGACATGAAATTGTTGTGGTATTCAAAGAGCTAAATGTAAAAACAAACAAAAAAACTCTTTTTAATACCCAACAGGAAAACTAGTCCTGGCTAGTCAGGGTGAGAGGATCGATACAGGTCAGAATACGTACGATGACGATCAGTGGCATGTGGTTACAGTGACGCACAACAAGAAAATGTTAAGGCTCGCAGTTGACGATTTCGACTCCTTCAGGTGAGCAAGATGGAACGCTCATTTCAACTCGTTCCTTACATTTGTTTTTCCTTACTAATTCGCAACTTCCAACCTCGTGTTCTCGTCAATCCATTATCCGAACCCCTGGTTTTTCTATTTCATTCCAACTTGATAGGAACATCTACCATAACTTTTCTATGCGACCGCCTTAAATATTTGACGATTTTGTATACAACGCCACTGGAAGTCTTAACAAATGCGGTACCTATACACAAATATTTTTACTATCGTCATTGTAATCTCATGACGAAGGTACAGTTTTTTTTATTTATGTAAACAGTTCGGACATTGCACCAAAGCCATTGAATATATTGGACGGAGTTCTATTCATCGGTGGTGTTGAGCCTGGATGGAAGGTCACCAGCAGAGGTGTTCACCAAACCCCGGCTTTCCAAGGCTGCATAGCTGATGCCACATTTAATGGGCAGGTGCTCAATCTCCTAGACCCCTACGGCAACCGAAGTGTTACTTTTGGTCGCTGCGGCACTACAACATCTACAGGCGGCCGCTCTCCAGGTTAGACATTTAACCATTACCTATCTCCAGTACCGTAATTAGTTTTGTAAACCGTATCCATTTATTTAGGCTTTATAGTTGCTTGACAACTTGATCTGATGATCTTGTCAGTAAATTGATGTGCACTTGAAAGCGAAAAAATTTTTTTTTTACATTTTATTTTCAGATCTTGAAACGTCGTCATGGACGCCGCCATTAGTGACTGATGTTATACCTCTTCCGACGGTGACACAAATTGAGCCCAGCAGTAAGAACTCAAAAAATACAGTATATTGCGAAACGCAGATCCTTATTTAATATAAAATTCACAGTCACTCAGTGTTTTTCAACATTTTTTTTTCCTAAGAATCAATAAAAAGAAGTTGGATAGGACATTTCAATTCGTACGACAACGTATCGCTAATTGCTTTTCCAGATCCACTAGTGCCTCCGGTAGAAAGGCAGCCTGCCACAGTAGCGCCGATATCTACCAGCACGGCGCAGCTTGCCACTTCCGAAAAACTAGAAGATACCACTACAAAACGAACACCTCCACAACCAGAACACGGCTGTGCTCTATCCTATGATGATTATTACACCACCGGTCACCCTGACGAAGGGTACCGATTTGGTAAAAACCATGTCACTCGTTGTTTAAAATGTGTTACATTTAGATAAACCCAATCGATATTATTATTGAAATGGTTACCACTCGACAGGAACCCGAAACGACAGTCACATTGCGTATGCCAAACTACCCGGCCGGCAAAAGGACGGCTTCGACCTATCAATATCTTTCCGCACATTTGACGAACATGGCGGTCTCATTTTTTATGCCGCTTCTAACGTGAAACCTAGTCAATTCTTAGCTGTATACATGAAAGATGGTTTGGTAAGTCACATAGCAAGTTATTTATTGCAATCCATTGAAACTTACAAGGAACTTAAGGTTGAATTTTCAACAGATTCATTTCGAGTTTAATTGCGGTGGAGAAACAGGCGTAGTGACTTCCACGCAGAAGTACAATACTGCCGAGTGGCACACCGTGACGGTGGTGCGGAACGCAGGCCACGGCAAGTTGAGCGTCGATTCAGATCGTATCGGAGAGACCAGCGTCACTTGCATTGACCCCGTTGTCCTGACGCCGCCCTATTATTACGGTGGTCTCAGGCATTCGACTGACGCCAACAACCTACACGTGAGATTACACTCTTTTTAAGATTTTGTAAGGTATGCCACATGTACAACACGTACAATCTTCATTGTATTGATTTTTTTTGTCCAGGGTTTCTACCAGCCTTTCATAGGCTGCCTGAAGGGACTAATGATGAACGGGCAACACGTCCCAGAGGTGGTGCAGAGTCGGGTCAACGCATTACGTTGCATCGACAATATTGAGGACGGTGTTTATTTTGGGCCTTCGACCATTTCACATAGTAACTACTTGAAGGTATGTCATGGATATACATATCATGTGTACATACCTACATTACGTGTGTCTCATTATTATCATAAACGTCAAAGTATTCATTGAAATGTAATTTATGTTAAGAATACTAGTCTATTTTATGAAAAATAGTGACAAATCTAACATTCAAAATACTCATTTCATTTGTGCAGCTCTTAGAGAAAATAAAAATTGGCAACGAGTTCTCGATAGCCATGGAAGTGAAGCCGCGCAACTCGACGGGTCTGTTGCTGAGCGCGCACGGTAAAAAAGATTACATGATCCTCGAATTAATGGACAACCAGGTGGTCGCTCACGTCGAGAACGGCAAAGGACCCTTCCATGCTGTTTTCAAGTTAGCCAACAAGTCTTCGCTTTGCGATGGGAAATGGCACAAGATTCAAGGTGAGACTAATACATAATAAGACAATTTTTATCTTTGATGTATAGATGGAAGAAATCTCAGTCCTTTATAACAAAGTAACTGCCTCCGTGACCGAAAGGTTCGTGAGTTTGGGTGTAATTTGTGGTTGTCTATGTGTGTGTCCATGGCACCCGCGACTGTTTTGACTAAATTTTATTTTGCTTTTTTCCAGCTATTAAATTGCGCCACGTAGTGTCAGTGGGCGTGGACGGCCAGTTCTCGGACCCAGGCATCGGCATGTCTAGCTCCACAGACACTGGTTCCGCTCTATACATAGGCGGGCACGAACGGGCCATCGGCAAAGTTCGCGGTGTCACTTCAAAGCGCGGTTTCACCGGCTGTATCAGGAATATCGTCATCAATACCACGCGCATCAAGATACCACTAAATGCGGCCGGACGTAACACACATGTTGGAGTCTGCCCTAAAGACTAGGCGAACCGCGACAATGAAGATACACAATGACATAGATACTGGAAAGACACCTTCAATAAATTTAGAAAACAATTTTATCACAGAACGGGCATGACCCTTTCTCGTACCTATGCATTGTTATAGTCAGTAACACGATGAAATGTGTTAAAGAAATGTGCCATAATATGCCTAAACTTAAAACAATAAGACTGAAACATTTTAAGAAAAATCTTAAAAGCATTCAGTATCACTAAGTTAGGACAACCAGAGCAACAGAACTTCATATTTAATTAATAATAAATATAGTGCCTAAACCTCGTCAATAAATTATTACAAAATTAAGGAATATGTATCTTCACTCGTTTGAATAAATCTTACATTAAATTTAAAAAGTGCCTAATATAGGCTATCTTTATGTGACTTACTGAGTGTACCTCCGCAGGTCGAAATCGAGGACGCTAGAGGAATAACAATCAATTTAAGAAATCTTAAGCCAAGAAATAAAAGAGTTATGAAATATTGAACAATGTATTTTACATTATGCATTTAATATATTACACCAACAGGAAACAAATCGACTCGTCTTCACAATTAACTACTAGAAAATTTAAAAAATATATGCAGAGTGACTGCGGGGTCGTGATACCGACCCATTGTGTTTAACTCGGTAAAGGATGCGATATCATACCTTATGGACGCCTTATATTTCGTATTAAAACCTTTTCGACATTTACACAAGTAAGAAATTGTTAAAAGTCATAGTTGTGATAAAGCCACGATACCAAATAAATCTATTTGATGTAAACTTCAGATGACCATGATTCTAAACAATAGGAACTAAATTATTGTCAGTTTTTCATGAAAAAAGTTATAGCACTTTTTTTTTTTTTATGTTAACTAGTAGGCAAACGAGCAGACAAGCCACTTGATGGGAGGTGGTCATTGTCGCCCATGGACACGAGCAATACCAGAGGCATCACCCATGCGTTGCCGACTCCGGAGAACCTTGAACGTTCCTGACGAGATATTCATTTATAATTTAACCGTGTTTTTACACAACCCTGCAGTCATCCTGATAATTAAGGGTACATTTAAGAAGTCTGCAAATCTTAAAATTAGAGAAAAACAGTTTAACAGCTCATTCAATGGAGGTATTTGTTCGGTATAGTAAAATTAAACTGCTTGCGTGACCGAACGGTTAGCGTGCTGGTCTACCACGCAGAGGTCCCGGGTTCGATTCCCGGGCCGAGAGAAATATTTGTATGACCTTTTGTTTCTTCGTATGGGTGTAATTTGTGGTTATCTACGTGTGTTTATGGCACCCGCGACAAAGGGTTTCCTTAGTGCGGGGTCATGAGTGTGTTCGTTAATTATTATTATTACTGGTTTATCGATTTATATCACTTTTCTTTTACTTCCTATTTTGTTTCACGATGCCAAAGATTTGCAGTCTTCTGTCTAAATACACCGTCCATATTGGAAAAAACTTTTTAGTAGTCTGCCACCGTAAGTTGAAAGGGCGCATGTGACACTTTTTCAAAAAAATCAATTACATGTACTGCCGCGACCAACAAAAAAGACGAATCTACCACAATTTTACTTTTTTTTCCTAGATGGATTAGGTATGAAGTTACCGTCAGAGAAAAGGGCGTAAGTTTTTTTTTCACTTTTATGTTCAAACTAAGTTAATTGGACGCATTTAGAAAATAAATTGGTAATAACGCGTAATTGCTTAGATACATAATTTTGTTTTACCTACACATTTTAATCATTTAAGTAAATGAAAAGACGCAAGTCACATTTAAGTTTCTATCTTCTTCACTTAAAGCTGTACATATACGTATTTACCGAAAAATGTTAATTTCCCAGATGATAGTTGCACAATGCTTACATAAATTTAAAATAAAGTGAAAATGCTACCTCTTATTTAATGTAATAAAAATTTTAAAATGTTAAGCTACGACACATTGAAGAGAAATTGTAACTACATGCTGCCCTTTCGTCTTATTATTACACTAAAGTTAACAATAGTGTTGTAATTATGCTAAGCTGAAAAGGCATAAGTGGTTACTTGCGCCCGTCTTACCTAGTTTTGAGTATTTTACGAACATGTTTTTACTAAGATGAAAAGGAAAAAAGTTAATAATTTGATAATTGAGCATAAATAATTAAATATTTTATTTTTACATTATAATGTAAACCTATTATATTGCGTTTGCAGCAAGTGTTTTTGTCTTTTCGTTTGGCGACAGCAGACATTTTTCTTTTTTTTTTTCTTTAAACATTACTTTCTCAGATTTGACTTTTTGTCACAAGCGCACTTTTAACTAAGGGCGGCAGTAGTAGTCTATCATGAAAATATGATTGATAACTTTGTCACCATCAATCCATTATACATCCCACTGCTGGACAGGAGGAATCATCACTAAGGAGAGAGTCAGGGCTCAGGTTATTGTACCCCACACTCGTCCAACTGCTATGAACCGTCTTAAACATTCAAGTTTCATCAAAGTTTCCCTTCACACCGTAAGCAAGAGATGTTGCTACACAAATGTAGGTCATTTTAAATTAATGCCATAGGTACATGCCGCCACTGGGATTGGAATCGTCCACCTCTCAATCGAGAACTTTTCATACTGTGCACTTGGTTCCACTAGGATGGGTCCAGTAGATTTTGAGAGTACTCATATCCCCACTACATAATATGGGTTTAACTATAAGAAGCAACCGTTCTCCTACTGACCTACCACATCCCCTTTAACTGAAACTGTGTTAACGAGACAGAAATTACAACGATGTGGTGACTTTTTATTTTTAAATTTGTTAAAGAGTAAAATATTTTCAGTCAATCTTCTTCAAGTTTCTTTTTATTTATCCCTTAATTAAACTTTGTAACTTAAATGTGGTATAGATATTGCACCCGAGTGACATCTATAATGTTATATTATAGATGGGGAATACCACCATGGGAGAGGCTAGAGTCAATAGAAAGATATTCAAAATTATTATTTTTTTTTTATTTCCATTCATTTTCATAATAATAATTTAAAACCAGCCCAAATACTGGGAAAATAAAAGCAATAATAATTATTATTGTTCCATTTGAAGCAGTGTAAAGAACGTATTGTTACATTTTGTTGCAATTCCGCTTTTGAATCAACGATCGCTGGTGGTAATAATAATAATGTCCTTGTCCGCAACGGGGGTTATCTCAAATCATCTTCACATAGATTCAAGTCAATAGTTCTAATAGAAATCCTCTATATTACAAAAAGATGTAAATTTAAATAGATGTAGGGGCGACCGTTTTCTACAATATCGAGTTCGTAGGAAGGAACACGCGGCCAACAGCCGTGCAGCCCGAAATTATCCTGTTTCGAAGTGCCTTAAGCTTGATTACTATCAGAACCGCTGTTCCCAAAACTCGCAGTATCTTAATTTTAAACACTATGAATCTTGATAATGATTGGTCATAGTTTCTAATTTAAAAAGAAATAACAAATTTACGATTAATATAATTTAAACTTTATCCTATTGGCATATCGTTGAAGGTTCCATACCTATTATTGCAAATTACAATGTTTTGATTTAATACTGCAATTTCAATCCATCTAGCTGTACCACGAGGAATGATTAACGCTTACGAATAGCGTGGAGATATTTACTTAGTTCTCCAAAAAAGAAGCGACCATATTGAAGCGGTATAAGCATTGACCAGGTTTATTTTCGTTTCCTATAAAAAATCTATTACTATGATTACTACTATAATTTTTGCACTCCACAGTGACAAAATGACAAAAACGACCACAACGTACAAGCAAAAAATGGTAGACTGAGCTCAAGTATGCAGAACCTCGCATACTGTTGGCACACGTCGCATGCTCACTAATCACTTCTATTGTATTTATTGTTCTGTGGAGTGAATGTACCGTTCACAAAAGATTCGAAGTTATACAGGTTCGTTTATACTAGCCGGAGCTTCAACACTGGAGAGACACCACCGCCACACCGGCGGAATTTTGCATGTGAATATGGCCTTTGGGACTTACATTAGTGGAGACAGACTCTCTTCATTGATGAGCGCAGAATTATCTCGAATCGGATTTGTTCAAGGACGCAAATATAGAGCCGCTAAGGAGAGCGTTATATTGTTTAATTTTAAAAACACAGTGACAAACGGCGGGGTTCGATGGTGTGAGAAGACTTGGAAGTTCGTACAGAGTTGGCGGTGGTAGATGGAGTGAATATGAGCGCTGGCCGGTAATATCAGGACTGTTTTAGATGAACACGCTGTGTCATGTGCCACCTTTATCGATGACGGCTTTAATCTTAATGCAGGTAAGGTTCGGACTAAACGTGCTCGCTTTGTACAAGCATATCCAATAGGGCTTGAGACTACTTAAAGAGAGGCTTAACCTCCAGAATGTGGATGACTCCATGTGGGTGAAATTCGAGACGCGTGACTTGTAGAGTGGAAGAAGTTGGATATCATCCGCAGTATGCCCAGACGGATGGTAACCATGGTTAGAGCATGTTGTTTTGTTTGATTAAGGGCGCGTGCCATTCCATTAAGTCGTGATGACAGGATAGTCATGCCATTTAAAGTGGCGTGTCTTATATATTGAAATGAAGTTGTTCACATATATTACAACACGATTAACTGCCGGTCACGAATGTTTTGATCTTATGACGACAGACCGTCAAGACAATGGGAAGAGCTAGAACGACCGCCGACAGACGATAAATGAAAATGTGACGACGACGTTTTGTTTATCGTCGTCTGCACGTATTCCATTTTTTTAAAAAGTAATAAATAATTAAAATTTCATTCATTTCCATTACACACAGAGGGAACGCACACTATTGACTTCCAAAAGAACATAGAGGCGACTGCTGTGCATCATGCGACTATTTCGTGCAAACGACAAGGCGGCTGCCGTGGACATTGTCGGTATGATCCAGTGGGAACAGCTAGACACGACACACGTCATAAAATGCACGACACCACATAAACTGATACAATTTTTTAATTTGCAACTGTTTCTGCTCTACCTTCTATGAACATACCAGAAACAGAACGTACATAACAGAAAAAAATGCATGATGTTTTAATTTTGATTTTTTTCAATATAACTTGGTGTTACTTTGTTTTTTCTTTCAATATAAACATACTATTTTATATAATCTTAATTTTGTTCCACTAAATGTCATAATATTAGAAACTGTCTACCCTCCAGTTGTTGGCATTGATTTTCTTTGTTTTAGGATACGCAACGCAACATGCACACAACGCTGCCCATCTTACAAAATACATATATAATCAATTACTGCAATATTATTTTTTTATTGTACTATTAAACCATCACCAATCGCTGGTCCAACAGCGGCATAGCAACACAATATGAGAATACGTTCTTGAAACAACTATAAACACAAAAAATAAGTTATATGACATAATTAAAAATCACAGTCAACTTAGAAATATGAGTTGATGTTATGTTTTAGCTAACAACATCACGACCAAAAGGTGTGACTAGGACATACAAGGATCAATAAAAACTGACCTTCAAATATTGATCCACGTTTACCAAGATATAAGCAGTAATTGAGTACCAGAGATCGTAAAATTGCTTCAGTTAACTACATTAATCCACACCAAAGTGAACTGTTGACCAAGAACATCATAGTCAAGTTTCCTTAGACGAAAAACAAACACTAACTTAACAACCAAAGAAATAAAAAAGACACGGATTACATTACATAACAAAACACATAGTTATGCGATTCCTATTTACAATTCTATACAACCTTCAATATTATTCACTTCTAAACTAGCTTAATATTTTAATATTTGGTAACACAAGTCTTAACTAACATGGTAACTGTAAAAAATAGATTTGAGTTTCTCAAGCGTAAGTACCACACACGAACATTTCTAAATTATTAATTGCGATTCTTTAAACAAGGAGAAGTTTGCAATTGATCAAATTCCGTTTGTATCACTGCACTGCACGTAATTACGTAATCATTGACGCACAGGACCCCGTGTCAGGACTATATGACGTATGCCAGTGACCACCGCCAGCCGTCATTTAGGAACTATCACTAACTCACGATCAGTATACTCTTGAGATCAAATTAGAATCCAATAATGTAAACAAAGGTTAAAGATTAAGGTTAAAAGTCTTATCTCATAGATAATAAACCTTTTATCACGTTCGATTATTAACAGATTCTACTCATCATATTACGAGTAATAATTTATAACCGAAAAAACACCCTTTTGACTTAAAGTACTTACAAATCTTTTAAGGGTAATTTTGTATTATAAAATAGTTCCAATTGATTACGACAAAACGAGAAGGGCCAAGACCCATAGAAAACTATCCCATTTTCAGAACAAAAGAAACGTATCTCAAAATGTTCTTTATATTAAGAACAAACTCTCTATAGTCTTGTTTTCGATAACAATGGCTATTTTTGGTAACATGTCAATATTGCCCTTTGTTCTTACTCAGGCCAAATAAGGTTAGATAAAATATTTCTATGTATAAACAAAAGCCTAACATAGTTCTTGTTCGAAAGCAACACAACATATCAAGTGCTGGGACGAACAAGTCTAGATACGTCTACCCATAACAGTTACTGTGGCACTCAGAGCTTTAAGCCGCAAAGGTCAACCATGTAGTTGAAAAGTCGCCTGTGCCTGTTTTTTCATCAGTATAACCTCGCAGGTGCAAATGCTAAATCGCGGCGATGCAGCTCACTAAGATGAACCTGACCATCCATTTCGATCAAAAGCGGACTTTTATTTATTTTTTAATTAATTGGAATTAACACTAATTGATAATGAATATATTTATTATATCCAATATATTTGATTGAAGACTGGAGTTACTTTTTTTTACTTTATCATATTAAATAGGCTGTTTGAAAGTTTTCATTATATGTTGTGTGTAAGTACAGTCACACAATTTATGAAAACTAAAAAACATCTTGTACGATTTGAAACCTTTTTACATTTCGACAATTAATAATAATAATAATTTATTTCAGGCAATTTGGCCCATATTAGTTAATTACAATAACCTTATTGCTTTATTACCTTGTGAAAACATTTTGTAAATTAAAGATTAAAAATAAAAGATTAATGAAACAAAAATTAAAACTGACATAACAAAAAAATTAAAATGAAATATTTAAAAAACTAAAAACCTTTGTTCACATTTTTGGACTTTAATTCCTTCCAAACTTCGACTATCAATGCAAAAGATCCCTAAAAATATTGCTTTAAGCAATATGGAAACAGAAGTTCTTGTGCACAATGTGCGTCTGTACAAATCAAATGTTTCCCTGGAACGGAGCAAAGCATTACTTTATATACATTATAATCTACCTATAGGTTATTCACTGTGTAAAGAAACCTATCCCGTAAGCGACGGGAATAAACTCGCCTTACGCCAGAATAGTATTTGAGCACCGGATATAATTTAAAACCTAGCATTAAACCATATTACAACTTCACCGATTCTTCATTTTAAGAGGATTGTGACGGTACCATTTGCCATACTAAAACGTTTTATACAACTTATTTAAAGAAAAAGGTCAGTCCTGCAGAAACCTTTTTAAATAATACCATAAAATGATGACTCACAATACATCTATGATATACAAGAATAGAACCATTTATCTCATTATTATAATATCACATTATTACAATCCAAATTCAATGTCAAGGGATAATATGATCGTAACTAACACAACAAATCGCGATGAAGGTAGTCGTCGACAGCGCAAGAGGGTGGACAGATATGTCTGCTCTTAAAGCTGTCATCTGCCGCCGTCCAGTCAATCCGTGACCATGGAGCGTGCAACCGTTCCGAAATATCGGGATAATAAAAAGAAGTCATACCGTGGTAAGAAACCTGATACTAGTGATAATCATTTAGTGAATAACCACGAAAGTCTTAAAATCTATATAGACTTGAGTATGATTTTCAGTGCTCACTGCAATACTCAAGTCCTGACTTGAGTAGAGTTCTGGAACACGACCCTTAGTATAAATCCCACAATTTACTTATACAATTTGCTACGTAAAGAAAAATCTATAAACCTAAACAATGTTCTTTTGTTACCTTTGCTAGTGATATGACACTGTAATTTGATGAAACATATATTAATGCATAAGTAATGTTGCGCCCGTGAGGGCGCTTTGGGTCGCCCCCCAGATTCATCATGATATTCGTCATTTATAAATAAATAAAATGGTATTAAAATTTAGAACACATCCGTGAGATTCCGCTTTCTTCAGAAAGAATTTTTTTTTTAAACATTGTTCAAAACACCGATTGTGCTCGGGCGCTTCACAATCCTCTTACAGGCCTACCACTTAACTTAGTCGGTTCTTGAGGTAGTTAGAGTAGGTAGAGAAGTGTGTTTGCGTAACTGTTATGTCGCGCTGCAAACGGGATAATTACAACAAGATTTTTCTGACGATATTCAATAACAAGTTGATTGTAAAGAAAGTGCCAAATGGCTTGTCTATTAATTTCAATTCTTCTTCTTTTTGCTTATTGGCGATGCCCTTTTTAGGATTTTGCCAGCGTCAAGGTTGTAAATAAAAATTATGGCAAACGTCAAGTTTTAATATCCGGCATACTCCTTCATTTCAATTATCAATGGAAGTTTTTTTTACTATCGTTTCACTTAACAACAATTGAATAATTTGGTAGGCACTTTTTTCAATCAACTTGCTGTTGAATATCGTCAGAAAAGTCTTTATCAAATTATCCCGTGTCCATAACTGTTGCGTAAACTCACTCCTTCCGCACCGCGCAGCTGTTTTTTTTATAATATCAAGTGACTGGACGAAGAAGTCGCGCGCCTGATGGTAAGCACACAGCTGTCCATAACAGTTGCAGTGCAACTCAGAGGCTCGCAAAGATCTGAGGGGCACTGCCACTGCGTCCGTCACCCTGAGACATAAGTTGACAAGTCCAAGTTGTGCCCGTAATTTCACCAGCACCTTTACCCTTTAAAACCGAAACGCAAAAATGCTAACATTACTGCTTGGCAGCAGAAGTAGGTAATATGGTAAAGGTGAGCTATCTCAGGAATTGACTCAGTTAAGTGGTAGACTTGTAAAACTTTAATGAATCTATACTGCAGCCATTTTTTTTACGAACTCAGATATTCATTTGCTCTAAGAATGTTTGTCTTCAGTTCCACGATTATGTCAATTTTTTAGACAAAAACGACTAGAGTTATTGTGTGACGTAAAAATGGCTTCTTTATAGAACCGTTAAACCTAATTGCTATACTGATACACATTACGATAACATAACTACTGCAGCGCTTTGGCAATAAATATCCTTAATAAATATCATTTTATGTCAGTCTAATCGTAAAAGTTAAAAATCTTATGCTTTATGTAACAATGATTCATCAAACACCCACAACTGTGTTTTTCATCATCCTAGCACTTTTTAACATCACCTTCTGAATAAACACACAATATTTGGTACACGTCACTCTTCACACCATCACAAATGCTAGCTTTAAGTGTTTTCTGGAAGAGTTTCACTAATAAACAAACGATCATCACCTTCATAATAGGCCAACAGATCACCTCCGTCGGCCTCGGCCCTGGAAACAAAAAGATAAGCTCACGTACATTTCTAACTGGTTTGAAGTCACTTTTAAAGGGATTTTTTTAACAATGTAACAAATTCGCAAAAATGTTTTGTTTCTGGTATGACAGTTTCGTTTCTAATCAATTGAGCAGCATGTGCGTAGAAAATGGTAGCTACGCCTCTGATACTCAGCTTTAGTGGCTGTCACAGTGGTATTTACATAGCTACCTATTTACTTAGCTCATCGTGTATATAACCAGAAATAGAGACGAAATAAAGGCCATCCATCTTTTAAATATCTCCTTTGCGCCAAAATCACAAATTAGAAAGCTGAAATAGTACAGCGCCAACAATCTATAACAATGGGTGCCTGTTCCATTCGGTGGTGTGGGAAAATCAGGAAACATCTAATTACAAAACAAATGTAATCACATTTCATCGGTGATTAAATATTAAATTAACTATTTTGACCACAAAAGCATAGTCAGAATCAATTAGAAACTTACAATGAAGTAACCACCAAAAATCATGTGAAATGGCGTAATTTAAATTGTTTAAGGTTAGACATTTCATTAATACATAACGACGCATTTGTACGCACCTGTCCAGCTGCTATTGATGCTGACTTTCAACAATTAACATAATAGACTGGTGTTGCTGCGAGTCGGCGTGTAAAGTGGGCACGGACCGCAGGCATTCGATTTGGTGCGAGCCCCAGTCTTTCTTCTGGCAGTACGTCGAACAATAGGGCGTGCGCCGACAGAGAGAGCACTCCGCTGACGCCTCGCGGTTGCAATTCGCACACTGATAATTAAATTCAAATTTTATTAATTATTACTTTCATTTCATATGCGTGCTCCGAATAGGGTGTTGATAAATGTGTACAGATAGATGTAGTCTGTAGACGGAGCAACATGACAGTTCATTGCGTTGTTGCCTGTTTACAAGCAATTAGTGACTGCAGTCGACAAATATTCTATCGACTATAGACTGAATTTTGGTGACGCATATCGTCGCCTCACTTCTCAAACTCAATAAGAATAAAGAAGGCAATAACGCAATTAGTAGTCATTAGAACGTTGTAACACTCACAATTCAGACATAGGCAAAATTGTTCCTTCTTTCGCAATCTCTCGATAAAACTGTTGACAACAACTGCATGACTATTTAAAATTTTATGAAAACTGACAACACTGTAAATGTCATTTCACTCCATCTTCAAAAAAGACAGACTTTAGACATAATGTCTACACAAGGAGTGAAGGTAGAGTGGTTACCACCAAATATTACTTTCCTGATTTCCGAAAATATGTTTACTGCGTTTAACTAGGAAGCTCAAGCTGGTTTTAAAGTTATTATAGTGGCGCTAAAAAATGCAATAGATAACTAACAACCTTTCACAAAAACAAAATGAGATACCGGCAATAACTTGTTTTAATTGTAGATACTTTACAGACCAACATCTTTGGAACTTCAAGCCGAATCACCAACACTTTTATATTCATCCATAAGATACAGTAAAGCTATTATCCGAAATCCGGAAGTCAAAAAATGTTAACAATTAATATTTACCGGTTTTAACTATTCTATGCCATTCTTTGTATCTGTACATCTGTACATATGTGGACATTTATTTCTTCATTTTAGAACACCCTATTTCGACCGCTGCTCGTAGGTGAACAAATTATACTATTAAAATTGTCGAATTCAATAAACACTACAAATTCGTATCGTAAGGCAGATTTGTCTGAGAATAACGAGTCAAAAACACACCGGTTTATTCTTTGTAAATAGATATTTCTGGCGTCCGCTAACTAAAGCCCGGTTAAGTGACAAAATGGTCTTTTGACTATCATAAAAAGCCATAACCCACTTTTAGAATAGAATAGAATAGAATCGTTTATTTCATGTTATCAATGTCACAATATTACAATTGGAAATACAATGTCAAGGGATAACTATGATCGTCAGTAATAAAATTATAATAATAATAATGAATTTAAATAAAGTAGTATAACTACTGCTTGTCGAATAAAATAAAATTAAAATTGTTTCAAAAGAAACTCATAGACACTGTACAATTCAATATCCAATAAAAGGATTTTATTATATTTTATTTTTATTTATGAATATTGAAATTGTTTAATGATATGTGTCGTTAGAGTAAGTTGGATAATAATAATAACGCTCACACTCAACATAGGCACAATACACCCGCACTAGGGAAACCCTGTGTCGCGGGTGCCATGGACACACACATAGACAATCACAAATTACACCCAAACTCACGAGAGAAATAAATGTAGGCCATACAAATATTTCTCCCGGCCCGGGAATCGAACCTGGGACCTCTGCGTGGCAGTCCGGCATGGTAGCCGTTCGGCCACTGAGGTTAACCATAACCCACTTTTAAAATATTGAAATTGTTTAATCATATTTCAGCTATGTGTCGTTAGAGTAAGTTGGATAAGTTGAACACGTATTTTTGTCTGTTTTTAAAAGAGAATTTTGTGCTCTGTCTTTTTGCTATTTAAAACGTTTTAGTTGGTGGACGACAGATTTGTTCACATTTAACGTTTACAAAAAATATTTTTAAATAATATACGGAGATTCCATAACGCCCTCTGGTGTAGTTTTTATTTCACCGTTGTTTTAAACTTCGTAAATGGCTAATTTTAAACAACAACAGGGATCTTATTTTATAAAGTTTAACCCTTAAATAAACTTGCAACTTTGTGGACACGACTTGTGGAGACGTTTGTAAAGAGCAGCCATTTTTGTTCCTTGTTAACTAATATTATTTTTAACCCTATTTTTCGTGAAAATGTTACTGTATTTCTTAACATAATTGTTATGCAATATGTAAGAATATCAATTTCATTAAGCTTCTCTTTCCTATACATTGTAGGGTTCCCTTTGACGATCCCTAAAATCATGTTTCTGCAAAACAAGGATTAGTGTCGGCGGCATGTACCCTATGCAAATTAGAATGATGGAGTAAGTAAGAAACTCCACTAAAGTACCGTCACGCTATAATGGCCGTTTTGACATTTACCCGCTCATCAAGTTTCGTATTAATTCATAACTACGTTGAAGGAGCTAATTGCTGAACATTGTTGTCAATAGTGATGTGCACTAAAATTTATGGATGTATGAAATTCGAAATTTAAAAAAATGAAATCTAATACGATCCTCACTGATAGGTCGCTGTCCAGCACAACTTCAACCTCCGGTAAACTTGCGTCAAAGCTCAATGAAAAACAACACAGTTTCGAATTGACGATATACTAAGTAAACATTTTTATTTTCGTTTTATTAAAACTTTTTAATCAGCTATGCCTTGCAATACTAGTTACAAATCTAAGAACTTATAGATACGACTCGCATTTCATTATATTTTCTTGTATAATGAATTGAAATTTGACCTCACTATTACGGCCATCATAGCGTGCCGGTAATGTGATTATCATGTGTATAGTACCATAAAACGCCTAACAAACTCTGAACGGCAATGTAAATCACCTTTTTCGCCTCCGTGTCATCAATGTTGTGCAAGGGGACTTGCTCCCCCTCTACGTGTGCATCGACACTGGCTGCCAATATGGCGGACGCCCGCTCCTGCTCTATCCTCTCGAGTTGCCTCGCATTCACGGTCTTCACTTCCTCGACGCACTGTTTCAACTCTCCCGCTAATCGCACCAAAGTTTGGCCAATGTCGTCCAACCGCTTCAGTACTCCGCTCATGTCTGGCACAACTAGAAACACCGTTTGCTTACAATTAAACTGATTGGAAGCGACAAAATTGTGACTGTCACGTCAGGATGGTGGTGTCTGCCACTGAATGCATATTCCAGAAAAGCTACCTATTTAGCTACCTTTTCCATACACTTGCTACCTTCGATATGTTCTGAGAAATTAAAAAAAATAATTAACCAGCCATTCTGATATCAAGATGGCTGGTCGCCACTTTGTTCGGCATGAAGGGAGCAGATTTTCCAGAAGCGTGTTTTACCGATAATTTGCAATTCTATTTCCATACCATTTCCTATCTACATTAGTTAAAAAAATATAAACGATTGAAAATTTTACGAAGTGCCAACGCCTGTCCTCTATGGCAATAGAGCACTAAAAACTTTTGCTTTTTTAATTTAATCAGGCACTTCGTAAAATTTTCAATCGCTTATATTTTTTAACTAATGTAGCAAATAGGTAGCAATTATTGGTAATACATATTTCAGAAAAATCTGGTCATTTCATGCTGTTTTGTTATTGAACAAATAATAAATAAATAAATAAATGTTTAACAAACTGGCGACCAGTCATCCTGATATCAGAATGGCTGGTCAACTATTTTTTCAAATTTCTCAGTATATGTATATCAAAGGTATAGAAAAGGTAGCAAGTAGGTAGCTATTCTTGAATATACACTCAGTGCCATATGCCACAGGCGATCAGCCATCCTGACGGTCACACAAAATTAACGCTTATGGGCAGATATACAGTGATCCTGTAAACATGTCAAATGATTTCCTAATAATTGTTGTGTACAATTAGCTAATATAAAACTTTGTGATTTATATCAATCATTTCCTTAGTTTGAGAAAAATCACTGCACCTTAGCGAAAATCAGTCTGAATACCACAGCTTTTGTTATCGCAATGTACACAATACAGCACGTTTAACGCTGAACTGATCAGTAAAATCACAAAGAAAATTAACTTCAACAATAACAAATACGCCAAGAAAAGTAAATTGATTAAAATGACCTGTGCACAGCTATGACATGTGGCCAACGCGTGTACCGTGTAGTTTCTGACTCTACAATACGCAGCTAAAAACAGTTTTTTTTACAAACAGGCTTACGCAAGTTTACGACGCCAGAAAAATATTGTAAAATGCGATTAAATGGCCCAGGACATTTTGTCTAGATTAACTCTTAGCGCCACTTTTTTAGATGAACAATTGGTTTACAAAGGACAAGCTTTGGAACAAAAACCGATAAATTGGATAAATTCCATTTCTAATTTCATCTACTCTCATTGAAAAGATTTGTCGCATTGCGTTTGATGTTTGATTTAGTGGTTGATATTCAGGTTGGATAAATTATTCGTAGAAATGAATAAAACTAACATTTGGCATTAAAAAAGAAGAACAAGTCAAAATGTAACTTATAGGTTTTTGTTCTGACGCTCCTTAATTATAATTATATAATCTCAATAAACCGAAATACGTAACACAGCATCAACAAATCCATCTCAAGTGCAGAATCGATCCTAAACCATTAATTAAGTCAACAAAAGGTCTTTAGTAATGAATACCACCTTATTGCATATCAACGTTCACTCACTGATAACGCATAATTTCAAAGCTGGCAAAATTCCCGTTCATTAATCAACGTTACTCAGCACTGCACTGTGATTCCCCCATAGGCCATAAATCAAAAAAAATCATTGGCTTATCCCGGTTAGATCAACTCACTAAGTTAGTAACTAGTTAACAAGCTTCCAAAAACTATAAATATCAATGTAATTAGGTCACGTTATCATTCACTTTTGTGCATCGGAAGTGAGCGCATCGCGAGACTAATTATCACCACGTGTGAGTCATCGAAACTTAATCACTTTGTTTTTGAGTGTCACTATTCCAAATCAAGTGTTTACGTGTTGTGAAAGCATGGAGATCCAAGAGCATGGTATGTACTTTTATTATCAATTTTTTTTAATTTTTTTTATGCATACTTTTTTTTATATAATTTTTTTATTGAAGGCAGTTTTTTGGTGAAAATTTTTGGCATAACTTAATTTCCTTTAGACCTACAACTTTTGGCTGCGCTGAGCTGCACCTGAGGTATATGGTTTTTGAATAAGGAGTATGTCCTTATTAAGAGCTATAAGTTTCATTTGCATCTTGCTGCCTCTTCTTGGCTTAAAGGGGTGTCAAAGTATGCATGTCCATAGTATTGAATTTTTAATTTTTTTTTAAGTTCAGCTTTCATATTGTTTTAGGTACATTTTTCAAATGTTCTGTATCGAGGATGACAATTTTTGATATTTGGCACTCTAAAGTGGGTAATCCAAATGAAAAAATGCAACACGTCCTGAGCACTTTGACCGAAACATCATCCCTTTCTGACGACATCGAAAATATTGATTTAGAGACTTTAAGCCTTAAAATTAAGAATATTTGTAAACGAATTTCCCACTACTGGGCAAAGTCGAATCGTACTAGATCTAAATTCTTAGAAAAATATTCAGATTGGCTGCATGTCGTTGAAAATATTGATGTACAGCGAACTGAGTTACGTGTATCTCAGAGCTTTGACGAAGTTAAACCATCAACTTCTTCATCGCATGGCCGTCCGAGAATTAACTTTGACGACACCAGTAAACGTACAAAAAGGAGAAGATTGGCTAGTTTGTCTAACCAAGACCCTTCTCTTGTACAGTCATTGCTCAATGCGTCCGATAGCTTGTCTTGTCCTGAAATCGATTCTAGCGAAGTTTTATCGCTCATTGTTGAAGCTCAGTTAACTCGACATCAATATATATTAGTAAAGAAATTTATAGACAATAAGTTTTCAAAAACCATTTTCCCATCTTACCAAAGTGTCGTGGAATCTAAAAAACACTGTTATCCTTCAGATTACTGTTACAGAATCATCCGCCGAAGTCGAACTTCAAAGTTTATTAGATCATACTGCCAATCGGATTCTCAAGTCTCAAAAAGATGTTTTGGATAGTGTACCTAATGAGTCTCTAGATAAGATATCTTTGATAGGGAAATGGGGTTTCGATGGCAGTACAGGGCATTCAGAATATAAGCAGTGTTTTTCTGACTCCACTCTTGAAGACAGTAGCCTGTTTGTTACTTCGTATGTGCCACTTCAGCTTGTTTTGACAACAGATAACAAAGAAAATTCAGTAGTTTTGTGGAAAAATCCTCGTCCTTCATCAACTCGATACTGTCGTCCTATACGCCTCCGATATTTGAAGGAATCGACTGCAGTGTCAGTTGAGGAAGAAGCTCATTTTAAAGATAAAATAAGGAACTTGCAGCCTACTGTTTTCAAGGAAGAAGATCGCGAATATCGCATTACTCATTGTTTGCAACTTACTATGGTAGATGGTAAAGTGTGTAATGCACTTAGTGGTGTTTCTTCATCAAAATGTTTTATTTGTAACGCCTTGCCCAGTGAAATGAACAAAATTGACGAATGTTTAAATAAGGAAGTCGATGAGAGTAAATATGAATTTGGTTTATCACCTCTTCACGCGTTAATACGTTTTTTTGAATATTTTGTTCATGTCGCGTACAAGTTAGATGTTAGGAAATGGCAAGCTAGGTCCGCTAATGACAAAATGCTTGTTGCTGCAAAAAAATCATATGTTCAGACTCAATTTAGAGAAAGATTAGGGCTTATAGTGGATAAGCCTAAAAGTGGCGGAAGCGGAACATCAAACGATGGTAATACAGCCAGGCGGTTTTTCTCGAATTCAGAAATTTCCGCTGAAATTACTGGGATCAAGAAGGATCTCCTAGATCGTTGCTGGATCATCCTTCAATGTTTAAATTCGGGATATAATATTAATAAGACGAACTTCGAAGAGTTCGCTTTAGAGACGGCTCGGCAGTTAGTTGCCGAGTATCCGTGGTATAACATGCCTGCTTCCGTTCACAAAGTTCTAATTCATGGTGCTAATGTTATAGATTACGGTTTGTTGTCAATCGGAGAGTTGTCTGAAGAAGCAGCTGAAGCGACTAACAAATACATCAAGTCTTTTAGAAAAAATCGTACGCGTAAAATGAGTCGCATTGTGACCAACACAGATTTAGTAAATAGGCTGCTTCTTCATTCAGATCCCTTCATAACAGGTCTACGAAAGTTACCTGTTAAAAAAAAAGGTGTACTGTCAAAAGCTGTATTAGACTTGTTATGTATTTAAAGTTAATATTGTTGAGATTTAATGTATTTTGGTATAATTTGTGTTTTGTTTGTATTTTGTAAAATGAACTTTTTTATGTATTTTTATTGTTTTAATTTATTCATTTGTGGTTATTGTTAATACAAATAATCATTATTTACACAGTTTTACCATTAAAAGTCGCAGTATAAAATGTTTTAGATACATCGTCTAAAAACAAAATTACTGCGAGACATTTTTACACCTAAATATTGTCAAATATTTTTTAAAATGTATAATTTTATTAATTTACGTTTACCTAATCATATTTTAACGTAATAAAATAAAAAAATAATAATAATTTCGGAGTTACGTATTTATGACCGCCTTAGTATGGAGCGTGAATCACCGTGCACTGGCTACAGCTCAAGATCGCAATTGTATACTATTCAACCAAGTGCTGTAAAATCAAGTATCGTCTAAGATGATCCAATAGGGTAATTTTCATATTAGTTTATCTAATTTCGGTGGCAATTTTTATTCGAAATCGAACGCCGAGAACTTAATACAAAGATCTATAACAGACAGAATAAATTCGTCAACTTAGGCAATTAACACATTGCACCGCGCCCCGCGACGGTGCGCGAGACGCGGAATCACGCGCGCGGTAGCGGACACGCAGGTCTGCGTCAACGCGCGGTTTAATCTGCGCGGGGGCAGCGGTCTAGCGGCCTCGCGCCACTCAAAGTACTCGCTTCGTAGTTAATCGCCGAAGTGATTGCACATGTAGCTGAAACCCTTCTTTGACAAGAATGGTTAATAATACAGAACTTATACCGGACGCTGCAGTTATGCTGTCGATTGTTTTTGTTTACTGAAATAAAAAGACACCGAAGATAACATTCAACTTCATTACAAAGATTTAAGAAAATACGAAGATTAATTTTTCAACTACACACGAATGGCATCTGAATCCTTTGATTATTTGTTAGGGAACATCCGAACGACAATTACTGGAATAGACACAAATTGATTAAAAGTCTGTGCGGTAGTGCGGAGCGCAGTGTGCCGTACCCTGCGGTTCGCCGCGCTCCTTCACTCTGCTCCTGCGCGGAGAAGCATTGTCAGTGTGTTGGACGGCGCGTGTTTTCCATACAGACTGAGGTACTTCAGTAACAACGTTAAAAACGCAGCTCCGCGTTCCGCAGTGCAGTGTGTTAATCGCCTTAGTAGTACTGTCGCGTCTAGCCTGTTTCCATATCACGATTATCTGTAGTTACTGTGTAGAGGACGTTTATTTTATCGTTGAACGAATGTCGTGTCTAGCTGTTCCCAATAGATCGCGACGTCAATTTATCGGGTCACGGCAGCGACCTTGTCGTTTGGACGACAGAATTGTTTGAAGCTGCGACTATCTGTCGTCACACTTTTATCGTTACGTTTTATCTATCGTCTGACGACTGTCTTCTAGCTCTTCCCATTATCACGACAGTATGTCGTCGTATCGTCAAAAAAGTCGTAAACGACAGTTACGAACGACAGTCGTGTTGTTCTATGTGTGAAAAACTTCATTTAAATATAATAATAATAAAAACGCACTTCACACTCAACACTCAACATAGCCCCGCACTAGGGAAACCCTGTGTCGCGGATGCCATGGACACACACATAGACAGTCACAAATTACACCCAAAGTCACGAGAGAAATAAATATAGGCCACACAAATATTTCTCCCGGCCCGGGAATCAAACCTGAGACCTTTGCGTGGCAGGTAACCGTTCGGCCACGGAGGCAGTTAGTATAGTTAGGCAATATACAAGCCACGATACTTTAAATTGCACGACTATCTGTCGTCATGACATAATGGGAACGCGCCCTAACATGACCTGTAGCTTAGTTGGTAAAGTAATGGGGACGGAATCCCGTGGTCGCAGGTTCGCGTCCTGTCGAGCCGAAGGATGTTTTCTGTTTTCGATTTTTGTATTATTATAATAACTAGTGGAGTTATTTCACAAAATAAAACAAATCAACTTAAGGACTTTAAAATTCAAATGGCCATCATAACGGCGTCTTATAAAACTTCCGTCCCTGATAAGCATTATCATGAATTGAACTTTAATACAGTCGCTTAGTACTTACGTACTCCTGTCTCTCGCAAGGTTTACAACATTTAATGTCGAGATAAATTATTACTACGGTGAGGTGATCAGTTCAGTGCATTTGCAGTTAGAAACATCTGCCACACGAAAACGCAAGCTGGTTTTAATAAATTGAAATTATCACTAGCGCCAAGTACTTAAAATTATGTTTTTTGAAGTTTTCGCTTGCAGTACAATGACATACATAACTCAAAATAGTAATTTCGCTTTGCAATGGCGTTTCCACTATGTAAAGCATTCACATTGCAGAAATTGTCCAAAACTGTGATCTTCTAGCTACTTCGCTTGCATTGGTTGCACGTTCAAAAGAAAAGTTTTGAGGAATTTGCACTGTTACATAGGAAACAGCTCGAGCGAAAAATTTCGTGCCTGTAAACTAGATACAAAAGCATCAGACACGCAAGGCTATGAGTGTGTACTCCTAGCCCCACACTAGGGAAACCCTGTTTCGCGGGTGGCATGGACACACACATAGACATAGAAAAACAAATTCAGGCCATATAAACATTTCTCCCAGCCCGGGAATTGAACCCGGGACCTCTGCGTGGCAGACCAGCACGGTAATCGTTTGGCCACAGAGGCAGTTAAACAATATATAGTGGTTTTGATAACATAAGTTTTTAATACATACTAGAATCATGGTGTCGGGTTGAAGCAAACAAATTAACCATAAACATCTGCGCTTCATAAAAACGAACACATTAAACACTTTTTTCAATAAATATACTATTAATTGGAAAACCGTTTTATTATAATATACAAAATGTATAAGGTTATGGCCAATATTTTGAAGCCGACTGCTGCATGAGCCAACCAATTGTATTTCACGAGAAAACAAAATTTGCGTAATTCAATTAGACATCTGACACGCACAATGTATTTTTTACCTTAATTACATTGATATACAAGCTTTTTCTAACCAGCTTAACGCGAATTTATGACGAAGTGCGAGTTCCTTAATGGGAACGATTGTGATGATCCATGTACGTACAGTATTTGAAAGCACGTCACGTTCCTCATAGGGAAAGTACGGCGAATAAAACTAAATCACCAAAGCCTTCCTCCCCGCAGTTGTGCGTGTGATCACATGCCTTAGTTAAGTGACTCGAAAAATGCAAATGTTCATTGTTCCACATTCACGACAATATAGCACGTATGATGTTTGTACATTAGAAATGTGCCCACACGAAGAACGACTCTGGCTTTATCCAATACCAACAGTTCGTGGCAACATTTATTGTAGCAATTGTACGTCGCAGTAGTGATCCATGTGAGAAAGTCGTCCAAGAAAGTATTGCCACCTATGTATCACTGTCGCATTGCAGTAATGTGAGCATGCATTCTGGTTTTGAAGAGTACTAGTGAAACTACACATGGAATTTGCCAACTAATGTCTCAGGGTGACAGGCGCAGTGGCAGTGCCACCGCAGATCTTTACGATTTATAGTTTTGAGTGGCACAGCAAGTATTTACGTATAGGGGTGTCGCTTAACCAGGCCCACAACCTTTTCATGCCATCACTTTGATGTCATAAAAAAAAATTACTACACACTCTCTGTGTTTGTAAGAATGGGTATGCTTATCCAACAAATATAATTCTTACAAGTATTTACTCACAATTCAACCTTATTATTACATTAAAGTGAACGAGCACATTCACTTAAAAAAATCAAACCAATAAAAAATTCACCAAGCAAGACAAAGGACATACTAATTTTTATTAGACTCAAAATAAGCTCTACGACTTAGAGTTGCGATGCGAGCGAAATGGTTCTTGAAAATGTAATTACATGTTACCAAGGGAAATGTACTGATTAAGCCAATTACCATTAATTTGCACAGGTTAAAATTAATCTTCGCTATATTCTATAACAATATTGACCATTTGCATCATGTACTGATTAGATAATTTTATATACACATAAAATGTGACGTATACAATTGTATACAGATAGATAAAGACAATACCATACAAAGAGAACCTTTTTATGTATGCACACCCATCTTTTGACTAATTAAGCAAGACAATCATATGTTATGATGTATGATGAATATGAATGTAATAATGAGTTGAAATGATTTTATGTACACAAGTTTCCTTTAATAATAGGGGTTAAAGTATGAAATTGCCGATTTGTACTGAAAATCTAAATTGTTTATTTTTTAAATTTTTAACAAATTTATTTAATCAGAATAGTTGCCATTATTATCTATACATTGCTGCCATCTAATGGGAAGG